GTATATTTATAAGCAAAAAAAACACCATCACAGAGATGCATTGCAATAGACATTTACAGCAAAGGTTTTACGACACAATTTTGTTAACACGTTTAAAAAAATCATTACTCTGCCCAGGTTTATAACCATAATTGATGACAAATGGACGTAGCTTGGAAAGTTATTGTGGTAATATATTCATGATCTTGACTGAATGCATTGGACTGTGACCCAATTTAATTGCAGAGACGACCAGAGCTTTGGCAATTCTAAAAAAAATATTTTGAGCGTTGCTGACATTAATGAGTGAAATAATGTAAGCAATTCATTGTTGTGTATCCCCCACAGGAATTGCTGCTGCCACAGAAGTCAGAGGTCATGCAAATATATTTTTCAACAGGATACCATGAATACAAACGTGCATATAGTGTTCCGTCAAAAATTGACACATTTGAACATTCTTTTTCATGTGCATGGAGAGCACATTTTGTCAATCCACAGCTAGATAAAGACCTCCCCCGTTGCCATACAAGGTCATGGAGATTATATGACCATACTTCACCACGCTGGTCAGTGTCAGTTGGTGAAGGTGTGCGAGCATACACATTGTTGTACTGCGGCAACTTACAACATCTGTTACTGGTAGGAACCTCCTGGTTACACCAGCCCACAGGGGATTGTTGTGTCCGTCCGTCGTGCAAGGAGGGGCTGATTGGGGAGGGAGGGGCTGGGTGGGGAGGGGAGAGTTGGGAGGGCTGGGTGGGGAGGGTGGGGCTGGTTGGGGAGGGTGGGGAGCGGCTGGGTGGGGAGGGTGGGGAGGGGCTGGGTGGGGCTGGGTGGGGGGTGGGAGGGGTGGGGCTGGGTAGGGAGGGGCTGGTCACCCCGTGGTACCCTTATAAAACTCAACGTTTAACCTACTCACGCCGGCTTGTGCTCGCCCTCACAGTCGGGCATATTTGCGGAATACACCACGCCGCCGTTGACCCTGGCCATTGACCAAGTAACCCAACGTTCCTACCAGCTCCCTCTGCAGGAATGTGTTTTATGCGTGGTGGTCGCTCGTGTAATTAGTATTCGGGCTTAAGCCAGCTTATCTTTCAAGATCTGACTAGATTTGGTGCATTCTGGGTTCTTTCGTCACAGGGAACTCCCCTGATGTAAGCTCACAAATACAGCAATAAGTGTCATGTTGTTGTTCCAGAAAGCTTCCCACCTTTTTTATTAACACCTGAAAACCTCTTCCAATTACTGGACTGTAAATTGCATCTCAACATTTCTATTTATAGCTCACTTGATAAAAGTGTACAGACGCTTTTAACCAACGTGAAACATGTACAGTATTTAATATATCACAGCAATAATACTAATAAGATTTTGAAATGTTTCTGCCTGGAGGTTGCTATATGTTGCTATTATTAGAGTACTTGGCTTAATATATTTTACACATTATTTACGTGTTTGTAATTACACTACAGTATTAATACAATTTACAGAGGGCTTTCATGTAAAAAAAAAGTGGATTCCATGTGTTACAGTTAAGTTTGTCCATTTGGAGGGATAAGAAAATCTATATTGACAAAACCCTGGGTGTTGTGGTGGCAGATGCCTGTATTCCAGAGCTTTGGAGGCAAAAGGTTGGTGGATAATGCAGATTTTTGAAACGTCCAAAACCAACTTAAACCTTTTAGTGTAAAAAACACAACCAAGTGCAAACTCACTGACACTAAGACTCCTTTTTTCAAGGGACGTGGCCAGGTGACAGCACAGAAAGTACATTTCTTGACCCATTTATTTAGTCCTGTGAGTATTCTTCCTTTAAATAAACGGTGAGTTTTCTCCGGGTGCTCCTCGTGTTTTCCAACACTAAACACTCTACTTGTTAAAAGGAAATGGCCAAACATCCTAAGGGGAAACCATCCCGGAAAAAAAGTATTGAATCTTAGTGAGGCTTTTATGGCTACTTAAATGCGATGCCATTTAAAATGACTATTTTAAGATAACGGCTTCCTGACGTGCTAAATGTGATGGTCATAAGTTCATATATCAGGGTTACTTCAGCCCAGAATTCTTCGATCAAGACATTAGATATCACTTTGTGAGGAGTCAACAGTGGGTTTTCAATGTGTCAACTGGCCACTTTCCAGGGGAATGTGGACTTTCCAACAGCTGATCCCTCCAACAAAAATAAACCCCCATCCAGTTCCAATTTAAAGACAGCCACCGTTATAGAATGTGGTATATGTGTAGTGAGTCCAACTGAGTTGCAGACGTTCTTTAGAGGCAACACTTATATTGTAACATCAACCCGCTGACACAAAGGGGTAACTGCCCCTTCACCAGATACAGCCTAGGGTGGTGACCACCCAACTAACTACATTATACGTAGGAGTTACAGTTACGAAGGGTCAGACCCTCACTCGGGTCCCCGACCACGTGTTGATGGTTCGTAGGACGTAGAACTTCCAGCTTGTAGACGTGGCGCTTCCAGCTTGTAGACATAGAGCTTCCAGCTTGTAGACGTAGAGCTTCCAGCTTGTAGACGTGGAGCTTCCAGCTTGTAGACGTGGAGCTTCAGCTTGTAGACGTAGAGCTTCCAGCTTGTAGACGTAGAGCTTCCAGCTTGTAGACGGCTTGTAGACGTAGCTTCCAGCTTGTAGACTTGGAGCTTCAGCTTGTAGAATGCAGCGACCCCGGTCCCTCTCAGGGACCCACCTTATATCCCCCCAGGTCGGGGCCGCTCCTCCCTTAGCCCCGCCCACCTTCTCGAGCTTTCTAGCTGTCTCTCGATCCCTCTGGAGAGCTCTCCCCGGACACGTGATCACCCCCTAGCCCCACCCCCCTCCACCTGGGGGCCTCTCTGTGGACACTCCGGATCACGTGTCTATGGGGTCAACCAGAGTGCCATGTCCCGGGGCAACCCTGCCCCTGGGCTGACACTCTCCCACTCCCCACTGTGGGAGCCCTCACCGCACGCCATACGTGGTGCCCGCACTATCCCAGCGCTCACCAAGCCCCGCTGGGGCTGGTACCACAACCACCACGGGGTGTACGCGATGACGGTGCATCGCATCGCACGCCACGGCCCTCTCAGGCCGGCACCATGCAGTGACATCCCCGATGTCATTACATATTAACAGGGTTGTTTTTACATGTAGATGCCCCGGCCGATTTATAACGGCCTTCTTACTTCTCAACGTTAATAACTGTACTGTCTTGTGAAAATAATGGCTCCATACATCAAAGGGGGATTTAAAGATGTAACGAGTGTATTGACATTGGTGGGAGACACGTGGGGGCTTTGAAAGTAAATGTTTTCTAAACATCCTATTATTTTAGTGGAGTATCTATAAATACAATGCCCTATGCAGCTATGCGCTGTAGGTCAGGGACTTGAACATAAAATGTTGTTATTTACACATTAATAATGTAACGTACTAAAAATAAAAACCGGTTCCGCATCCACATCGTCACATTGCTTATTTATATACTGCATTTATATTTCGTTAACATACCTGTCAACCCCTTATCAGTGCCCTACCTTATTACAGACCAATTCAGATCTTATTGGTCACATCGTGCTCTTATAAATCTCAACGTTCATCCTACAACGTCTGATCACAAGGGAGAAACACAAACAAATAGACAATAATTGGTTTTGCCCGTATTGAAACGGCTGTACACCGTATGGACCTGAAAACTCAATTTCCCTGTACAATAATACGGGTAACCCGTATGGGTTGACAGGTATGGAAAGGGTAAAAGCTAATGCTTGTATTTTCCATCATTTTGACACTGCCAAAAAAAAAGGTCCCATAGATATAATGTAATGCGTCGTCCATCAACGCAAATCACCACCTTGAATTCTCTACCGAGTGTGACTACTCAACATACCGTGTCAACCCATACGGTTTACCCGTATTCTTGTACATGGAAATTGAGTGTTTTTTATTTATACGGCGTACATCCGTTTCAATACGGGCAATTTTTTTAAATAAAACGTCTGTTTGTGTTTCTGCCTTGTGATGCGACTTTGTCGGATGAACGTTAAGATTTATAAGAGCACGGGGTGACCAATAATGTCTGAATTGGTCTGCAATAAGGTAGGGCACTGATAAAGGGGTGGACAGGTATGATTACACGTGGCAGTTGGATCCGTGTCGCATACGTTATAGGTGGGGTTACCACCCGTCCCGGTTTGACCCGGATAATCTTGGAGATTGGCATCAATATTTGTGCGGTATACGTTTATATGTACCGGATATATGATGGGTGGCTGAGAAATATCTCGGTTTGATCTTCAGCGGTAAAGGTGGCAACCCTTATTAAGAGTTACTTGCATCAAGTTCATTGATTAGGTATAGCCCTGTGAGCCATTCGGCTTTTGAATCGGGTGCAACCGCAACAAACAAAAAACTAAAACATGAATAGCGCAATAATCGACATTTTCACTGTAAATCCAGAACTGTATTGTAATTAGATCTCTTATTAGTTCCATCTACAGCCACTAGAGGCCTCTAAATTCAAAATGTTTCAACATTTTGTTCGATTCTTTTAATCGAATAATCGAATCTGCATCCCGGCAAGTTAAAATCTGAATTGCTTTGGCAATGGGGCGAATATTTACGCCTTTACAATATACCCCTAGTTGTACAATAAACCCATACAATTCATAGACATAAGTTGGTAAAACGCACACTGGAGTTCGGCTCAGCCCAACTAATGAAAACATAGTCGTGGCCATTCCACATTTCTGTGACGGGGTCTGGTCTTCCGACCGGACTATCTCTACGTATTATACTGTAAAGTATGAATTTTTAAAAAAATATATATACTACGTACATTTCACGATATTCTAAACACTGCCAACATACATAACTGTTCGAAAAGTAAAATGAACGGGACTCTTGAAACGGTGATGAGCGTGGAGAGCGGGGGATTATATCGCATCGCGGAAGGATACATTAATCGCGGAGCCAATGTGAAGCTGCTCTATATAAGGCTGGCTGGGGGGGGGGGGGCTCACAACGCGCGGGGCCGCACGTGGACGCACTCCTCGTCGACTGCGAAAATTTCCTCTTCATAAAGTCGCGGGCGAAAACTTGTGAGGCGATAAACATTCGATTTCTAATGAAAAGTGCAACTTTTACCAGCTCGTTTTAATGCGGCGATGTGAACGAGACGTTTAAAAGTTTGTTAAATGCGTAATTTTAAATAAATATTGAATGGTAGATGTCGCGGTTTGGCGCCATTTTAAATGGAACGCGTGTGGTGAAACGTCGTCGCGATTTTCTCGTTTCTCGCTTGCGTTGAAACATTAATCGGTGTGTCTCATTATTTTTTTCTACACATCTTGTTGTCTTTTAAAAATAATAATTAGAAGGCGGCCTCAAGATGATGCCTGGGAGGGGCCGCGCGCGTGCCCGCGGGCGCGGCCGTGGCGACGAGGCCGCACTACCTCCTGCGCATGCGCAAGGCGATGCCGGAACTGCGTCCGCTGTGAGTTTTTCAAGCACGTGGCGTTAAGAAATACAACACGCACACGAGTCTGAGATAATTGTTGTTAATTATTTGTTGTTGTGTGATTTATTATTTTAATATTATTATAATATTTATTATTTTAAGAGCTTGTCTCTTGGAATTTTGCCTCAGCTTGATACAGTAAATTTAGCTGTGACGGTCCCACCTGATGACGGAGACTTGTGTTGCCTCCGAAACGTCATGATTTATTATTTTAATATTATTATAATATTTTATTATTTTAAGAGATTGTCTCTTGGAATTTTGCCTCGCTTGATACAGTAAATTTAGCTGTGACGGTCCCACCTGATGACGGAGACTTGTGTTGCCTCCGAAACGTCATAATTTATTATTTTAATATTATTATAATATTTTTATTATTTGAAGAGCTTGTCTCTTAGAATTTTGCCTCACTTGATACAGTAATTTTAGCTGTGACGGTCCCACCTGATGACGGGAGACTTGTGTTGCCTCCGAAACGTCGTGATTTATTATTTTAATATTATTTTAAGAGCTTGTCTCTTGGAATTTTTCCTCACTTGATACAGTAAATTTAGCTGTGAGGGTCCCACCTGATGACGGAGACTTGTGTTGCCTCCGAAACGTGATTTATTATTTTATTTCTATTTTTTATTTTTACCTACGTGACTTTACCGAAAAAACCAAATAGTATGAATCCTTGCAGTCACGAAAGCTTCAAATCTAGAATTAGAGTTGTTTAGTTAGCTCAAGTCGACGTCGTTCTCTCGATTGTTCGCGATGATGACGGGCGTCGAGATGGCTGCCGATGATTAACAACAAAATTTTCCATTTCTACTCTTTGGTTTTTTCGGTAAAGTCACGTAGGTAAAACAATAAAATAAATGAAAACAACTAAATTAAATCACGACATTTCGGAGGCAACACAATTTTCCCTCATCAGGTGTAAAAAGGCACAAAAGTTTTCATTTATTGTATTGTTTTGCCTACGTGACTTTACCGAAAAAACTAAAGAGTATGAATCCTTGCAGTCACGAAAGCTTCAAGAATTTTCCATTTCCCCGCGGATCTCGATGGCAAATCCCCCCCCCCCTCCACTAATATTGGTATTAATTAAAACTCACAAAATTAATGATGGGTATATATTTCTCTGTTCAACACCTTGGTGCCTAATTACAGACCAATTCGGACCTTATTGGCCACCCTTTGCTCTTATAAATCTCAACGTTTATCCTACAAAATCCCATCACAAGGGAGAAACACAAATAGACCAAAAAATGTTGCTGTATGGACCTGAAACTATTTCCCTGTACAAGAATACGGGGTAAACCTTATGGGTTGATGGGTACGGGTATAATTCACTCAAAATTAAGCACGACTGACAGATTAAGATTGTTACTCTTTCAATTGTGTTTTTGTATTGTTGATGTAACCCTCTTACCCGCCCCGACTGGACATGAAAAAAGAGCTTTATAATTCAATGGATGGATGGATTCTTCCAGTATAAATCTGATTAAGAACGAATACTGAATGGTCGATGGGCGTGCTCAGTGATGACGCCCACTGGGTGGATCACCACGCCAATCAAAATCAAACTCCGCCCACTCAGATTCCATTGACAGGTAGTCCCCAACTTACGATGGCCCGACTTACGATATTTAGATCTTACGATGGCGATAGCGATATGGCAAAATTGTTAAATATTTTACATTTCGCGCGGCAGGCAAACGCAGCAGCGTACGAGGTACGATACTGTACGTTGGGATGCTGCCGGGATATACTGTACGCATATAGTTTATACAGTACGGTACTGTAAATTGCTCTGTTTTGCTAAATTATCACCATTCTTTAAGACTCCTGGGTAGGCTAGGCCATTTTCGACTTACGATGGGGTCGTCGTAACGCATCTCCCATCGTAAGTCGGGGACGGCGTGTATACTAAAAAGCCCGATGATCTATAAAGCGCTTTTTCACAGTTACAACAATAAAAAACAGTAGTGCAAAATTCAGAAAAGGTAAACAAATCACCCAATCATACAAATAAAACTAAACCATCTCTTTGATTTTAAGCGTTCGTGACTGCAGGAATCCATACTCTTTGGTTCTTTCGTCAGCATTTCCCCTGCTGTGTTTGCCTCACCTGATGACGGTTGCTTGTGTTGCGATCGAAACGTCGTGATCTATTATTTTCTACCGACGTGACTTTACCGGAACAACCAAAGAGTATAAACCATCTCCATCCTACCAGGCAAAGCCCACTGTTCTAAGCATATGCAAATACTGTACATAGAGGCAATCGCGTGGATTTCATATTCACCGAAGCACATTTGTTCGGTTTAAGCACAAGACTTGTAATAAACATTTCCAAGAATAATGTAAAACTTTTTAGATTAATAATTTGGGCTTAAGGGGAAATCCATGAGTTATTTATGTAAAAATTTCGGGTGCGCGGTTAATTCGTAAATCGGATAAACCGCACGCGGATGATCGAGGTTCTACTGTATATATTTTTTATACTGGAGAAATCCGATGAGCTATGAAGCTCTTTTTACAGGTGTCCAGTTGGGAGCGAGTCAGAAGGTTACAACAAACAATACATAAACACGATAGGCATGCACAATGTATGGATAAGATGAACAAGTCACTTGAAAAAAAATATGCAAATAAAGATAAACTAATTATTTTTTTATCTTGCCAGGTAAAGCCCACTGAGCTATTAGCTCAACGAAGTGGCTTGTGGAAATTTATAGCAGCCAAATAATCTAAACTCATGTTTCTAAGGCACGTGTTCTGAACAACAGTTGCATGACATACAAGAGCACATTCGAAAAGTGATTCTCAGCTCAAATTGGCATCGAGGTCACTGCTCAGATCCCGTTTACAGCCATGCTGAGCCAGTTGTGAAAATCCAGAAATTTCTATGGTGGGGTGGGGGTGGTTAACTCGTAACTTTGATTACCGTATTTTCCCGCATATAGTCCGCATATGCATATAACCCGCAGACGCATATACCCCGAAAAAAGAGCATTTTGTGTAAAAAAAATTCAGCCCGCACCTCCATATACCCCGCATGCATTCATATCTTTAACGTCGTTACCGCAGCTTAATTCCATCATTAATGCGAAGTTTACATTTGTAATACATTCCACTATCAATTGTTAACATTAAAAGCATAACGTGCACAAAGAAAACAAACTAACCGGAAACGAGTGAACTAAGTAAATATCCAATAAATAACTAACATAACAGGTAGATAAGTACAGTTTTAGCACTGGTAGATTGTGAACTGCGCAGATAATAGCAGAACTACGGTAACTCCGTGCCTCGCCCCCACCTCCCCACCTCTCCCTCCCCCCAGCTGCCCCACCCCACAACCCCCCACCTCTCCCTCCCCCAGCTCTCCCGTCGCCGGTAAACAAAGTGCAAGCACTTCAAAAATTGTACAAACAATTCATTTGAAACGTGATAACATGTGCAATTTTAGTGCGAGTGGTTTATTCAGCAGTGCTTTAGTCAAAGGAAAGTGTTGCATAGTGGATAGTCCTACCATGAAAAAATGTAAACGAGTTATGACATGTCACACGTGTAAAATATTTGTGGGATAGCCCGCACCTCCATATACCCCGCAGGGTCTTGTTTGTAAAAAGTGGTTTTCCCCCACGGGTTATTTGCGGGAAAATACGGTATAGGCTGCTTTGCTGCTGAGTCTCCTGGCTCGTTGAATAAAAATAAATCGGTTTTATCGAGATATTTGTTAAGTCCAACTTATTTTACAGACCAATACCAAGCAGAAATTCTATAGACAAGCACCTTAAATGTAAATGGACAGACCTCCTAAGTGAATAAGCTGTCTGCAGAAGATCTTGTTTTGTGTATGCAGACACTTTTAAGAGACTAATTTTAATTGGTTTAATGCTACACATTTAAAGTCGTACATTTGCACGTATAATTACTCCATTTCGAACTTTTAAGTGAATAAAAATGTAAACTAAGTTGTCTTAAACGCAAGTTGAATCTGGATGCTGCAATTGGAAGGTCGCACATGTTCTGATTCACGTACACCTTGAAAACAAAACCCTTTTACCTGCTTGTGCGCGTACAAAATTTTTGTACACAAAATCGTGATGTGGTTACTATAAGACGTTAGTTTGTGTAAATTTTCGTGTAGGCAAATCTTCAGTGTTCCTAATGGCACGTTTGTGTTTTTAGATGGCTCAACCGCCACCGCTCGCTTCACAACTCGGGGACGTTGAATCTGCGAGTGACCTTTTTGGCAGAGGTCGCCAGAAAGCCACCATGCCCTCTACCAGGAAGCCAGTCACAGGTACGGTTGCTGTTGCCGCTATAGTCATAAATGGCAGTTACGCCTTGTTTTGTTTTATTGCTACATTACATTACAGTTGCATACATTACAATAAAACACTATTTGTAATGTTGTTATTTATAGTATATTCGTTTATAATGAAGATGTATTGTAATTTCATTTTGCAGAATAAGCTTTACCAACATACAAAAATAATATGAACATGTGATTAACTATAATGCCATCATCCTGATAAGACTCAATGAGTCCTTAAAAATCCAAGATGTAAGAGGCATTGGTGTGTTTGGCCAATTCAGTTTTCAAGGAATATTTTGCATGTGGGAGAAAACCACCAACACTATAGAATAATGCTCAGAAGATTTGCATAGATGGTTTCGTGAAGCTTTTCCTTTATGTACCAAGTATGAGCGACTCGTTTGACAAAACAATTAATTGTTATTGACCACCATAGAGCCATTGAAACCGATAGGTGAAATATCTGCTCTGGGCTTATGGACTTACTGGAAATCTGAGAAAAAGAACATAGCTCATTGGGTTTCTCCAGTCTAACTAAAGATTGAGTTTCAGAGCTTTAGATTTGCAGGCCTTCACTGTTTCCCAATCTATTAAAGCAATTTCAATAAATCGAGTATAAACGACCTTGTCACCATGAAAGGCTAGAACTCGGAAGCTAAGCAGATTGCATCCTGTTTAGTGATTGGCTTGGATACTGTAGGAATAACACATTCCTGCGGAGGGAGCTGGTAGGAACGTTGGGTTGCTCGGTCAATGGCCAGGGTCAACGGCGGCGTGGTGTATTCCGCAAATATGCCCGACTGTGAGGGCGGGCACAAGCCGGCGTGAGTTTTATAAGGGCACCACGGGGTGACCAGCCCCTCCCCACCAAGCCCCACCCCTCCCTCCCCACCCAGCCCCTCCCCACCCTCCCCTCCCCACTCAGCCCCTTCCCACTCAGCCCCACCCTCCCCACCCAGCCACTCCCCACCCTCCCCTCCCCACCCAGCCCCTCCCTGAACGACGGACGGACACAATAATCCCTTGTGGGCTGGTGTAACCAGGAGGTTCGTATCAGTATCTGGTGTTGTAGGCTGGGCCTGCAAGGTGGTTAGGAGAGGGTAGTACAGATTGATATTTTAATCTGCAGAGTTTTTGAGTATTATTCTCTCGTGTGCATTTGGATTTTTACATCACTCCAGTTTACTCGTGCCGAAAACTCGTTTATGAACTTTGAAAACCTGAATGTAGCATTGTACAAAAGAAATCTTGAGGCTCAGTGAGGCTTTGCTAGCTTTATAATGTGTATGCGATAATATATTTTTGGTAAATATACGAATGCGAAACATGTTATTTATACATTGCTTGGGGTAAAATGTATCTCAATTACTAAGCTTACCTATTTTCTTTCTTTTGATTAACATGGAGCCTGATTCTGGATTATCTTCAGGTATGTTTTTTTTACGTTTTGTTCCATTAATCATTTTAATCTTTCAGCAAATTATTTTGGCCAATACAAAACTTTGTATTTTTATATTGCATGCTTTTAAATTTCAAGATTTAGCTTTAAAACTGTTGCCAAGTGATGTCATAGTTTTCAAATACCGTACGAAAATATTACCAAAAAAATTGCAGATGTGAAGGAGTTGCTGTTCAGTGAGGGCTAACAATTATTTATCGTACAGATGTACAGTTTTAATGTGTAACAGTACTTTTGTCTCTTTCCCATCCTATAGATGTATCTTTAGTGTCAGCAGGCATGGAGGGGCTGATGGTAGTGGATCGCGGGGGCCGCCGTCGTGGCCAGATGCAGACAATGGATGTCGGCTTGATGACTCGCCAGACAATGGAACATGTCCGTCAGTCTAAGACTGGTGAGCGTTCATCATCATCATCACCACGATTGATGGGGAGATAGCCGTAGGTATCCACTGCACATTTCGTCATTTCCGCTTTCCTCTGTCTTGTGCCAATATGCTCAGGTAGTGCTGCAACAACTTTCTGGCACCAATCTTATGTCGTCGTCAAGACATTCTCCTTTAGGTCTTCGTCTCTTTCCGGTTCTTCCATTTTGCCACACACACACTTTGAGCGTTCACACAGGCACAATTATTGGTCACTAGTGGGCAGCCCGATCTGCGGACAGAGTGACATGATAACACGTGCCACCAGATCCTCGTAAGATTACTTACCTGACAGTACTCACCAGTGATCAACTTGCATGACTTGCCACTCGAGTTAATACAAATCGATTGATGCAATGGCTCCCTCCGCCCCCATCCTCACCCCTCCACAATGGCACATGCCTCTATCCAATATATGATTTTTTTATTGGGCCTGTAGGGTTCTTTCAATTGGTGGATCGGATAAGCAGTATTGGGTTCGATAACATTAATTATGAGGTGAAGTGTTAATTTCCTTTGAGTAAATTTGATCTCGTTTGCATAAACCAAACATAACATTATGCCACCACCACTGAAATTGGTCGAATGACCTTGGAGTTTTCCAGAAAAAAATACATGTTGGTAATTGATCAATATGTTGTTGGCTATGTTATTAATCATAGCGATACAATTGCACGTTCTTAAATATACAAAAAAAACAATGATGTATACGATTAAGCAAAATTATTTTTACACGATAATTTTCCCCTGCATTCCATTTGGAATGTGGGTTCCAGGCTTGTCGGGTCAGCCGGTCAAACTACTGACTAACTACTTCAAGTTGTTGTCACGGAAGACGTGGATGGTATATCAGTACCACGTGACATTCAGCCCAGAGCTGGAATCCAAACGACTGAGGATTGCGCTGTTGCATGAACATAATGAGCTGCTCGGTGAAACGCGAGCCTTTGATGGCTGCATTCTCTACTTGCCCAAGAAACTCGAGAAGGTAAATTCTGCGGTCAATTTAACCCTTCTTCTGCAAGTTGTAAGGTGGGTCCCATTCGCCTTTTGAGTCTGGGAAAGCGCTCGTGGCTCTGCATGAATTTTATGTAGGGAGCAGAGGTCGCAAACGGGTTTTGATTCCTTACCCGTACCTGGCCGCACCAGGGTCGCAAACGGGTATCCCTACCCGGCTGGGTACGGCTACCCGTTCCCTACCCGTACCCTACCCGAAATGAGTGACAAACGGTGACTCACGGCCTACCCGTACCCGGCCGCACCAGGGTCGCAAACGGCTACCCGTACCCAGCCAGGTACGGGTAGCCGGGTATCGGGTAGGTTACGGGTATCGGGTACCCGCTTGCGACCTCTGGTAGGGAGGCGTAGCGGCGTTGTTTTTAAAGACATTGTATTCATTGCAGAGAGATCTTGGCGACACAACCGCACTCTATGATAGCTGGTGCCAAACTGTGCCATATGCCCTTCTGCATGTGCATGGTTTTCTCCAGGTCCTCTCGCATACCAAACATTTGTTAATTGCAAATACTGAAAACATGTATTGGCCAAGCATTCTAGTGGAGGACCAGTCTGAAAATATCTGGATACTTAATCAGACAGAGGGCATTGTTTTATTTCAACACGTTCTCTTCAGATGCTCAATTATTGATACATTTATTTTGATGGACAATTTATAATCAATCTGTATAAGTGGAGACTTTTGAGTCGAATTTTTACAACATGAACATGTACTGAGTTGCAATTTTGACACCCCACATAAAATGATAGTGACACATTTGTGATGTTGTCCATGCATATATTCAGGTGAGTGAGGTATGGAGCCAAACAAGACAGGAACAGAAGATAAAGATCACCATCACTTTGACCAACGAACTCCCACCATCATCACCGACTGCCATTGTGCTGTTTAACATCATCTTTCGCAAGTAAATAACGTAGCTCTGGTCTCTAGCTGGAACATTTACAAACTGTATTTTTTTCCCTTAAACACAGACCTACATGCCTTAATTGTTTTAATGAAACGGTTCAACCTTGTGACCAATGAATTAAACTTTTGCCCTTTGATGGACAAACAAATACGCGATTTAAAGCTTTCGTGACTGCAGGGATTCATTTTCTTGGTTCTTTCGGTAAAGTCACGTAGAAGGAAAATAATAAAAATAAAACATAATAAAATAATTCTCACGATGTTTCGGCTACAACGCAAGCAGCCGTCCTCAGGTGAAGAATGAAACACCACCAAGCTTGGAGCGTATATTTAAGCTGGGTTGGAGTGGGAAGAAGAGCACCTTGACAAAAGAATTTGCATATCAAGAGGGATTTAGCATATTTATGGGAAATGCGTAGGAGGTGAGCGGGGGGTTTCAAAGTCATATTATGCCCAAGCTTGGTGGTGTTTCATTCTTCACCTGAGGACGGCTGCTTGCGTTGTAGCTGAAACGTCGTGATAATTATTTTATTATGTTTTATTTTTATCATTTTCCTTCTACGTGACTTTACCGAAAAGAACCACGAAGATAAACAAATACTCTTTTAAAATGCAAATTAGATGTACCTTTCCAGATTGACCCGAAAATGTATGTCACACAAACACCCCCCACCAGCAGTCGCAAATGGCAGCAATGCGCTGCACTCACTGGTTCCTGCCACACTTGGCCAGTAATTTTCCACGTCTAACGTTTATCTTAACATGTAAACTCACAATCGCTGCACAAGTAGTCCTCACTGCAGCTGCATCGTCTGTCTTGCTGTGAGCTTATAAATACCTGTAATTTAAGGAAAGGAAATGGTACCTTTTAGTATTCAAGAGACGGATTTTTCAGCCTAATTAAATCTTTGTGGGCCAACAGTTTGCCTTTAACATGCCACTGGAAGGGGACATAAGATGTGATTATTATTTATCTGCTAGCCTTTTGCCCGTCCAAGGACGGATGCATATTGGATTAAATGTGAAATATTCAATAGAAAAATTGTTCAACTCATGATTATTAATGAGGGGGGGGGGGGGGTTGCCCCTTGGGGAGTGACATAACCCACTAATGGTTATTGGGGAGGGTTGCTACATGTGGAGTGACGTCGCCTGCTCATGATTATTAATGAGGGGAGGGGTGTGGCATGTGGAGTGTGCGACCTTGTGCATTAGTGTAAATTTCCACGCGGGCATGAATAATAATAAGGGGGGGGGGGGCTCTTTTGCAGTGATGCTACGTACGGATGTAGCACTGCTGCGTAGATGTATTTTTTTGCCGTCACTTTCTGTAAAAAAACGTCATTTGAAGCGACTTTGCATAATACATTAATTTAGCTCGACCTGCGTTAGTGTAAAAATCCACCCACTCATGAATATTAATTAGGGTGGTGGGCCTCGTGGAGTGACGTCACGCATGGGACACATTCTTGGCTCAGTATAAAAGACGTAACTTAGTTTTTGCTTTGGTGTTATGTCACAGGGAATACTTGGTACATTATAATTTCAATAAAAATGCAAATTATTTCGTGGATAAATGTCATGGGACATTTAAATTTCAAAATAAATGGCAGTTGATGTAAAAGGAAGTCAAACAAGCTCCCATTTTTTTGAAGGGTGCTGAAGATGGCCAACATGCAACAGATTGGACGCAACTACTACAATCCAGATGATGCATTCACCATTCCACAGCACAGGTACATTAATCCCATCACTCCTTACTCTATATAGCCAAACCCAATGATGGTGGCACAATGCTTAATGTCTTAAGCCTTTGTGTGGCTGTAGCCAATCATAAAAAATGCTAGTTTTCTGCTTGTCTGCAGAGAAAGATTAAAATTAGTGGATCCTTGTGCCAGATTGTAAAATCTGCAGTCTTAAGTCTGTTCCAACAGTAGAGAAATGTCAATAATGAGCATTACAATCTCTTTGCTGTAGTCGAAATGTGTAATGCTTGGTCCAGTCAAACTTTAACCCATTGCGGGTTTCCTCATCGTGGATTTGACCACACAATGTGTTAAGGAATAGTTTTGTCAATAGCACCCCTTTGGTTTGACTATCCACGGTTGACTGCAAGATTCTTATCTGCACCGTAAACAAGTACTGTACTCGAACTGCACTGCTCACGATGATGCTGCCTCGGAAGAATACACATGCCTTCTTGTCTCCCACAGTAAGTAGAAATCTGTTTTTGTTACTTGTTTACTGTGCATGTCATTATCTTTATTTTTACCTTTACATGTACAGCACTGTACACATGTTTATCCCATTCTTTAAATTTACTGTCAAAGTTATATTTAACACTAGAAAATATTAATCATAGCTTACATTAAACGATACATCCTGTTTAATGTTTGGGTTAAGGTAGGGTAACATAAGAAAACATAAGGAGGGTTAGGTTGTCATATTACAAGCTGTGAACGAAACCAACATTTTCCCATACGTTTACAGTTTGCGGATCGCGGATATGCCGATTGCGGCTATTTTCGAGAACGTAATAAAAATGCGGGCATGCCCCACTTGTCAAAATAACGCAGTAGTAGCCAGACCTTATATTCATTGTGATTAATTTTTTCATGTTGACATTTTTTTTTACTTGTGTCCTGCGTTTCTCCTAGGTTACATGTCTGGCCTGGTTTTGTCACCTCCATCATGTGCTACGAGTCCGATGTGATGCTCTGCGCAGACGTCAGCCACAAGATCCTCCGGAATGAGTCCGTTCTGGATTTCATGTACACCTTGTATGAGCAAATTGGAGAGCGAAATTTTCATGATGCTTGCCAAAAGGAGCTTGTTGGCCAAGTGATACTCACAAGGTAAGGTCTTATTGCTGCAAAATGTGAGCTTCCTGTTTGTAATTTGCAATACATAAGAGCATAATTTCTTGTACAAGCCATTGCCATTCTACTGCTGGATTAAGACTTCTCCAACCCGAGCCAGTCCATGGGGGTTAGTTTGCCCATATTTCAAACACACTGGTCAGTGTGGTGTATTGAAGCTATTTAGCATACACGTGGGAGCCTTGAAAGTATAGTACAAATTTTGATTTTTATGCAGTGCCCTCTGTTGCCTATGTAACTCCAGATTTTGTGTCTGGTGATCGTCCAATAACTTTCCATAATCTACCCTGCTTAGTTTATGAGATATGATGAGATATAGGTGCCTTCTGGGCAGTTTATTGTTTTGAATATTATTTAGAAAATGCTTTTTAAATTCAAGGCAATGGTTTTGATAAGTTAGTATAAGATTATGAAATGGTGTTGCTTGTGTCTACATAGGTCGGAATAAGAATACTATTTTGCTTAGGAGTTGGTAATTGTACCCAATGTGGCACCTTGATGAATTTAAATAACGTGAATTGTTATATTGCAGGTACAACAATCGGACTTACAGAATTGACGACATCTCTTGGAATAGAAATCCAAACATGACCTTCATGAAGTCGGATGGCACAGAGATAACCTACCATGAATACTACACAAAGGTAATGTCTTCCTTTTTTAATTAAACATATACTTTATATTCGATGCCATGTAATACTGGAATAACTTCTGGATGGAACTTTATAGTGCTATCATCTGGGATTGCTGAAATGAGTACCAGTTTGTTTGAAAGTCAGTATCAGTAATTCTATGCAGAGAGACTAGCTGCCCCACAATGGGAATGAAGAATTTTCAGCACAAGCTTATGGGCCACCAATGAATATATACAAACATTGCTGCCATTGCTCATTAAGAGTTGTGATAAATCATTTGATCATTTATACTGGTAGGAACCTCCTGCTTACACCAGCCCACAGGGGATTATTGTGTCCGTCGTGCTGGGTGGGGAGGGGCTGGTCACCCCGTGGTGCCCTTATAAAACTCAACGTTTAACCTACTCACGCCGGCTTGTGCCCGCCCTCAGTCGGGCATATATGCGGAATACACCACGCCGCCGTTGACCCTGGCCATTGACCGAGCAACCCAACGTTCCTACCAGCTCCCTCCACAGGAATGTGTTATCCGGCTTCCAACATCTGGTGGTCCGATCCAGCGAAACTGGCAAAACCACTCCAAAGGCTGTGACCCAGTCCGGCAATCGGCACCGTGCGCGTGACAAAAAAAGTAGCTTTTCTTGATTTCAGTTTTAAATATATACAGTAAATTACACACTACATACAACTTAAACAATGAAAATACTGCACGTATATGCAGAATCTTAGAGACTGGAGTGGTAAGTATGGTACAGTAAATACGTTGCCTTTGAAAGAAGTAGGATATTTTGTCTGTTTATTTATGCCAATTTAATATAGCAAACAAATTTAAAACAAAAAAGATAACACCTACAAACATGATGTCAAGAATTTGCAAAAATTTGCTATTTTAAATAATGATGTGATTTATCCGATTGGCGCCTGAAGCCGCCGGGTAATCAATGACCTGCTGTAGTTGTGTAAATCTTGTCTCTTAATTACCAAAGCAATACAGCCTGGAAGTGAAGGACATGCAGCAGCCACTGCTGATCAGCCGCCCAAAGCGCAAGGACTCGGTGGGGAACAAGGTGGAGATAGAGCTGCACCTGCTGCCTGAGATCAGCTATTTAACAGGTGGAGGTGTTGTTGTGTTGAAGGATTTCCTCCATCTGCCACCAGCGAATAGATATAAACTTTATGGGAAAAACCCACAGTGTAATTGGAAAAATCGCTCTGGTGCTGGTGTGTGAGGATGACTTTGTAGACAGGTTTCTAGATCATGCTACCCTTGACTCGTTTTTTACTTGCTGTTAAATTTACGTACCAAAAATTGCATTTCATTGTTTTTAGCACAACTGGGGGAGGGTGGTGTGCATTATGTTGTACTGACGCAACAGGAAGGTGTGCGCAGCTTAGGAAACACTTAGTTTACAAGGCACGTATTTTCAAAGTTCACTGCAAGTGTACGTTGGTGATATTCCTGTTTGTACTCCGTTTTTTCGGCGAGTATTTTTTATGTTTGCACCCAATGAGCATGTGTCTTCACGTGAAGGGAGCCTTTAAAGTCTGGCATTGTTACTGGGTAATTGATGGGAGTGTTGCTCAATTAGGTTTTGAGATAATTTCGTTTCAAATTTGAGTTCAGCAAGAACGGTGTTTGTTCCAGGTTTGAGCGACAAAATGCGTTCAGATTTTCATCTCATGAAGGACCTTGGCTTGCAAACACAAGTTTGCCCAGACAAGAGGGCAATGACCACGCAGAAATTCATTGAAAAACTCCAATCGTAAGTTCTGCACTGCAACGTAAATGTGAAATGAGGGAGAAAAATGCATCTCCATACTGTTTTTATGGTTACTACCATTTTATTGGCAGCTAAATTTAATATTCTAATGAGTTGAGGATAAACTGGGCAATAAAGACCAATGGCAATTTCTGATGCTGGTTAACGTTACACAATGATTAATAAGTGTGTTTTTTTTGTATGTAAAAATGTTAATTTACTGTTGCCTTATTAAACGTTTAAAAGTGCAGTTTGCTGGTCTCATTGGACATGTTGCTTGTGCTGTCATAAAGTAGGTGCTACTTAACGATGCGCCTTAAGGACATACAGTACAACCTTGGATTGCGAGTAACTTGGTCTACGAGTGTTTTGCAATACGAGCAATTTTTTAAAATAAATATTAATTTGACAAACGAGCGAGGTCTTGCAATACGAGTAGTACGTGTATACGCTTTGTCTGCCGAGCGTCACGTGATCACAACTGATATACGAGTTCTTTGGATTACAAACACGTTTCCGGAACGAATTATGCTCGCAATCCAAGGTTTTATTGTACTACCCTTTTGACCAATACACCACTCGATGAAGGCCTTGCCATTGTGTTTTGATTTTTTACTTCATGCTGAACAGTCTGGGTTGGTGAAGACTGGTAGCATAGAGATATGGTTCAAGTGGATTATTCTCTTCTGCTGCATGACTGGTCAGTACCAGTTGGGGAAGTATGCACCAAGTGCCAGGACAGATATCATACTTCTTTGATTGTTAGCCATGGTCAGAAATCGAACACTGGTTGGGGTTCATAGGAAACAGTGGTGAGCGGTTAACGTACTGCATTATCAACTCGTGCTCACAAGTGTTAATTACCTTCCATGGCTGGCATCCGTGGAAAATGATAATTAAATTGGTCCAGGACCTTCAGCTGGAGAATACTCTCCTGAATAGTGTGGTGAAGCGTGGTCAGACGACCTCCATAATCGAGAAGTGTAGGGATGGCCTTCATCACTTTGTTGACAAAGTTTCTGCACAGAATTCAAACTGCGTGCATTAAATCATTTCGGAATTGTGTGGTTCTGCTGCATGCAGGAATCCGGAGACTTGTAATGAGTTTGCAAAGTGGGGCCTGTCATTCGATCGGCAACTGCTGAGCTTGACTGGTCGCGTGGTGACTTGTGAGAAGCTTTATCAGAAAGATCAATCGGTAAATGTCCACGTTTCATTTTAATTGTGTTTAGAAAATGTATACTGGATGCAATCATTCAGATAGTGATCGGAGTACATGGTACCGAGATTGTTTATTGATTTGTGTATTTTTTTGTGGTTAGTACCAGTATAACCAAAGACAGGCAGACTGGTCGCGGGAGTCTCGGAACATGAAGCTGATGACGCCCATCTCGTTGGAAGAATGGATGTTGCTTTTCACGCGGAACAACAGCAATGAAGCTCGTGCCATTGTACAGAACCTGATGCAAGTCGGCCCACCCATGGGCATGCACATCAACAAGCCAGAAATGTGAGTGTCCGGATGATGGAACAGATTATGTTTGGAAATATTAAATTCCAAAAAATGTTACCCATTTAGCATACCACTTCAGTGACCAGATTTACAAAGCTGCTGGAGTTGTATGTATCTAAAACCTCTCGTTCTCTGGCTACAGGTTTTTTTGTGTTTTTCTCACTTGCCATGTGCTTGGAATAAGCGAAGTGTTTTTTTTCGTCTTGAAGGTTTGAAGTTCAGGATCGCGCACAGTCATTTGTGCAAACCTTGCAGCAGAATTTGAACCATCACACCCAGATTGTAAGTGGGGTCCTCATTTTAGTCCCAAGTTTAATATTGGTTTTGTGGTGCATTGTTAAGAGGACAATCTTTGGAACTAATTTTTTTTTTATTCTGCTATTCAATTGAAATGTGTTTATTAGTATTTTGGAGCGGGGTGGGGAGTGATGCAAAATAACACTCTTAAGTTTGTACGTGTGGTTAATAGTCCAGTATTTGTATTAACTAACAGCCGGCCCTTGGTTTTGGATGGGTGATGGCTTGTCCCTCCCGGCAGCCAGTGAGCAAAACTTTGTTTAATGTATATGATAGAATGATGGCATATCCTGTGCTGTTGTGCGGGATACACTGCCAGAGTGGTGGGTGGGGGTGGCATGGCATCAGCATGCACTAATCCAGCCCAACGTTCTGAGATGCGGCGATGGCATCATCACGATTCTGCACTTTGCCTTGGCAGGCAGGAATCTGGGTAGGAATCCAGGCAGAAAACTTTTCTAGCATAGTATAAAGTGCGAGAATATGATGTGTGCTTTTGTTTCTAATGTGGAATGTGATCAGGTTATGTGCGTACTGCCATCGGTCCACAAGGGAAAGTATGATTCGATCAAGCAGTTCCTGTGTGTGGAACGACCGTTCCCCAGTCAATGTGTTCTCGCCCGGACACTCAGCAAGCCACAAATGATAAGGAGCGTTGCGACAAAGATCGCATTGCAGATGAACTGCAAGCTTGGTGGAGAGCTGTGGGGCGTTGAGATTCCCGTAAGTAGACTGCATGATGTTGGGTTCTTTGTGTTTCAACAATTGTTGCTTACCTGATGAGGCTTCACACGTACTGCTATATGGAAATAAGTTGCTGACATGTGTGAGCGCCAATGTCGACATAGCCTATGGCTAATGAAGAGCTTCTATTAGCGAATCAGTTGTGATTTAGTAATCCAGTTGTGTTGTCTGAGAGTTGGTGAATGTTAAGATTTGGTCAGCATAGGGTCTTGAAGTAATGGGTTTTAAACATTTGTGGCAAGATGCTGACAGAACTCAAATATTGTGACCTAAATTGGTACACAATTACACATCTGAACTTGTGTCTGCATGGACTGTTTTATGCCTCCCAGGTGGGTTTGTGAACCTGGCTTGTGTTTCAGTGATCCTATTGTGCAAGCAGTGTCTTAGCTTTATACCAAACACATTTCTCTTTGGATGTGCTTTTGGTCTCTTTTTGTGGCATACAGATTAAGCAGTTGATGGTGGTTGGAGTGGACTCGTGCCATGATTCTGTTACACGTGGGCAGTCTGTCTGTGGCTTTGTAGCAAGTCTCAACCAAACTATTACCAGGTTTGTAATGACCAATAAAAACTTCTAACCGGCCTTTTTGAGACCCATGCTCATTCCTATATTAATTGAATATAACCCAGGGTGATGTGAGTATTGTTATGATAATTTTAAATATAATGCCTCTTGAAATGTAGCTCCGATATGATTGACTTAAATTACTCGCTGTGTGATTGATTTGCATTTTCTCAGCTTATCACTGTTGTAAATTGTCTGTCCATACAGATGGTACTCGCGTTGCATTTTCCAGCATGCTGCTCAGGAAATGATTGATGGACTCAAAGTTTGCATGCAATGTAAGCACTTTATTTCTCTCCAGATGATTGCAAGCCATTATGATGATGTAATGATTTAAATACTTAAGTTTTGTTGTAGTTGCATATGGTATTTTCTCTAATTCGAGGTCAGCTTTTGTCTACTACTGATGGGGCAGGTGTGACTCGTTACCGTTTTTCACCAAATTGATCAATAAAATGTACGATTAATCCAAACACTCAAGTCATCGTCGACCATGATGAATCTACTGGTGGATGAAGGCATCCTCAAGTAGTTGCTATTTCTTGCAACGCAACAAATCACATGTTATTCTTGGTTCTTTCGGTAAAGTCACGTAGAAGAGAAAAAATTATGTAATAAAAAATATAAAAAATACTGTTTTATATTTTTATTATTTTATTTTTTCCCTTCTACGTGACTTTACCGAAAGAACCAAGTCACGAAAGCTTTAAATAAAAAAAAATCACATGTTGCTTATATACATATGCTTTGTGCGCTTTTTGGCGTTAATATTTTTGCGCCCTTTTTGGCGTTCATATTTTCGTTATCAATGTCCGTGCGTCATAGCAGGCAACATTCTTCTTTGGGCACATAAGGTAGTCATCAAAAGCTGATTGGGATAAAAAATTATGAACTAAGAGGCACAATTGGGCAAGTTGAAGTGCTTTTACAAAACTGAAGTTAATGTTGTCTATAAAGTTATTTTTGTCTTTCTTCAGCGGCAGTCAAACGGTGGCAGCAGATCAATCGCACTCTGCCAATGCGCATCGTGTTATACCGTGACGGTGTGGGGGACGGACAGCTGAGTGTGGTAGTCAACCATGAGGTTCCCCAGCTACTCGACTGCCTCAAGAGCCTCGGCACTGACTACACGTATGTCCCACTCGTCTCGTCATTCTTTGTGTTGAGACAATTCCTCTGTTCATAATCAACGTTTTTGGGTTGGATCGCGTTATTTATAAATGTGTCGTAACCCTCCACCACCCGACATGGCCCATCAGCAAAAAAGTGTCACCTTGACAAAAGACAAATAGTTCACTGCTTTAGCCCACCGGTGTGTTGAAGCGTGAAACCACAACATTTACAATTTGAGTAGCGCGACGTTTCGCTGGTAATTGCATCCAGCATCATCGGGCAATTCGCCAAAAGCAGAGCCTCACCAGATATGGGATTAGTCACTACTTGTGGAATGTGTAGGTATGCTAAATTCATCTGTTTATATGTAAATTCCTTTGTCAAGGCGCTCTCCCCTAACCCAGCTTAAATATACGCTGCCAAGCTTGGTGGTGTTCATTCGGACGCTGTCTTTCCGACAGCCCTGTTCTTCACCTGAGGACGGCTGCTTGCGTTGTGGCCGAAACGTCGTGAGAATTTTATTTTATTATGTTTTATTATTTTATTTTTATCTCCCTTCTACGTGACTTTACCGAAAGAACCAAGAAGATGTGTGCAGATGTTTAAACACGATGGCATGTGACAACGAGGTCTGCCAGGACACTCCTATTTTTTTATTGAGACCCACTGTAAAATATGGTCGAAGCGCCCTAACGTATAGTTCCGAATGTATATTATTTAAAAATCTCCTTATTTTTTCTTCTTCTTTGGCGAATGAAGACCCAAAGTCACTGTGGTGGTGGTGAAAAAGAGGGGCATTGCTCGTTTCTTTGAGTTTGGAAGGAGCGGAGTGCAAAATCCATCGCCCGGCACGGTCATTGACACCGAGGCTACGCGTCATGAATGGTGAGCTGCCAGTCTCAATCTGTGTTTTTATCATTGCAGACCTGTGCTGTAGATGTGCACGTGGATATGATGGTTTACGGCTGTAAACTGTTAATCGCGTGCAAATATAAAACCGTTAACGTGTATTTTGTTTTACTTGTTGGTTAATGTCAAAATACAACTTGGGTGTTATGCGAATTTCGACGGTAATTTAACAGGGCCAGGGAGTCAACAGCACTGGTGACGGGGGAAAGGGTTTTCAAGACTAAGTGGGTATTTTGTTGACATTGGGATTTTATTGCAAGATCTTATTTGTGATGTGTTGCTACCGTTTTTGCCTTGATAAATCAGGAGAAATTGGTCGGAATACGCCATTTTTGAAAGGAATTGACTGGATTAGCAACTAGGCATTAATATTATCGCAGATGAAGCCTTTTTTTATAATATAGGATGTGACCAAATCATTGCCCAATATCAGATTTTGGAAGCACGTTTGAGCCCAGGTATTGCTTGGATGCATATCTACCATGCATAACATAACATGCTGATGGGCTACATGGTCAGCAGCAGATGGCAGTGCAGATAAACAATCCATTGTTGTACTTGCATGTCTATGCTCCTACAGTGCTCCTGCATGAATCAACCCTCGTTGATTAGCATAGTAAAGTATGGTCAAGTAACTACCATCGCAACAGGGAACGGGGAGATGTCAAAGGGCTGTGCATATACATGCACAATAGCATGACAAAAGCATAACACAAACATGACTCCCAAACAAATATTTTGTTATGCCCTCTTACAACGGCCCTTTCCCCAAGGTATGACTTCTTCCTCGTGAGCCAGTCGGTGCGCCAGGGCACCGTGACACCCACGCACTACAATGTGGTGTACGACACCAGCAACATGAAGCCTGACCACATGCAGCGGCTTGCCTACAAGATGTGCCACCTTTACTACAACTGGCCGGTAAGGGGCTGCATTGAGCTATATCGGAGGTTAATTATTGCAAAAAAAATGACAGCGAATGAATCGAGATGATTCGATGACCAAATGTTTTAACTGATTTTTTTTCTTTTCTGGATTGTACATAATATGGATTTATACCGTTGGTAAATATTGCAACATTAATTTCAATGTTTTCTTTATCTTGCAGGGTGTCATCTGCGTGCCAGCACCCTGCCATTATGCCCACAAACTGGCCTTTCTTGTTGGGCAAAGCATTCACAAGGAGCCCAGCCTTGACCTTTCCGATCGACTGTATTACCTTTAAGACATCGTATCGGGTTCATGGCTATGTGTGGTAGTTGGATGACCATTTCCGACACGTGTCAGAGGTCCTTTAGAGAAGAAAACAAGTAATGTTTGCTCAGCTTGAAAGATATTTTTATTTCCAAAGTTGAATGGTCAAAGCTTAATTCTGATTCGAAACGATACATTAAACGCATATTTTTCTAAAATATTGGGAAAATAACATGGAAACTGCAAAACAATGGAGATAACATTGTCCATTTTACATCCCGTTTTGTAGCAACAGTCCCATTACCGATTTTGTAGTGGTTTTGTTTTTGTATGTGGTTTATTGTCTAAGCATTCGGTAATTTACAATTTGTCCCTCAACCAGCAAGTTAGCAAAGCAAGCAACTTTGACAGTTGTAAATTGGGCAGGGCCGCCATGGTGGCGAGATGTGAACTACCTCGCCTGGTATACAGGTCGTGGGTTCGATCCCAACCCCGATGCCTATATATTTGGAGTTTGCATGTTCGCTCTGGTTGTGTGCATTTTTCTCCAGGACCTCTGGTTTTTCCCTCAACATTTTATAAACATGTTTTTAGATTATTTGGCTGCTATAAATTTCCACATGATGAGCCACTTTGTTGCGCTATCATTTGTGGCCAGGTCGCTTCTGAAAAAGTGCTATGTAGATCAGTGGGCCTTACCTGGTAATATCAAAACACCTTAATAGAACCTTCCATCAATTTATATTTTCTATTTTATTTGGAATGGAATCCTGAGGAGCATGGTAACATCCTTGAGCCAATGCTTTGCATATGAACTATTTAGAATTTACGTGTGGCTGTTGAAAGGCATTTATTTCAAAGGAATGGCAAGAATTTGTGTCTTCTTGGTTCTTTCGGTAAAGTCACGTAGAATGGAAATAATAAAAATAAAACATAATAAAATAATTCTCACGACGTTTCGGCCACAACGCAAGCAGCCGTCCTCAGGTGAAGAACAGGTCTGTCAGAAAGACAGCGTCTGAATGAACACCACCAGAATTTGTGTTTTAGATTAATTCTAAACCTATGTTCCATCGGCATGTGAGCTTATATAGCAAAATATTCACATGGAGTGTAAATGGTTATCTGTTTAGTTAGAGGCTCAGTCTTTTGGATATAACCACACTGATTTCTTGTGAGTGATATTTTGAAAGGTGCATCCTTTATGGAATTTAAATGTTTTGTTCAATTTGAAGTTGTTTGTACAAGAGGCATGCTGAAGATCTCATGGCGTTTCGCAAGAGTATTGACCATTGTGTGCTGACGCATACAGGGACTCGACTTACGAACGAGTTAGGTTATTGAGTTCTGTTCCTAAGTCGTTTTTTTTCGCAAGTCCAACTTTTTACACCTGTCGATTCCAAACATGCACGGCATGTACACTTCACACGGAGTGGCTTTAAAAGTTGTATATTCTGCTGTAGATGTCACTGGTTCTTCATGAGCAGATATAGATGCCACCACCATCTATTGTGCGGCCGTTGGACTTAAGACTCGGTCTGAACAGGCAACTTGGACATACAGTGAGGGAAAAAAGTATTTGATCCCCTACTGATTTTGTACGTTTGCCCACTGACAAAGAAATGATCAGTGTATAATTTTAATGGTGGGTTTATTTGAACAGTGAGAGACAGAATAACAACAAAATCCAGAAAAACGCATGTCAAAAATGTTATAAATTGATTTGCATTTTAATGAGGGAAATAAGTATTTCACCCCTCTGCAAAACATGACTTAGTACTTGGTGGCAAAACCCTTGTTGGCAATCACAGAAGTCAGACGTTTCTTGTAGTTGTCCACCAGGTTTGCACACATCTCAGGAGGGATTTTGTCCCACTCTGCAGATCTTCTCCAAGTCATTAATGTTTCGAGGTTGACATTTGGCAACTTGAACCTTCAGCTCCCTCCGCAGATTTTCTATTGGATTAAGGTCTGGAGACTGGCTAGGCCACTCCAGGACCTTAATGTGCTTCTTGTTCCCTTGGCCGTGTATTTTGGGTCATTGTCATGCTGGAATACCCATCCACGACCCATTTTCAATGCCCTGGCTGAGGGAAGGATGTTCTTGCCCAAGATTTGACGGTACATGGCCCCGTCCATCGTCGCTGAAGCGGTGAAGTTGTCCTGTCCCCTTAGCAGAAAAACACCCCCAAAGCATAATGTTTCCACCTCCATGTTTGACGGTGGGGATGGTGTTATTGGGGTCATAGGCAGCATTCAACTGTTTTCTTGGTGACTATGGTCCCAGCTGCCTTGAGATCATTGACAAGATTCTCCCGTGTAGTTCTGGGCTAATTCCTCACCGTTCTCATGATCATTGCAACTCCACGAGGTGAGATCTTGCATGGAGCCCCAGGCCGAGGGAGATTGACAGTTCTTTTGTGTTCCATTTGCGAATAATCGCACCAACTGTTGTCACCACACCAAGCTGCTTGGCGATGGTCTTGTAGCCCATTCCAGCCTTGTGTAGGTCTACAATCTTGTCCCTGACATCCTTGGAGAGCTCTTTGGTCTTGGCCATGGTGGAGAATTTGGAATATAATTGATTGATTGCTTCTGTGAACAGGTGTCTTATACAGGTAACAAGCTGAGATTAGGAGCACTCCCTTTAAGAGTGTGCTCCTAATCAGCTCGTTACCTGTATAAAAGACACCTGGGTGCCAGAAATCTTTCAGATTGAGAGGGGGTCAAATACTTATTTCCCTCGTTAAAATGCAAATCAATTTACAACATTTTTTACATTCGTTTTTCTGGATTGTATTATTTTGTCGCTCACAATTTATAGACTGATAATATCTTTGTCAGTGGGCAAACGTACAAAAATCAGCAGGGGATCAAATACGTTTTTCCCTCACTCTATGAACCTTATAGCGGGACCCCGGGGTCCCATAAGCCCCCGGCTCTCGCATAAACTGCGTTGCGACGTCATTTTATGTCTTCCTCTCGACGAGCTCTACACGATGCGCTAAACAAAGTTTTGTTTCTTCGCATTCGGCCTCGCTACGCTTGGACAACATGACAACAGAATTATCCGCACCAGGTGGGTCGCGGTGTTTATGTGCGCAGTGGGACGGAGTCGCTAAAAATAAATAAACTTTACGATTTTGGCTTCTGACTGGGGACCCGCCATAAGGTTCATATGGACAAGTTCGTACTTTTGAAAGTTTGTAAGTCAAATTTTCGTAACTAGAGTTATTTAGGTAAAGTCACTTGACTTTACCGAAAGAACCAAAGAGTGGATTCCTGCAGTCACGAAAGCTTCAAATCAAGATTGTCCCCCTGTACTGGACGTCTGAAAAAATGAACCCGTAAAAACAGTTTTTCACTATAAATCCTTTATATGCGTGGCGGCTAGAGTCCTCTCGTCCTCTGGCTTGAGATGGCTGCCACCTATGGGTCAGATGATTGCCAGTTTTAAGCAATTGGATTTGTTTTCCATAAACAGTGTAAAATTTAGGATTTTTTTTCACGAAAATTAATTGTCACAACGAGTCTGTGGAAAATGTCAGCTCGATTGGATCACGGGAAGTGGGTTAAAAAACGAGCGAAAGATTTGCACGGTCCTAAGCAAGCAAGCGAACTTAATATAAAGGATTATAAAAAATATTCGCCTGTGGAGGACGCGGGGATCGATCCCGCGACCTTTGGTATGGGAAGCGAGGGCACTACCAACTGCGCTACTCCGCCACGGCCTGTGGAGGGGTTACGCTCTGGGCTCTTATACTGTGACGTTCAGCCAAAGCCATGAATGAGTTCTATTTGAATATATGTAAAATAAAAAATTTTTGCCTAAAAAGTGTAACATTTTGGGAATTTTTTTTTCACGAACATTAATTGTCTGGCACAACGAGTCTGTGTGGAAAATGTCAGCTCGATTGGATCACGGGAAGTGGGTTAAAAAACGACCGAAAGATTTGCACGGTCGTATGCAAGCAAGCACGCAAGCAAGCAAGAATGCGAACTTAATATAAAGGATTTAAAAAGAGCATCGCTCATCGGATTCCTCCAATCTAAATATTCTGATGGTCCGAGTTGGAAAGATTCCAAAGCGATTTGATCTATATATCTATGAAGAAGAATATCTATGGGTCTCATTACTGGTATAAAAATTATGAAAAAAGAATAGGCTTTCCAGCAATAATACAGGCTTGTAAGATGTTAAATGCCGATTGCAAGCATCAAGTCTGCATTAACCACGTGCTATGATGTGCACACAAACTTGCTTGATAAAGTTTTGTCTTTGAAACTGATTGGCCTGCACCATATACGACTTCTCCTTATGGCCTTGTCCCACCAAAAGTGTTAAAACCTATTTTGTTCATTTTGATACGGGGGCTGGGGGAGTTGCGTAGATATAAGTGCTTAACCCGAGCTCTCGACGATTTGAAATTTGCATTGCCCGCCTTTTGGTGATCTCCAGTGAAGAGTTGAATTTGCCTCCTTTTTAAATCCTTTATATTAAGTTTGCTTGCTTGCTTGCGTGCTTGCTTTTGCTTGCTTACGACCGTGCAAATCTTTCGGTCGTTTTTTAATCCACTTCCCGTGATCCAATCGAGCTGACATTTTCCACACAGACTCGTTGTGACAGACAATGTTCGTGAAAAAAAATTCAAAAATTTTACACTTTTTAGGTAAAAAATTATTTGATATTTATTCAAATAGAACTCATTCATGGCTTTGGCTGAACGTCACAGTATAGGAGCCCAGAGCGTAACCCCTCCACAGGCCGTGGCGGAGTAGCGCAGTTGGTAGCGCCCTCGCTTCCCATGCCAAAGGTCGCGTGATCGATCCCCGCGTCCTCCACAGGCGAATATATTTTAAATCCTTTATATTAAGTTTGCTTGCTTGCTTAGGACCGTTCAAATCTTTCGCTCGTTTTTAACCCACTTCCCGTGATCCAATCGAGCTGACATTTTCCACACAGACTCGTTGTGTGTGACAATTTTCGTGAAAATGTTTAAATCCTTTATATTAAGTTCGCTTGCTTGCTTGCGTGCGTGCTTGCTTGCTTGCTTACGACCGTGCAAATCTTTCGGTCGTTTTTTAACCCACTTCCCGTGATCCAATCGAGCTGACATTTTCCACACAGACTCGTTGTGACAGACAATTAATGTTCGTGCAATTTTTTTCTCCAAAATTTTACACTGTTTAGGGAAAACAAATTAAATATTTAATTACCAATTGCTTAATACTGGCAGACAATCATCTGACCCATAGATTGCAGCCATCTCAAGCCAGAGGACGAGAGGACTCTAGCCGCCACGCATATAAAGGATTTAGAGTGAAAAACTTTGTTTTTACGGGTTTACTTGTTAAATCCTTTATATTAAGTTCGCTTGCTTGCTTACGACCTTGCAAATTTTTCGGTCGTTTTTTAACCCACTTCCCGTGATCCAATCGAGCTGACATTTGCACACAGACTCGTTGTGCGTGACAATGTTCGTGAAATTTTTTCCCAAAATTTTACACTTTCTAGGACAAAAATATATTTTATTCCCAATTGCTTAATGGTGGCAGGCAATCATCTGACCCATAGGTGGCAGCCATCTCAAGCCAGAGGACGTGAGGACTCTAGCCGCCACGCATATAAAGGATTTATAGTGAAAAACTTTGTTTTTACGGGTTATATTTGTTACTACTTGGTCTTTCCCTTTGGGTCCATTGGTATGAGTTAAGTTACATTTCAGTACTCTGAAAATAATGTCAACGTCGTTTCTAAAAGGTATTTAGAAGTTTAAATGCAGTAAGCGGTATGTTCTGTTAATAAAGCAATGTTGAAGCTGTGTGTGTGCCCATGGACGCTTTTTATTGATTTGTTGACATTTGTACTATCATGTTTTAGTATAGTTTTGACCCGCCCCCTAATCAGATTTCTCCAGTAACATTCCTACGGAGGGAGCTGGTAGGAACGTTGGGTTGCTCTGTCAATGGCCAGGGTCAACGGCGGCGTGGTGTATTCCGCAAATATGCCCGACTGTGAGGGCGGGCACAAGCCGGCGTGAGTAGGTTAAACGTTGAGTTTTATAAGGGCACCACGGGGTGACCAGCCCCTCCCTGCACGACGGACACGATCCCCTGTGGGCTGGTGTAACCAGGAGGTTCCTACCAGTATAAATACATGTTCTGATTCTGTAACCTTAGTACTTTCACTTAATTTAAGTAGAACATCGGACAATAAGTAAATCTAACTGCACTTTGTGCTGTATAAATCTGCAAGGACATACATTTTCATACTGGTAGGAACCTCCTGGTTACACCAGCCCACAGGGGATTATTGTGTCCGTCGTGCACGGAGAGGGTGGTCACCCCGTGGTGCCCTTATAAAACTCAACGTTTAACCTACTCACGCCGGCTTGTGCCCGCCCTCACAGTCGGGCATATTTGCGGAATACACCACGCCGCCGTTGACCCTGGCCATTGACCGAGCAACCCAACGTTCCTACCAGCTCCCTCCGCAGGAATGTGTTTTGATGTCCAAACACCAAATATAAATCTTGATTTGAAGCTTTCCTGACTGCAAGAATCCATTCTCTTTGGTTCATTGGGTAAAGTCACGTAGGTAGAAAATTTTAAATAAATCACGACGTTTCGATCGTAACACAAGCGACCGTCATCAGGTGGAACAGATACAACAGGAGAACTGCTGACAAATATAAACTTTTTGTTGCAAGGAATCAAAATCTACATTAACCAAATGGTTAAGACTGCATAAATAATCACGGCATGTTTTATTCGCATGTTCACCTCAAGTATCGCGTGTGCTTAATGCAGTACTTGCTTCTCTTACAAAATATTTCTGTTTTGTGTTTGAACGCCTTAACACCACCTGTTTTATTACGTAAAATGTGCAAAATGTATTTTGAAAGTCGAACAGCTGTTTATGCAAGGGGGGGAGGGATTGGGGGGGGGGGGTGGAGGGGTCGTGCGCATGCGCGCGCCACGTGCGTGGTTTTCCCGCCAAATTAAGGAGGGAGGGGCGGGGCTGTCACGTGCCCCCCTCCCTTTCCCCTCAGCAATGAAACTGGCCTCTTGATCGTCACGTCATATTGTTAACGATTAGAATTTAGTTTATTTAAAGGTAAACAATCGCAATATATCATTGTCGTTTAGTTTTGTGTTACTAATGGTAAAATTTGCGACGTTGATTTCCGGTGAAACGAAAAGAAATCGCTCTTTTTTTCTCCTCAGAATCAAAACATAGACGATAAACTTTATAATTTCACAAATTTTTATTTCCTCAACTAAGTAGTTTAAAGTGATTCGCGTTTAGGAAAAAAAATCAAAGCTCTATTCATACAGTCCTGTGATATAAAACGTAGAGAAGTGAATGTCGAAGTGCCCTACAGCGACACATTCCAATATTTAAATCATCTTAATTCCTTTACTTTTTACGCCACACGTGGGATTTCAACGTATTTACGACGTATTTACAATGTATTTACAATGTTTGAACGTCACTGTTTAATATACGTATACTCTACAGCCCTTGTTGCTAATAGACTGCCGAATGAGGTCATCGTGGTGGTCACTTTGACCATACTTCACCACACAGGTCATAGCAGGTTAGTGAAGGCGGTATACGAAGTTATATTTATGAGTTTAACACGTAGTAAGGACGCCTTCGACACCGATATACATAATAGTTTTGTTTGGGTTAGATCGTGTAAATATAAATGTGTTAATGAACCTCTTGACTGCCCGCCTGTTGCTGTTTGCATTCCTGTCAAACCTTATCTTTATAAGAGAACAATTCAGACTTTATTAGTCACCCCGTGCCCTTATAAATCTTAAAGTTAATCCTACAAAGTCCAATAAAGGAGAAATACAAATAGACAATCACTATTTTGCCCGGATCGAACCGTCTGTACGCCGTATTGGACCTGAACTTTGCGTGTATAAGAAGAATACTGCTAAACTGTATGGGTTGACAGGTATAACGTTCATACTCTTGGTTACTTCGGTAAAGTCACGTAGAAGGGAAATAATAAAATATAAATATAAAACAATAAAATTCTCACGACGTTTCGACTGCAACACAAGCAATCATCATCAGGTGTGAAATCTACAGCAAGACATGTAGTGTATAGTGTAGTGTCGTATAGTGTAGTGTATTATGTAGTGTATAGTGTAGTATATAGTGTATAGTATTGTAGTGTATAACAGTGTATAGTGTAGTGTATAGTGTAGTGTATAGTGCAAAAATGTCTTGCTGTGGATTTCACACCTGATTATGATTGCTTGTGTTGCAGTCGAAACGTGAGAATTTTTGTTTTATAATTTTTTTCTTTTATTATTTCCCTTCTACGTGACTTTGCCGAAGGAACCAAGAATATTAATCTCTGCAGTCACGAAAGCTTTAAATAAAAAAATTATGCAGTTGTAATTATTGGCGAAACGTACAATGAATTCTAAATGTTGCTGTGGGTTTACTCTCCCAACACCGGTGTGCTGAACTAGTAACGATTTGGCATGTTTTGTTTGTGACAAACCTTACGAATTGGCTGTGTCGGGTGGTGGCGGGCTTCATGACACATTTATGTATTTACGCGATCTAACCCAAAAAAAAACCTGTATTATGGGTGACATTGGCCAGGTCGCTTTAAGAAGCGACCTGGCCACTAATATTGCTAAACGGAAGTGGATTATCATCATGTGGACATTTATAGCGGCAAAATAATCTTACGAGTGATGTTGAATTTAAATGCGGAGGGGGGGGGGGGAATAAAAAAAATACCACACGATCACAGAGAGAACTTAGAACACTCCACATGTACAGCAGGCGCCAGGGTCTGGATCGAACCCACGACCTCCTGTAGACCAGGTTCCAACCCTGCTTCGGCTTCCCAGATCCGGCGAGACTGGACGCGTTGCGGGTGATTTGTTAAACCATCCAAAACACATTGTCCTGCGGAGGGAGCTGGTAGGAACGTTGGGTTGCTCGGTCAATGGCCAGGGTCAACGGCGGCGTGGTGTATTCCGCAAATATGCCCGACTGTGAGGGCGGGTACAAGCCGGCGTGAGTAGGTTAAACGTTGAGTTTTATAAGAGCACCACGGGGTGACCAGCCCCTCCCCACCCAGCCCCACCCTTCCCACCCAGCCCCTCCCCACCCTCCCACCCCCACCCAGCCCCCACCCAGCCCCACCCAGCCCCTCCCTGCACGACTGACACAATAATCCCCTGTGGGCTGGTGTAACCAGGAGGTTCCAACCAGTAAAAACACCTCCATTAAGTTCTACAGAGTAGTTGGCCTTCTGTTTTGCCTTTTATAAGCGGCATTGTTTGCAGTTGAAGGTGTCAATTGACGTTAACAACGTCTGTTTTAATGTTCACTTTGCAATGCCAGACGCGTCATTCTGGATTGAACATGTCAGAAACACACGAAGATGTGAAAATCTCGGTAAGGAGGACCATTATTTACCACGAGCAATTGCACATCCATTTTTGTTGTGCCCAATAAATGCTGCCGTGTACATTCATGCCAAATTATACTGCAGTACAGTTTGGACCTATTTTCATGGGGAACTTTCTCTCGTTTACATGTCAGACATTGGGAAGTGGTGAAAAGTTGAGATTACAATGAATGACGTTGAGAATTAACGATACAGTAATTGCATTGTATGCGCCAGTTTGAAAAGACCGAGAAACGTAAAATGTACACACTAGCCTTTGGCCAGAATATATTGAAGATGTCATCGCAAGTAGCACGTGACATTTTATTTGGGTTTAAATGTGAGCTGCATTTACCTGTAAGGCCAATAAACACACGCCATTTCCTTCACCAAAAAACTCTTATCTTTATTATTTTCAAAATGTATGCTATTCCCACATTGGTTTCAATTAAAGCATGCCAGTGTAATCCAATGGACGCTTTTTATCTTTCTTTCTCACAGCTTGAGTGTTGCCTAAAGGAAGCTTTAAATAAAAATGGATTTAAAATTGTTGATGATGCTCTCCAAATGAAACCAAGCGACATAGACTGCCGCTGCAGTGAAAACCTTTTGTCAATTTTGGATAATATAGTTAATGTGGTAAGTAAAACAACGGTATAGTTCTTAAATTGAGCAATGAATTGAAAACTCTTGTGTATTTAGCAATATAGGTAACAAAAACTACCCTTCCAAAGCACAAGTGTTAGTGTGAGAGCATTTGTTAATCTCTTTACCATAGGCATTTCCATTACACTTTTAAATTGTATGAACGGTTAATGTGTGGTCAACACGTTATTAGTATGCCAGTAAGCAGTTTTTGAGGGAAGGTGACATCTACAGAATGTTTATTGGCAAGAGGGGAAGTTGGCAAGTCGTATATTTTTGCTGTGCCGTTTAGTATTTGAAATGTAGGTGATGAGTTGTATTACCCTATAATAAGGTAGTACAGTATACAATTCGCGACACTAACTTATTTCACAAAAACTACGTGATTTGTACCTGTAAACATGTTTTCTTATTTTCTGTTTTCAGGATATACATAGAGGAAAATATGACCACATTGCACTCGTCATGAGGTGTCTTTGCTACTTCTCTATTCCCACTAATGAGAATTTCTCTTTTATGATTGAACAAGGGCTGATCCAGAAGATAAGTGTCAACAGTTTTGTAGTAGTGTTTCGCTGTTGTATCTGCGGTTTAAAACAAGTATAAGTACTCTTTGGTTCTTTCTAGTGTAAAGTAGGAGCCGACACCAGATTGCAGGGGTCTCGTCCTTTATTCTTTTCCTTCCATCCACACCTGTCCCCCAGCCGTCCCAATCTCGTTCCCGCCAAAGGCCCCTTCTTCCCGCCCGTTCTCTCCTTATATCTCTTCGATCACCCCTCCCACTAACCCATCTATTGGTGGGAATCCTTCCCCTGACACCCCTACATCACCCCCCCCCCCGGAGAAAAAAATAACCGTCCTCGGTTCTGCCTCCCCCATGGACCATTTAAATCTCCCCATGCCTCCCCCCACTGACAGTGACGACAGCCCTTACCCCCCCCACAACCATACAATGCAACATAACACAACGAAATCAATTGCGCGGCCTGCCCAGGTCTCCAGCCAGCATCCCGTAACAGCCCGGACATCCACAGGCAGCAGATGACCGTGGCGGCCCCCTCCTTCGAAGGCCCTCTCGTCGCGGTCCCTGGTTCGGTGGTGCTGGTGTCGCCTTGCCCGGCGCCGCTGTCTCTCCGGCCCCCGCTCGTGCCGCCGCTCCGTCAGGCCTCACATGGGGTGCTGTAGGTGACAAGGGAACACAGGGCACCGAACCCCCTGCCGGTCGGTGCGTGGTGGTCGGCGACCTTGGCCTGGGTAGGGATGATGATGATGTTGGCAGTGATGTTGGTGGTGATGTTGGTGAAGATGACGGTGGAGAGATGTATGGCTTAAGGCGGGTGGGGTGTACAAACCATCGTCGCTTACCCAGTTGGACCTGGACGCACTGCGGTCGGAGTGCTTTAATGACCTCGACCGGCCCTTTCCAGGGTCGGTGCAGCTTTGGTGAGAGGCCAACCGGCACCTGAGGACAGTGTAGCCATGCCTGGTCCCCGACTTTGAAGGGCTTGGCTGTCACTGTCCTCTCCCGTATCCGTACATTACTCTCTTGGCTCGTGGCCGATGCGGCCTCGGCTGCTTGGCGGGCCTCTCTCAAATAAATGAGGGAGGTCTTTAGTGCCTTCGGCCATGCGTCGGCTCTTGCGGGAATGTCCGTCAACTGCACCTCAATAGGCGGAACGGGATCCCGTCCGTACATCAGGAAAAACGGCGAGAACCCCGTCGCCGCGTGTGGGGCCACCCTGTACGCCGCTAAGACAGATGGAATGTGGAGGTCCCAGTCGGAATGGTTTTCGTCCACCACTTGGGACAGCATGGCCGCTATGGTGCGGTTAAGCCGCTCTACCATCCCATCGGTCTGGGGATGATACGGAGATGTTCGGACCTTTTTAGTGCCCAGGATAGAGCAGACGTCCTTCAATAGCTGTGAGGAGAAATTCCTGCCCTGATCCGTGAGCAACCGCTCCGGTGCCCCCTTATCAAGGACATAGCCTCCCACGAAGGCATCGGCGATGGTCTGTGCCGTTTGGTCCGGGAGGGCCCACGCCATCGGCCACCTCGTGCAGTACTCGACTCCGACCAACAGGTATTTATTTCCCCGTGGCGTGACCGGCAGTGGTCCCAGGATGTCCAACGCAACCAATTCGTTGACCCTGGTCACCGTGATGGGCTGTAGGGGCGCCCGGCTTACCCGGGGTGGCGGCTTTCGCCGCGCACATTCGACGCAGGTAGCGACCCATCGATGCACATCAGCGGTCATACCTGGCCAAAAGTACCGACTCTGTAATGTGTACAGTGTCTTCCGCCCCGCCAGGTGCAGCAGCTGGCGGCCGTGTACGTCCATAACCAATTGTTGACGCAGCGACTCCGGAACTACCAGGCATCGTCGGCGCCCTGTCGGGTCCCATCGCATGAGGAGGTCCTCCCATACGATGTACTCCTCCCCCCCTGCCTCTGCTGAGGCGCGTAGCGTTCGCAGTGGGGCTTCCTCCAGCTGTAGCCGTCGCCAATCGTCCAAGGTCAGCCCCAGGTCGTGGTCGGTCAGCTGGACCTCACCCTGTGCGTCCTCCGCCGTGCGTACGGGAGCGATGACTGTCCCCTCCGGCCTCGCCTCCTTGCAGCGTGCCCCGCCTGTGGTGCATGCACAAGGGCCCTGGGGCGCCAGTCGGGACAATGCGTCTGCGTTGGCATGTCTGGTCCCTTTGCGATGCACTACTTGGTACCTGTACTCCTGCAGGCGCTCTATCCATCTGGCCAGCTGGCCCGAAGGCTGGTCGATGCGGAGCGAATACTGCAAGGCCGCGTGGTCAGTGCGGACCGTAAATTTGCGACCATACAGGTAGGGTCGAAATTGCTGCACGAAGTGAACGACTGCCAGGAGTTCCCTACGTGTGACGCAGTAGCGCTGCTCCGCTGATGAAAGCACGCGACTACCATAGGCGATAACCACCTCGCGACCCTGCTGGACTTGCGACAAAACACTGCCGATGCCCACATCGCTGGCGTCCGTGTCCAGGATAAAGGGGAGGCCAAAATCCGGAAAAGCCAATGGTGGTGCATCTGTCAGACGTGAGCGCAGCTGCTGGAATGCCTCTTCCTCCAGAGGGCCCCAATAAAACCTCTGGTTCTTCGCCGTCAACACGTGCAAGGGCTTGGCAATGGTTGCGAAGTTGGGTACGAACCGGCGGTAATAAGAAACGAAACCCACAAACCGGCGTACCTCTGGAACCGTTGTGGGAACAGCCCAGGCCCTCACGCAGGCCGTCTTTTCCGGGTCTGTAGCCACTCCAGACTCACTGACGACGTGGCCCAAGTAGCGTACCGACGACTGCATAAGGTGGCACTTCGACGGCTTGAGCTTCAAGTTCGCGTTCCGGAACCGCAGGAATACCTGACGTAATCGGTCAATGTGTTCCTCGAATGATCGGCTGAAGACAATGACGTCATCCAGGTAGATGAGGCACGTTTCCCATTGGAGGCCTGCTAAGGCCAACTCCATTATGCGTTGGAACGTCGCCGGCGCAGTCTGGAGGCCCATAGGCAGGCAGTTGAACTCGAACAGGCCCTGTGGTGTCCGGAACGCTGTTTTAGGCCGGGAGTCCGCGTCTAGTGGGACCTGCCAGAACCCGGACAATAAATCCAGCGTACTGAAAAATTTTGCTCCCGCCAGTGCATCCAATGAGTCGTCAATACGTGGTAGGGGATATGCGTCGGCCAGCGTGACGGCATTGAGGCGTCGGAAGTCCACACAGAATCTCAGTGACCCGTCTGACTTCTTGACTAGGACCACCGGTGCCCCCCAGGGACTCGAGGATGGAGAAATTATGTCGGCCCGCAGCATCTCCTGCACCGCTTGTTGAATGTGCCCTTTTTCCATTGGGCTCATTCTATATGTGTTTTGGCGCAGGGGTGCGGCATCTCCCGTGTTAATGTGGTGCTGCGACAGATTTGTGCGCCCTAGGTCGAACGGTCCCCGGCTGAACACGTCCGAGAACTCATGCAATAATGAGTGCAGCTGCTGTTTCTGGTCGGGCGGCAATCCCGGCTCAGGCCCCGCCAGCTGGTCCATCCACGATTCGGCCCCTCTGTCCTCGGACTGGCTGATGCTGCCTACAAGCTCGGGCTTTGTCCCTGGGGCTCCTAGTGACAAGGGACTAACGTGGGCCAGAACTGTTCCCTCCTGCACCGTCGCTGTTCTATCGGAGATGTTCAGCACCTGAATGAACAGATGCTGGTTCCTCTGTACAATAGTTTCGGCCCCCACCAGCGCATGGCGATCCATGGCAGCTGATGCCGGAGACACCAGGATGGGTGAGTCTGGTCGGGCTGTCACGAGGGGAGACCGATATTGCAGCGGAATCAGCATCTGGGCTGCCGGGGGAATGGAGACAGACTTACTGACCAGAGCCTGCACGTAGGGTACTCCCCGGCTGGCTCCCTCCGCCTTTAGGAAATGGAGATGCGTTCCCTGGACTTCCACCCGCCCATTGGCCAGATCGATTTTCATTGGCATCCGCCTCAGAAAGTCCGTCCCCAACAGGCAGGGTACGGGCAATGTTGCGGAGACAAGGATGGGTCCTGCTACCGAAAGCTGCCCAATCTGTATCGGGGCTTCAACCTGGCCCAGGAAGCCCATGCTGCCTCCATTTGCTGCAATGAACGTTGTCTTGACGGGGACTAAAGGTCGGATTTTATCCGGCAGCATCTCGTGCATGGTGCTCGAGATGATCGTGGCTGATGCCCCCGTATCAACCAAGATACGTGCCGACACTCCCGCGATTTCACCGACCAGGACCGAGGTTCCTGACGTGGCCGCTACCACCCGCCTTGCCAGCTTCCTCCATTGTGTGGCTGAGTCCGGCCACTGACCAGGCGGCGTCTCGTTATCCTGTGGTGCATGGTGAAATGATGGGGGATGGATGTGAATGGACTGAAGATGGGGTTCCTCCCTTTGGAGTGCGTCGCAGCAGGGTGAACGCGCCCTTGTTACATAGTGTGGGCTTACCCCTGGGTTGCGGGCTGGGCTCTCTGTGTGGTGCAAATTGCCCCCCTTTGGTGACGTAGGATGGGCCCCCCTTGTGGTGTGGGGGGCCCCCCCCATTGTAGGGGGCAGTGGGGACTGGGGGGTGGGCCTTCCCGTGAGCCCCTCCCTTCTCCCCTCCCTTCCCTTTGTCACGGGGGCGTGGTCCCCCTGGTTCCGTCTCAATCTGCCGCAAAGCGGTGGTGAGGCGGCCCGTGGAACTGCTTCAGGGCGCACTGTCAATCTTGTGGGCTGCCTCCGCCCCCGGGCCGTTGCCCCTGGCAACTCGCCGGCGTCGCAGGCAATTGGTGACGTCACGCCCGCCGGCGACGTCACGCTCGCCCGCGACGTCACGCCCGCCCGCGACGTCACGCCCGCCCGGGACGTCACGCCCGCCCGCGACGTCACGCCCGCCCGCGACGTCACGCCCGCCCGCGACGTCACGCCCGCCCGCGACGTCACGCCCGCCTTGGACGTCACGCCCGCCCGCGACGTCACGCCCGCCGGTGAAACCACGCCCGCCCGCGACGTCACCTCCGCCCGCGACGTCACCTCCGCCCGCGACGTCACGTCCGCCCGCGACGTCCCTTCCGGCCCCGGCGCGACTCCCGACGCGGTCTCCGGCCCCGGCGCGACTCCCGACGCGGTCTCCGGCCCCGGCGCGATCCCCGACGTGGTCCACGGCCCCGGCGCAATTCCCGGCGCGATCCGCGACACCACTCCTGGCCGCGACGTCACTCCCGGATGCAACGTCACGTCCGTTCGCGACGCCACTCCGGGTCGCGACGCCACCCCTGGTCGCGACGCAATCCCAGGCCCCGGCGCTATCCCCGGCGCGATTCCCTTCCCCCGACCCGGACAATGGGGACCGGGGAACGACACCGACGGCGCCCACCCCGAGGAGACTCCCGGTAAGTTCGCGGCGTCGGAATTATAATTGCTCGGCCCGACCGAGAGGCCGGGCGGGAAGGCGTCACTCGCCTGGATCCTGTCGGCGTTCGGCCCCGGCGGGTTCCAGGTAACGTTGGCGGCCTCCGGCTCTGTGCGGCACCCCCTCGCCACATGCCCCTCTCGACCACAACGGTGGTAGACCCACGGGGCGTTCCGTCGGGGGGGCTCGGCGCGATGTTGTAGAGGCGGCTGCCAGCGACGCGGCGGTTGGTCGCGCCCCTGGTCCCTCTGCTCCGCCAGTCCCCGGATCGCCGCGTACACCTCCCGTAGCGATGGCTCCGTCTCAGACGTCGGGGGTCCGTCCCCAGCTGCTCCACAGGCAGCCTGTGGCGACGGTGCAGGTTCGGCGGTTGGTGTCGCTGGACCCAGTAGTGCCGCGGCAACGGCTCGGCTGTTCCCCCCCGCCGCGCCAGCCACCGGGCCCACGGGTGGCGCCCGGCCCATGACCTGCTCGTGGGCTTGGATGGTCCGGGCAGCCCACAGCGAGGTGCGTTCCCCCGGCGTCACCACGGGCATTACAACGCCGGCGCGGCAAGCGTAGGCGATGAGGTGCTCGACCACGAGATCCTCGAGCGCTTCTTCAGCCAGGCGAGGGAAAGCTCTCCTCGCCAACACGAGCAGTGCACCCCTGTAGGATAAAGGGGATTCTTTAGCCCCTCGCTGGCGATCCTGGAACCGTTTAAAGGCCCCTTCCGCCGGGCAATAGATCTCCCCCAAAGCCTCGTAGGCCGCCTGTAGCGTGGTCTTGCTGTGCGAGGGAAGGGAGGTGTAAGAGGCGAGTGCTTCCTTGCCCAGAACGGATGGCAGCGCTCGTAGTGCCTCTTCGTCTGTCCACTCGAGAGCGTGGAAGGCAGCCTCGAATCGGCGGACAAACTCCTCCCAGTCTTCTTCCTCAGCCACGAACTTGTCGACGGGCCCCAGCCGACGCGGCCGTCCGGCCACCTGCTCTCCCTGTTGGGTGGTTAGCCCTGGGGGTTTTGGCGGGACCGGCGGCGGCTGGCGTGACGAGGTTGGTTGCCCGGCCGGCTGGTCGGCCTCCGGGTCCCGTGGCCTCTCCTCCCGTAGTACGCGTGGGGGTGGGGGTCCCGGTGCTGGCGGGTCCCCCATAGGGAGCCTCTGTAGGAGCTCCTGGAGTGCCCTCTCCACGCGGGCCATGCGGTCCTCCATGGTGTCCTCCAGGCGATCCGGGCCCCCTGCTGCTGCTTCTGATAGCAGGCCCCCTTGTTGCCCGGGATGGGAAGGATCCCCGGCCCCTGCTTCCTCCTCCCTTGGCTCTTTCCCGCGGGGATTTTTCTTTGTAGCCATGAGATCCCACCGCTGCCACCAGATGTAAAGTAGGAGCCGACACCAGATTGCAGGGGTCTCGTCCTTTATTCTTTTCCTTCCATCCACACCTGTCCCCCAGCCGTCCCAATCTCGTTCCCGCCAAAGGCCCCTTCTTCCCGCCCGTTCTCTCCTTATATCTCTTCGATCACCCCTCCCACTAACCCATCTATTGGTGGGAATCCTTCCCCTGACACCCCTACACTAGTATAAGTAATTTGAATGGGATTTTAATATAATTGTATCAAATAATTTACTAAAAATGTATCAATGACTATGAAACATATACGAGGCGGTATTCACTTCTATTGTACACCTTTATGCTGAAAATGCTTAACAACACTCACAAATTGGTTCATAATATTATGGGTTAACTGGGCAAATGTTTTGCCTTTGGATTTCTAAAAGCAGGCAAATTTTAGACCAGTTCACCATTCTGAGTCTCATCACCGGTGTGGCGTGTTGAATGCTTTAGGTTGTGTGGTATTATTTAAGCAAAACATTTAACATGGGATGCATGCATCATAGTTCTGCAAATAAAACTGAAATGTCAAATATTGGGTAAAGAAAATATTGTGTGCAAAGGTGATTGCAAAAAATACAAATTGTAATAAAAATGTATTACAGGTAACAAATAAGCCGACAATATTCATCGCCATATCTCTATCCAATTCAAAAATAAAACGTTATCCTCACATTATCAGCCAAACGGCCTTCTAAGAGTGATTTGTGTCATGGCATTAGTTAAATGCAAGCAAACTCCGTTCTGGTTTCAATATTCAGTGCCCAATCGCTATGTCAAACCCTGTCCAGACTGCGTGGCAGATATAATGTGGACGGACAGATGGAGAGGAGGTATATTATCTGCTTATTTCCACCGATTTATTGTCACGATTTCTTGTTTTGATTTTGTCATTACATGTTAGAGTGGTTTGAGCACGTTAAAGAGGTGAACGCATCAGATCTAAATTCTGTTGAGTCATTTACAACTTTACTTGAAGATGTTTTTGATGCAATTGTGGTAAGATCTTAACTATTCTTCTCCCATACATTTAATGGCATATCCAGTTATAAACATATTTTTGCAGCTTTAATTTGTTATAATAATGCTTTTTTTTGCAATATGTTAGGCGGTGTCAGAATACAGTCAAAAAGGTAATTCATTTAATATATTATTTACACATTTATAAAGTTAATTTCCAATGTTTAATAGATCATTTTTACGTCAAAAAATACATTTATACTTTTTTTTGCATTTTCATCGACAGGGAACAGAGAAGTTTTGGATGCATTTTTACTTCCAACCAGTCTTGTTGTTCAAAACAATGCCTTTCATTTTTCCTGTCGAATTGAGGTAAGGATGCCTGTTAAACATTTTGTTTTTATATTTATAAGTAATGATGTCACTTTACATTTTCTTTTCGAACAATTATTACTCTTGTCTTCAATCCAAATGCAGGCCATACGAAGTTTAAACATGGTCCTGAACCAAACAAATTCAGCTGTAAAGCGACAGCTCTCTTCCACCGCAAGTGTACAAACATTGATGTAGGTTTGGCTGTTCTGATCCATCCCACAGTTGAATTTTAACATCTCAATCATATAATACGTAAAAAAAAGCAAAAAGTATGTTGCTTCATGGTGTTTTTAACCCTTTTTATGTTTTGTCTTGTTTTTTCATATCCATTGTGACATAAGAATGGAGTGGGCGAAGCTGCTTCCAATAGCTGGGGGTAAGGCAGTGGTTTTGAAATTTTATTTTCACTTTTGCAGTATTTTTTTGAGCATATGTCACACTTTTGTTTTGTATATATATTCCGGTAAACCTTTTTGACATTGCAGATTATGAAATGCAAGTGGCATTGGTCGAATCGCTGTGCAGGTTGAATAGTGAGAAAAAAAGATATAACTTGGCACATATGTGGTTCAAAAGCAAGAACATAGAAAGTCATTTTACTTCTATAAAGGATTCAGCATTTGAAACTGTAAGCTTTTATATTTTTTATGGTTTAATTTATAAACTCTTATATGAAGATAAAACGCTTGACATGATTCTGACTGTTGAGCACAACTCGAAATTTAACTACACTGCCTGGAAATTCATCAAGACTGCTTGAACGTTTAATGTGGACTGCTTGTAAATTCGGGAATTAGAATTTCAAATTCCTTGAAAATTAAATCAATCTGCTTGTATTTTTTTTGCTATTCCTCGACTTTCTGAAATTGTAACTTCAGCATATAATTTCTTATCATTCTGGATACCACTGAAGCATGATATCTGAAAGCTGATCGTATTGTATTGTTAAACATAATTCTGGTCCGTTACAAGTCATGTCTTTCTTTACAGGATGGTCGAAAGTTTATAAATGCCATGAACAAATCTTTGGGAGAAAAACAAAGGTATTACACAAGATATTAACGACTGTGAATGTACAATAATGCTGTATTTTGAAACAATAAATAACTTGTGCATTTTATTTCCACAGTGTTTATTCATTACCTTGTGTGTGTGTCTACTTCGACGAGTATCAGGTAAGAAATCACAGTACATTTGTGTTATTTTTCGTGAAATTCATTTTCAATAGGATCTATTTACGTAATATATATTAATGTTGAATCCATTTTTAGCTCAGAAAACCAAATGATAAAAGGCTTGAAGAATTTTGGATCGATTTTAATATTGGCAGCCACAGGATTTCTTTCTATGCGATTGATGAAAGTCAGTTAACGCAAGTAAGTACTCTAAAATGAAATGCATGTTAAATAAAATCATGATTATAATAACAAAGTTACATTTTAAATAATATGTGTTAGAACAAATTACATTTGTTTTTTATGCGCTCCTTAAACACTTTAGGATCCTCTCTGGGAAATTGTTAGTCTACCAGAAGAAATGGTAACAAACTATTCATTTGGTAAGTGCTTGTTGTTGAAAAAACATTGAAATAAAAAACTGTCGCAAAAAGTCCATGGAAATTTAATGATTTAGTAGAGAAATTATTGTAAAGTTACATTAACTTCAACGACCATGTTCAACTTGTCAGCTCTGCTATCCAATAATGCATCGTGTGGTGACAGGGTCCTTCGTTTTTTTCACCACATTTAGAAACCTGAGTTTTAGAGTATTTGGCTGCAATACATTTCCACATGATAAACCACTTGTTGAGCTATTATTTGCAGCCAGGTCGCTTCTGAAAAATAGCTCTATAGCTCAGTGGGCCTTACCTGGTAATATAAAAATTAAATAGTTTAACGTAGATTACTGTTGCAGAAATGTGGCTGTCATTTTTACGTTACTTTAACATAAATTAATGTGTATTTCCTGTGAACTGATTATTTAAAATCGTAAAAAATATATACTTTTACAATAGCATTTCATAGTTCAGTAAATGGAAAAATGTCCACCTGTTTTTTCAGATTTCAAGATTCAATTCCAAGCTCTTGCTATTTGTTTCTCAAAGAATGTAACATTTTGCAACCTTGAAGGGAAATGCATTAAAATAATTTTTAAGAATCATCCGAATTTAATGGACATAGTGTACAAGGTTTATGGAAAATCCAAATGTGAGGTTAGTATTCTGTGACTGACAGTTTTCATGATTACATGTGTGGATAAATACATAATGTAATAAGTACTTATTTAAAGTGCTCCAATCATACATTAATTACAGAATTGTGTATTTTTTGCAGAATATTAAAACCAAAATGAAGGTATCAGAAGCAAAGATGATAACTTCAGGAAATCCACACGTGGTAGTAATATTTTGTGTTATGATGTAATGTCTGCTTATTGCCTTATTTCATAATGTGACATTTACTATTTTTTCATTATACAACTTTAACTTTCTTACAATTGTTAATTTTCCCAAATGCATGTACCTAATGCAAAATAAAATACAATGTGTGGAAAGATTAAAAACACGTTTTTTATATAATATATTTACTAATTTTATTTTTTTAGGTATCTGTACCAGAGAGCCAAACAGATCTGTATTCTGAGACTTTAACAAGTGATCCTAAATGCACCACAGATCATAATGACTGGAGCAAAAGTCTTTGGTCTCAAGTACAAACAGAAACTATAACCACATTGAGTGTTGGAAAAGCACATGTTAGTATTTTCCTTTGTTACACATATTGTTATATATCTTATGTATAGAATTATGCAATTAGTTTTTTTTTATCAGTAAGTCACAGTGTTTAAGCAATATCCATTGTATTTCACTTTCATGTTTATAGAACTTTAGTAGAAAAGAAAACGTTTATGTGGGCTTGAGGCAAACGGTGAAATCGGTTAAACTTACCGCGTCTGCCTCAATGGTCATCCAACAGCAGGTTTTATTTTCTGTGTTACTTAATGCCTTACATTAGTTGTCATAGTAGTAATGCAGGTGGATTAATTGTATTTACACTGACCAGATCTGTAACACTCATTGTTATGCATGGGAATACTTCTCATACTTGACATAGCTTTCCATTGGTGTATTAAGTACATAATTGAAATAACTGAAACATTCCACTTGGTTAAAACTATTTCACATAATAACGGGATGAACCTATAATGTATATCAAATACAACGGTATTGTGTATGCATTTTGCAACACACATGTGCAATGTAATTTATGACTGAGTTTATGGAGCCTTTTTTTCTTTCAACAGGGACGCAGTTCTGTACCCATCGGTTTCAGTGGAAGATCAAAAACAGCTAGTGGTGGATTAAATGGTAATTTTTTTTATACGATGATGTAAAAGTAACATTTTCTAAACACATTATTGCTTTGTCATGTTTTATGATTCACTTGATATTTTGTCTTTGCCAAAAACAGCATCACCAAGATCGAAAACTAAGAGGAAGTTACCACTTGACTTTACCAACTCATCAAAAAAGCAGCAGTTATCATTACCTGCAGGTTATGTCAACCCACAAAGATGTAAGGATATGTCTTACTTGCATGCGTGCAGTGAATGTGTTTGACTTGAAATTGTTGATGTTTGGTTGATTGTGGTGTGTGTTTTTCAGCAAATTCCAATAAGTTGGAAGAGCAGCAAAGAAAGGTTGCTCCAGATACTTTACTCATTGACCAATCAGGACAGTCAAAGTAAGTTATTCATAAATGCATAATGTTCTATCCTCTGTGTAATATCCAAGTTACCAATTATTTATTTCGCATACAAAATCATAGGCTTGCATACATCTCATTTAATGGTCAAAAGGTTCCAGAGGTGGTAATTATGCTTGCATTTACTTAGCAATGTAATTTTAGCTAGAATTTCACCACTGGCAGCCATAGGCCTAATGTTTGGTGTGACAAAAATAGAGCCCAGTTTGTGAGAAATGTATTTGAACTAAAATATATTCTATGTTTTGTTCGTCACCTTCTTAAGTAACACCTGTTTAAATTTTCTTTTACAGGATTCATTTCCCGAATAAAACAAATATGAATAATAGAAATAGTGTTGATAACACAATTACAATTGTTAAAGCACCAGGTAGGGCGGCAGACATCCACACCCAGGAAAATGTACAATGTCTTGATGTGATCAATTGCAAGCCATCTATTACATTGCATATTTAACAGCTTGACTGATATTATAAATGTGCATAATAAGCCTTTAATCGTGTGGGCAACCAAAATGTATTTTCTCCATTTTACAGCAAGGCGACTGTCAATGAATCTTACCAAAAGTTCAAAAGAAGTAATAAATGGAGGAGATAAATCATTTGTCACAGTGAGGGACGAGAGTAAAACTAATTCAGCAAATCTTAAAAGAAGCCTACCAAAAAACTCAAAGACTATAAAAGATAATGTGGTGGAATCTTGTCAGCCAAAGTCTGCCCATACACCTGATGTTCAGGATATTAACGAAATACTTCGGAATGCACTTGCGATTAGTCTGGAGCATCTTGGGCGCAAGAAACTACCTACAACTCAAGTTAATATTTTGCCTAGTGCCAGCCACACAACAACCGTAGACGATGTTATGCGAAGTAATGTGGTGAGTGGTAAACTTTAAATTTGAAAGCTTTTACTCAAAATTAGCATTTGCAATATATATTAGAATCCACAAGAAAACATAATCGAAATATTACAAGGGAATAAAATATGTTTTAGTATGTTCTGGAAGCCACACTGAACATGATTTTTGAGTGTTCAGGAGGCTACAGAATATTAGTAATTAAATTACAGCCCTCATCCCTGTCAGTCATGCAAACTGCATCTCACAAGTAATAAAGTTTTTATGTCATAGTTATAATAAAATCAGAACACAATAGGCAAGTTACACGATTAGCTAAACATCTTCAAGCACAATTGGATGTGTAATATCTGTTCATAAATATGCCATCTCATACTTGAGTAAAATATACTATTGTGTTTATCTCTTTAGGGGAGAACTGATACAAATTTGCCAAATGGGATGCCAGCCCACTCAGAGCTTAAGAAGCCATTGGTAAATGAAAAAGAAACTCACAAATTACCTGCCACCACAAGGTATCCATTTTAAATGTACACTCAAGTGCATCGTTACACAATGCTATATTTTTAAAACAAGGTATTAAATTCTTCTTCATATACCTCAAAAGCAATTTGTTAAATATATGTACTGGCTATTAATAGGCACATATGTCTTTGTTAAAACCTCAGATGTGAAGATGAAATTGAAAGCAGCCAACTGCAAGATGTTAATGTAAGTTAATTAGGATCTCAGAATAGAATATGTTTTGGCATACATATTTTGGCTGGACTCCGTCTATAAATAGTTATAATACTATTTAAATTCCTTTGCTAATCCACTGCTCAATGAAAGCCTCCCCATACTGTGTTAGTTACGGAAGTTGTTTGACTATACTTCACCATCCATGCTAGGTGATTCTATTTAGTAACGGAGTCACCCAGGATCCGTTTAGATATAACTTGCCACTGGTATTAGCTGTGGCCAAAAATCCAATTTACTGGAAGTTATCAGGTTCATAGCAGTCTACTAACCACACCATCACGGCTGTCATCTGTATGTACAGCAATATTCATTTTACGTCATCACTTTATTACTACCACTATCTGATTTGCGTTGCCTCAACCCACAATTACGTCCCTGACTGCATTGTCCGTCCTTTCTCATCCATCGCCTCAGCCTTTGCTTCCACATCTCCTGTAAAATGCTTTAATTGACATCGTTTCAATATTCGTTGAACATTTCAGGAACACATCCCCGATGTAAACCAGGGAATTACTGTACGTATATTTCTATAATTTAATCCCAGCATCAAAGTTATAATTTTAACTTGATAGGTCACATTATTAAAATGAAGGTGGCTAATATTTAATTTTACAAAATAGATATGTTCGTGGGTTTCTTTTCACAACCCTTTTGACTGGATCATCTTTTTGAAAAATACAATACAAATTATGTATATGTAGACAAAACTGAATGTTCTAATCACACAAGCAAAATGTCCAAGCTGGATATTTCATTTTTAATAACGCACGTAAACATGTATTTGAAATAAACCCCGTGAAATATACAACAAGCATTTCAGTCATCACTGCAGATGGTACAAACAATTACAATTCTCCAAATAAATATATGTGACCCATAAAATGTTCTGTGATCTTACAGATATTGCATTGTAGCTCAATTAAAGAAACCATTATCTAAAAGAAAGTAATTGTGTGATTTTTTTGTTTTACAGGCAACGAATGACGATTTTCAATTACGTAAAGAAAGGTATTTTTTCACGTGAATTTTGTTTGTATATAATACCATTTAAGAATACTAATTAATATGTTGTACAGTATTTAAGTTGGTGAATTAAACATTTTTTGTTATGTCACTTTAGATTATTTGCAAATAAGAATATGTCCAAAAATGACACGCATAACATTGGAAAGCAGTTGAAGAGGCCAACCTCTAAAGAGGTACATATTTGTTCTTAACATACATTTTTTAATTGTTCCTGTAAAGCAATTTATTTTAACATAGCTCAGTGCACTGTGTATGTTAATATATTTTTTATCTTACAGCCAACGTTACCTAAAGGAAAATGCAGTACCCTTTCGGATTCCCAGTGTAATGCAAGTATTCCTCGGAGCCAAATGAGTTGGCTTTCATCAGTCTCTAAGAAATCCAAGGCCAAATTAAGAGTTTATGGGGAAAAAACTATGAAAAAAATGTCAAGGAATAAGCAAGGTAATTTGCTTCATGCAGAAAATAAATATCCTATATTTGCCTTTTTATGGAAGTCGGTAATGGAATGTAAGCTTGAATTTTTTATCTCATTCTTTTCTCACCATTAACGGTACGTTTAAGTATAATTACAATATACAGCTGCACACCACTGTGTAAGCTACAGTCATTGCTGTGTGAGATGGAAACTAATGATTTATAAATTCACAGTCTCTTTTATATGTTTTATTGTTGATGCAGCAAGAGCAAAATATTCCAAACAGCAACCAGCAAAACAGAGAGACATACAACAAATATCCTTGGCTTGCACAAAGCAGCATGAAATAGAAGAAAAAATAGAAAATGTCAGAAAACGTAATTCACGTAATCATATTTCTGCCCCAAAACAACAAAAAGGAAGAGACATTGGTCAGGTTGCGTCTCATGGAAATGTTGATTTGTGTTTAACACAAGAATTTAATCAAAGATTTGAAAAGTCACCTGAGAGAGCAATTTCTACAAAAACTGACTTGAGCATGAACATTCACGTTATTGCACCTTCTGCTTCAAGAAGTGTCTGTAATTCAAGTAAAAGTAACAAGAAGAGTATGAAGGATACCCATTCTAATGCATTGCCTGCTCAATCAGCTGCTAAAATTACAAGGGACCCCCACAAATATATAACTACAGAAAAGGAACCAAAAAAAGCACTGAGAAAAAATACAGTTGTCAAGGACAAGTCTGAACATGATATTGAAGACATTTTCCTTTCCCTGCGTTCTTTCAGTGACAATTCGCCAGAGGTTTGTGAAATGCATAACTATTTTACATTTACTAAGTATTCTTTATCTTTTTCCTCACTTAACATGTGCCATTATTATATTTTTCAGACTGTTTCATCAAGGACGTTTAACAATCATCTTACAGTGCAAAAAAACGTAAATGTGGACAAAGGAGCTCCTGTAAACCGTGATGTAAACAATGTAACGAGCACTGATAAAAAGTCTTACTGCCTTAAACCAGACGATTCAGTGGAAAAACTGAGAAGTATGGGTATTTCTTCCGTACACTTTTCATAATGAAGCTAGACAAATTTTACATCACACTTCTTGTATATCTCTTACACTTCTCTTGTTTTTTTTTCGTAGATAAATACACCTCCGACGAGATTGAAGATTGTGCTTCTCCATGTATGAACATTGAAATGAGCCCGTGCCTTATACAGGACTACAATATATCACTATCATTTCAGTCGTCCAACCATGAGGTGAAACAAAGCAGATGCAACTTACACCAAAGTAATTAGAACAAAACATATAAGCGTGTATATGTACAGACCTTTTGTCAATCCACTGGTGGGTGAGGGCTTCTGCACGCCATGCAGAATGTGGGGGTTATGCTGGTCAGTCGGTGCAGGTTGGTGAAGGCAGGAACATCGATGTTGAGGCACAGTACAGTGCAATGTATATTGTTGAACTGACCTTCTGAAAGTGTAGCCCTACAGCAGCCTACAACACCTGCACAAAACAGTTCTGAATGAATCAGTTTTCAATCTAGATTTAAAAAGCGCATAGCCTTAGTGGCTTCCTAATACCAGAAAGAAGAGCATTCCAGACAACCGCAGAAGGGCATCTGAAAGTGCGCAATGCATGGTGGTCACCCATACAAGCACTATCCAGGCTCAGTTCTACTTAGTTTCTGAAATCCGATTAAATCAAGTGCATTCTTCGAGATTTGAGCATTGGCTATATTATGTTGCAATAATATAATATATTAACTATCTTATTTAGAGTTATAACATACAGTAATTATATGGGACTGTATTATGAAACTAATAGAATTGCCATTTTACATGCAGAGTTTTTTTACCATCGTTATTTAATGTGAAGGGTGGGAATCTTCCATTTGCGACTTATGACTTGAAGGTGCAGACAGCAGGAATCACACTTGACCAAAATGTTATGGCTGACATGAAGTCCACACAATTCTTGAAAGTCACCTCCCTATAATCATCAAATAAAACCCATCTATCAATATGAGGTTATACTTCAGTAAAAGTTACATTTTTCACGATACTTTAAAAAAGTCAATGACACACTATAATTACATTTGATCGATTTCTTTACAAAATTGTGCAAGTGAAGTATGATAATAAAGATTATTATTAAATATGAGCAATGCTATTATAATGCCAAATCATTTTTATATAGGTACCAATGTGTGAAATGTAACACATTGCATTGTTTTTGTATGTTGTTTTAGGATACAAACGAAATAGTTTCACCAATACCCTCCCTGCATTACCCACACTCTCCATGCATGGTCATAAGAAAGAATTATAAGAAGGTTATTAGCTACTCAGACGAATCAGGTTTGTCTATTTAAAAAAAAGTTATATTCAACATAATGTTCAATTTATAAGACTGCTTGTGACCAACTGATATCAGCATATTACCATATATTTTGAAAATGAGATACACCTTAGTTTCTACTTTTTGTTGTAAACAAAACTATTGGTTGTCCTCTTGGTGTACATGTATGCAGCCCTTGTGTCATATGTGGACATATAGACGTACAGTACAACAATGCATGTTTCAGATGTCTGTAAATATCCCTGCAGACCATTGATGCTTATTTTACGCATGTTGGTCACTCCTTCAAACAATATCCAAGCTCAACCGTGCTTAGCTCCTGAGGAGCGGGCAGTTTATAGGTGATTTGGTCCTAACAGTCCTATGTAAAGTAATAAAGACATTTAATAAGAAACACAAGGTGTGTTTACTAAGATTGTGAAAGTAAGCTTGTTATGTCTAACGATCAAGTTTTTTTGTTTAACCAGGTGAGAACTTTAAGAGACCAGGATCGTCTAATGTCCAATAGTGACCTGGGGCATTAGTCTGCCAGTAGGGGATGATGATTGATGTATGCTCAATTGAGTCATTTGCGTGAAATTCTCGAATGTAGCAATTTTGGACCGTGACGCTCATATACAATAGCACCACGGTGGCAATATTTTAATTATCTCACCTGGTATCGAGGAAGTCGTGGGTTCGATCCCAGCCCTGACGCCTGTATATTTAGTGAGCATGTTCTCCCCGTGGTTGCGTGGATTTTTCTTGTGGCCAGGTCGCTTCTGAAAAGAGCTATATAGCTCAATGGGCCGTACCTGATAAAAGAATTCTTTTTTAAAATAGTTACTCTAGTAAATAACATCAGGGCATTTTGTATGCACACTGTGAAGCAGACACCATGTTACTGTATTGTGGTTATTACACCAGAATAAATAATGAGGGCCGCTGCTAGATTAAAACTGTGATCCTCTGCAACAAGTGACAAACGTGCTACCTTTAGGCCATGTCACTGACACAAATTGAATTAAATTATGTCGACATGAGATTGATAACCTTTTTGTTTATACTTGTTTGTTTTATGTTAACTTTAAACTCAAGGACCATGCCACCCTCCACAAGCAGCACGGTTAGGTAGAAAAAGGAAAATAGGAGCTGATGAAGATGTCTTTGAATATCAGGGTTATAGTGAGCAATCTCCCAAGTCAGCTGAGGGAAATGTTTTGCTCCCAAAGAAGCTATTCAAACTTCCAACAGGAAAGCCAAGCCCCATTTACAACCTCGGTATGATATTTTATTTTATGCATAATGCCATAAAGGAATAATCTATATAACAATAATTTACAGCCCTTTATCAATCCATTGTTGGATAAAGTCCTTCCCATACTTCATCACACTGGTCAGTGTGGGTTGGTGAGGTGGGGTTTCCAATGATCGGTTAACATGTATGCACATTGAGCTTCTTTTGTGCCTTAGCCAACTGTGCTAATCATGTAATTTACTACTGACGAGTGATATGAGTGATACCAGCCATAGCCTGGAATCACACTCCAGTTTCTGGGTTTATTGCACCTTTCACGAACCACTTTACCATCGCTCCACATTGTTTACATTTTTATTGCAGAATGTGAAGGCACACCTACATCTTTAAGATAATGAGCGTGATATGAATACAAATGTGGAGGACAACATTGGAGGAGTCTTGGCTGACTTTGGGAATGCTGTTAAAAATAAATTGATGGTAATTTGTGCCCTCTTACTATGAATACATTTGCCATATCAAAGCCAGAATGTGTTCGTAGTCATGCATTTGAATAACATAATTTAGAATGAACCACATCCTATTACATGTGTTTTGTCTAATAATTTTGATTGCTGTAACAATTACGTTATGCTAAATAACCTAATATAAATAATAACATTTTATTTAATAGAATAAGTGCGCAAAAATCGCAAGATTCACCACAGGCTATGTAAGTATTGCAGGGAAGCATATGAAGGACATATGGAGAAGAATGAAAGAGCAAAGGTAATTTATTTTCTTTCATTAAAAAAGCATAGTTTATCTTGTAATAATACTGTGTGTTACTATATTAATATTTTTTTGTTTTACTGGCTGGCGCGCGAGTGGAAAAATGATGTCACCACGCCAATCTGCGTGATGTCACCCATATCCCACAGTGTTGAGCCGAGTTCATGTGTGGCGACGTCACGCTTCCCCCCCACCCACCCACCCTCCAGCCAGCCACCCACCCTCCCTCCAGCCACCCATCTACCCACCCACCCTCCAGCCAGCCACCCACCCTCCAGCCACCCACCTACCCACCCACCCTCCAGCCAGCCACCCACCCTCCACCCGCCCATCCTCCAGCCAGCCACCCACCCACCCTCCACCCACCCTCCAGCCAGCCACCCACCCTCCAGCCAGCCAGCCACCCTCCAGCCAGCCACCCGCCCACCCTCCAGCCAGCCACCCACCCTCCAGCCACCTTCCCTCCAGCCAGCCAGCCACCCTCCAGCCAGCCAGCCACCCTCCAGCCAGCCACCCACCTTCCACCCACCTTCCACCCACCTTCCACCATCCAGCCACCCACCTTCCACCCACCTTCCACCATCCAGCCACCCACCCACCCTCCAGCCAACCACCCACCCTCCAACCACCCACCCTCCAGCCAGCCACCCACCCTCCACCCTGGCCATGTTTCTTGCGCATGTTGCAGTGCTAGTGTATATCATATCCTGTATTAAATGTTTTGCTAACTGGAGGGAGGGACAGACGGGCGGACGGTCACATTCAATGGACGTGCACATTGCTCATTCGTCAACAACACTGCCTCAAAAAGAATAATATAATAGGCGACGCTTCGAGCACCAAATAATTTGTCTCATTTTATAGTATACTCCGATATGATGTGACATAATGACATTTTTGATTTCTTATGAAATTACCAAACACGTAAACTAAAAGGCAGTCGTGAAATGTGAAGAAATAAATGTGAGAAAAATTCATATAGTTTTTACTTTTACAGGACCAGACAACTGAATGGCTTAAAGAAAATCATCGCTGATGAGCTGCAGAATGCAAAAGAGGATATATGTTTACTGAACAGTTTAGAAGAAAAATCTACGGTGTGTATAGTGTATCATCTCCAATGTGTCCATGTATGGTCAATATCTGATTTTAAAAAGCTAATTTTTGGGTGTGGGGTTATTCATTTCACAGAATTTTTTTAAAGAGCAGCTTCATGTAACAGCAAATGTAAGAGAAAGACAATACAAAAGGTTTGTACTTCTAATTTAATTCACATGATTTGTTATTGTATGGTCATTTGTTATAAGTGAACTTAATATAAACGATTTCAGTGAATATTACAAATGGAATACGAATACAGTTGTTGAAACTAGCTATAGGGCCATTCATCTGGAACTCGAAATAAGGGTCACAAGTGCCAGTTAATGTTGCTTTGATGAATATACAAAAGTAGCGCTATGTTCAGAACGTATTATGGTCTCAGATCAGTCTGCACGATCGCATATTATAATGGCATTAATTTAGACACCATGAGCACAGAGTACAAGTAATACAATAACAGAGAATAAACTTGAGGTAGCCACTAATAAGCGGTGTAACATGTTCCTTCACCAAGAAGTGGGATAAGGCCAGTACTGCCTAAATGTGTGGAACTATTAACAGATGCTAAGAGGAACTACTATTGTACACCTGACTCTCCTTGACTTTTGAAAGTAACAGCAAGCACTTTAAAAAATATTAAAATAAAACCAACAGAGATTTCATCATGAAAAGTGGATGCTCATCTTCATTTTTACAGACTTCACCGAATAAAAAGTGCACTGCCGGAGAGGTACCAGAGCTGCCCTTTAGATGAAGCTGCTAAAACAATGATGAATTCAACAGTGAGTCCGACAGAATTAGAATGGCATTAAAATGTGCGTTTGATTTACTGCTGTGGTTGAGATAGCTTAGAATAAAATGTGCAAAACTAGAACATATTTAGGTTGTGATAACTTGCATTATTGGATAATTGCTATGTATGCGTGTGTGCTCTGTGAGCACCCACTTATTGTACGACACCCAATAATTATACCCCAGTACGACGCAATAATTGCCCAACAATAAGCTAACAAATGATTGCCACTACTTGTGGTTTAAAATAAATCATCAACTTTTTCTGTCAAAGACATGCTGTCCCGAATGATGGATATTTTTTTCGTATGTAAAAATGTAATTAAACAACTTGATTGACTTATACTCATCAGATGGAAGTATTGAATAAAACCATGGCAACTAAGCAGATAACACTGTTAAAAGAATTGGTAAGTTAAATTCACTTACCAGCAGCTTTATTGAATTTTCACCTTTGCAGTTTCATAATGTGTGGAGACATTAAATATGTTGATTTGGGCCTTTTTTATGTATGTTCAGCAAAAAGAAGACATCACCCATGCCCAGCAGGAAATCTATAAAGCCTTCTACTCTGCTCATAACCAAACAACATATTAAAATATCAGACTTCTACATTTTACTTTGTTTAATTTCCCAGCTTCAGGCTGTTTATTTGAATGATCCAGGTTCAGATTATAACAGTTTCCATATCCTATCAGAGGCTGCATTTAGGGAACCACTGCGGAATATCACTTAAAATGCTTTTTGAAGTATGAACGTTGAAACAAATGCATGGCTATGAAAATTATCAATTTCAAACCTTTTAAAAATTCTTTTTTTTCAAACCAAATAATTATATCAGCATCTTTGCTTCTTCTGTTTGACCTCAAGTAAATAAGATTTTTCTTTAAAATACATGAAAATATTCTAAAATGTAGCTTTTGTTATGACTGTATACTGTCCCAGTTTAGTACTGTATTGTCCTATAAATAAAGTACTCTAGTATTGGATTGTGCGTTTCAGAATGACTTGCGATTTTTGGTACTTTTAGTGGTGTTTTAACTTTCCATTGTGGCTTATAGTTTTATAATATAAATAACATTACAAGCTTTAAATTGGTTGCATTTGGTCTCTGGATATAATGGGGGTTTGTTTGCAGATATATCAGGGCTCCCATTCCTGATTTCGTCTGGTATTTTGAGGACATGTGCAATTTAGCAGAGTATTGCAAATGTTGCCCATTAACAATCTTAATCAATTGAGCATATTGTTAATATTGAATAATCATCCTGAGAGTGATGTTTTAAGATAACGTATTTTCAACTATTAACTTTGTAATTATGAATACTATTGGTTTGCCTGTAGTATTTATTGCTGTAATGAACAAATAAAATATTTCTAACAATATTTTGTTTACAAGAAACAATGTTAGTCTCCATGAATGGAAAATTAAAGACAAGCCACATTGCAATTTTCGCCATGCAACTCAAACAATATACCATATAGTAAGCCACTGTCATCTGCGCTCCTTCAGCGGAGGAATAGAAAAATTCTACAAACTCTCTCCCATATATGTTGAACTTCTTACGCACTGTACGTTGTCAACCGTGATAATCGAAGCCCTCTCATGGTCAGCAGACCTCGACATTGGTTTTTAACTCCTGAACATATTGGCATATGCAAGAATATAATTCCAATTCAATGTTTATTTATTTGTTACACGGGAAATCTCGTTTAGCCAGTTACACAGCTAATTTGCAAAGGAGATCCGCGTGGTGCACCGGCACAGAACAAGAACAACATCAAAGTGATACAGAGGAACAGGCAACAACAGAAAATAACTCGCAGGTATAGATAAAAATGTATCAACAACAAAATTGTTAGATATAAACAGTGCGAGGCCAAGCGAATACGATCGAACATAAAGAAGCAACAACAACCATCAGGAGAACGCGACGAGTAATAACAGCTGATGGGTTGGGAGCAAGGTGCAGCAGCCGAACTGTGAATTTTCAGCTCTGAGTGATTGGAATTGGTGGAGGGCGCGGGGAGAGAGTCGAGCTGAAAGACAACGGCATTCCAGCCAGTAACGTGGGACAGCAGCGTGGATGGACATTTGTTTAAAATGACTAAGGATAAAGATAGCCCAGTTAGTGGTCTCTTCAGATGTCCAGGAGGAGGGAGACATTGGAGGTGCAGTAATATAGAGGTTGCAATGATGCATTTTATAAGGGGCGTCGGAGGCAACGCGGAGAGCCGAGTGGTATAATGGAACAGGCCGTTTTAGAGTGGTTTCTGAGGCGAGTGGGTCGATGTCGCAAGTCAAAGATGGGGAGGGATGGTGGCTTGACTTTCCAGGTTTCCCTTGCTTTGTGCGGCTACGGTTTGTGCGATTTCGCATATATAAACTGATAACTTGTTTATACCCAAAATGTATGATGTGTACTTGGAAGGTCATTTTAAATGTACTGGTTTCCTGCAATATTGGTAGGGAAGTATTTTAGAACTCAGGTTGTGCAGAGGTCAAAGGGTGAACCTGGCACCGCCAAGACCCGGGGATAAAATATGCCTGTGATTCAACTCTGTTCTCAAATGTGTAGAGTTTATATTCTCAGTCTGGTCATCACTGACTGCATTAAAAATACATTCAATTTGGTTCTGTACTTTAATATTGCTAAATTCCGGACCTGAGAATAAAAAACACATCACTTTGAATGCCATGTGATAAACATCACTCATTGTGGGAATACTCTAATAATAATAAATAATAATAAATGAAAATAACTCAATTAAATCACGACGTTTCGGAGGCAACACAAGTCTCCGTCTTCAGGTGGGACCGTCACAGCCAAATTAACTATTTCTACAGATTTTATTATTTTTTACCTACCTGGTGACTTTACCGAAACAACCTAAGAGTATGAATCCTTGCAGTCACGAAAGCTTCAAATCTATAATTATTGTGCGAAAGTGGCGCCTTGAAGGAATCTCAGAGGTAGCTCTGTGATATCTCTTTTCCATGCGCCATTCTCTAACACGAAGGGTTACGTAACTTTTCAATAAATCCGAATGGATATTTTGCCTCTTCACATGATAATAATATTGGGAAATAATTGTAGAAAAAAGTTACAGAAGTCTAAATCGGAACCGAATAAGACAGAAAAAATATCAGAAGTGGATGAAATATGCTGCATTATTTTCCATTGTTTTATGGCTCTTATAAGAGTACAATACTGTAATGCATAATAATACCACAGTGCCTCCAAAGTATAGAGTACTGTAAGTGAAGTTTTGTATACAATGTACAGTCGAGTGTATTTTAAAGCAACTCTAATGTATAGAGCATAGTTGTGCGCAGTTGACATGTATTGCCTTAATTACAGTATTACATTATCTTTCATGATTACAAGTTTAAAGATGTGCTTACATAAATATAGTATTATAGTTAGACATTTATTTTTACTTGTCTGCGTTTAGGTTTGGATGTTTACGAAATAAAATCAGAAAGAATCTTAAGAATGTGCCTGTCTTTGTATGGGTGTGCTTCGTCACATTTCCGGTTAAACCTGATAGCTTTTACCTTTTAAAAAAAGCTAGTCGACATTTGACGAAACGCACGTTGGTCGTAATTTAAATATTGGCTCTATTCAGTTTTACAATTATAGCTGTTGCAGTGCTGTTTCAGAAATGCATCACTTTACATTTGTGATTTTACAAACGATTGATCGTTTGTTGGGGTGCAGTTAACGTTCAGTAATTCATCATTCAGGAAGTCATTCACGCAAACTCAAACAATACGATTGAGGAGTGCCCCAGAGTGGTAGCATTCCTTCTGGAGGGTGTGTAAAAAAACGACCAGCAAGCTTTCTCAATTCACGTGCTTGAGCTGGATGTCACAGAAAGAAAAAGTTTCAATAATACAAGAAGTATTCTAGAAAAGTAAAAAAAAAAACTTCACTTAAATTTCGATTTAAAGCTTTCGTGACTGCAGGGATTCATCTTCTTGGTTCTTTCGGTAAAGTCACGTAGAAGGGAAATAATAAAATAATAAAATTAAAACAATAAAATAATTCTCACGACGTTTTGGCCACAACGCAAGCAGCCGTCCTCAGGTGAAGGTCTGTTATTATGTTTTATTTTTTAATTATTTTATTATTTCCCTTCTACGTGACTTTACCGAAAGAACCAAGAAGAAGACTTCACTTATTATTAATCACGTACAGTATCCTGGGAGACCTATTTACTTTCATTATATTAACTTATGTTAAGGGTGATTCTTTAACAGAATATTGAATAGCATTCTCAAACGTTTTTAAAAAAATATATTTTAAAATGATAATCGCAGTTGTACACTACATTGTTTTAATTTACGCCGTAAACCATTTAATTATTAAGATCACATAAAATACATGAACACATCTATTTTGTTACAATTCCCAAAATCTTAAATAACCTACAACATGCCCGGACTCATTCATTTGTCTCTTTGGGATCTGCACATTGTTACGCTTTCTGATAATAAAAACATGTTGACTATTGCTCTTCATTCATTGAAGTGTCCTCCTGCCCAAGACCATTTTACACGCTTTTATTTAACTCACTCTGTCTGTTGTTGTATCCTCAAATCATGTAACTAAATATAAACCCACTTTCCAATGTGGTATCGACTGCAACCTTGGTATACTTATGTCATACTCATGACAATATTATATTCTATCATTAAAAATGTTAAATATATATTTTTAAACATTATTTTTTATATGTTATGTTTCGGCTTGGGTCTAATTGTCCACGATCAACTGACGTTGGCTGTAATTGCCCACGGTCCCTTACGTTATGGCAAGCTTCGAGACCACTTCCTGGAGTCGTGGAGTTCTTCCATTAAAGCGTGTTTTTAAAAAAGTAAAAAAAATATATATATTATTTCATAACAGTACATTTTATTTGCATTTGGGACCTCTTTCAGTTTGTCGACAAAATGCACAATACGACAGTGATTGCTTGCCTCTTTTGACTCTGAAAAATACTTCAAGGCAAACACGCAGGCGATCATTACATTCATAATACAGTTCTTTTTGGGTTAGATCGTGTAAATACACGGTTCATACTCTTTGGTTCTTTCGGTAAAGTCACATAGGGTGAAAATAATAATAAAATAAGTTTCAACTAAATTGTTTTCACTTTTATTTTATTATTATTTTCACCTACGTGACTTTACCGAAAGAACCAAAGAGTATGGATCCTTGCAGTCACGAAAACTTCAAATCTAGACTAAATACAGGGTGTTTAAAAGAGATGGACCCGATTTGAAATCGCTATATCTCTGCAACCACGAACCGCCCATGAATGAAACTCTTACCACTTGAAAGGGCGGGGCATAGAGTTTCAAATGATTACCGCTTGATGCCTATCCCAGCGCACAAACAGCCCCTAGCCTCAGTCATTCGCAAGACACACTGCCTCAACGTTGGATAGGTCGCACGGGACCCCAAGACTTAATGCTACACTCTTGGCCCCCAAGATCCCCAGACATCACCACACCCTGCGACTTTTTCTTGTGGGGATACGTCAAAGACCGTGTTTTTATGCCACCATTAGCGACTAATCTGGATGACCTCAAAAACAGAATCACGGCAGCGGTGACTTCAGTGGAAGAAGACACTTTGAGAGGCGTTTGGGACGAATTGGACTATCGTCTCGATGTTGTCCATACAGCAGCACATATGGCATTTATAAAATGGTTAGTAAAACTTGATAATTAATTAAACCGTTTGTAACTTTTCGTGTAATTGTAACATGTTGCCATCGTGAAATATACTGCATTGAAATTTAGCCATTTATTTTGAAACACCTTGATACAGTATATAAATGTGTCGTTAAACCCGTCACCAACTGACACGGCCAATTAGTAAGGTTTGTCACGTAAACACAACATGCCAATTCGTTACTCGTACAGCACACCGATGTGTTGGAGAGTAAAGCCACAACATTTACAATCCGAGTACGACGTTTCGCCATTAATTACAACTATCTTCATTAGGTGACAGTCAGATTTGCTTCGTTCCTTCGAGCGATAGATGTGCCGAGGGGGTTATTCATATGGAAGTCAACGTACATTATACATGCACATTATGCATGTACATCATGTATGTCCATTATGCTTGCACCTCCTTCCTTTGCGTGCAATAAAATAGCAGTACTTGTTATTGCCTGCGTACACGTAATCCCTATTGATGTATGGTGACCTGTATAGGCATGCTTTGAATACCGTACGTTCAGTTTAACATGTTGGCTTTTGCTACCAATATTATCCATAATAAATGTTCTTGTTGGGTTAGATCGCATGAATATAAATGTGGCGTTAAACCCGGACACCACTGGACACAGCCAATTAGTAAGGGTTGTCAAGTAAACAGAACGTGCAAATTAGTTACTACTTCAGGGATAATTATTCACAATTCTGGCTAATCACCCAATGAAGCTGGTTCTAATCACCAGCAAAACGTCACAATACTCGAATTGTAAATGCCATTGTGGGTTTACTCTCCAACACACCAGTGTGCTGAAGTAGACACTAATCGGCACGTTTTTTTTACGTGACAAACCTTACAAATCGGCTGTGTCGGGTGGTGGTGGGTTTAACGACACAATGGGCACCACGGTGGCTAGGAGATGTTAACTACCTCGCCTGGTATACGGGATGTCGTGGGTGCGATCGGAACTCTGATGCCTGCTGTATATTTGGAGTTTGCGTTTCTCTCTCATCATCATCACGGTGGCTAGGAGATGTTGACTACTTCGCCAGGTATACAGGAGGCCATGAGTTCGATCCCGACACTAACGCCTGTTGTCTTTGGAGTTTGCGTGTGTGTGTCTCTCTCTCCCCGTGGTCGTGTGGATTTTGTTTACGGGTCCTCCGCTTTTTGCCTCCACATTTAGAATCGACTCCACGCGTTTAGATGATTTGGTTGCGATAAATGTCCGCATGATTGACAAGCCACTTTGTTGAGCGACCATTTGTTGATAACCAGGTCGCTATTAAAATAATTGCTAAGTAAATTTCACTTACCAGCAGCTTTGTTGAATTTTCAATTTTGCAGTTTCATAATGTGTGGAGACATTAAATATGCTGATTTGGGCCTTTTTTATGTATGTTCAGCAAAAAGAAGACATCACCCATGCCCAGTAGGAAATCTATAAAGCCTTCTACTCTGCTCATAATAAACAACATATTAAAATATCAGACTTCTACATTTTATATTCTTAGTTTTTTTCGGTAAAGTCACGTAGGTAAAAAATTTAAATTTAAATTAATGAAAGTAAAGTAAAAATAAATAAAAATCACAACGTTTCGGAGGCAACACAAGCCTCCGTCTTCAGGTGGAACCGCCACAGCACGATTGCTGTATCAAGTAAGAGAAATTCCAAGAAAACAGTCCTTGTATATATATACTGGTTGACGGTGCGAGGAGCAAAGGTAGGCCCTGGATATTATTATTGTGAGGTTCGGTGCGGCTGAAGCACGCTGTAGGAATGATCCTTTGTTGTGTAGACTGGTTGAACTCGGAGGTTCCAAGAGTTGTTAAGGTGCGGCTGATGTTTGTTTAATTTCCCAGCTTCAGGCTGTTTATTTGAATGATCCAGGTTCAGATTATAACAGTTTCCATATCCTATCAGAGGCTGCATTTAGGGAACCACTGCGAAATATCACTTAAAATTCTTTTTGAAGTATGAACGTTGAAACAAATGCATGGCTATGAAAATTACCAATTATAAACTTTTTTTAAATGATTTTTTTCAAACCAAAAAAAATTAAGAGCCATATAGCTCAGTGGGCCTTAAATAGCAAAAAAAAATATTTGTTGTAATACAATTTTTACTTAAATTAACCCCCACCCCCCGAACTCCCCCTTATTTTTTTATTTAAAGCTTTCGTGACTGCAGAGATTCAAAATAAATAAATAGTATTGTTATATAAATATATATTATTAATAAATATAACAGTTTAATATTTCTATTATTTTATTATTTCCCTTCTACGTGACTTTACCGAAAGAACCAATAATATGTATCCCCCCTTATTATTAAGAATCGATTACTTGGTCTACCCCCCCCTTACCCCCCCCTCCACGCCCACCTCCATTGGTCGCACCCGCCCCTCGTCGCCAGCAACATGGCGGTCTAGCGCAGCAGCGGTGCGGACCAGAGCCTCGCTAGCGACGCTGTTCGGTGCCGTTGACTGCCGCCCATTAACCCGCCGTGTTCGGCGCGGGGTTTTTGTTGTTGCTTTCGACGACAAAGTCATCGTCGAGAGCGGCCCGCGAAGCGAGGGAGGAAGGGGGGGTTGTGTGTGTGTGGTGTTGAAGGAGGGCGGCTGCAATGCACGAAGGCAGGCAGACCAATAATGTGCTTCTCACCAGGGCACTGGACAAGATCCTGGCCGACAAGGACGTGAAGAAGGCGCACCACTCGCAGCTGAGGAAAGCCTGCGAGGTCGCGCTCGGTACGCGATTTGTGTTGCTTGTTTTGTCATTCCGCGACGCGGGTGAGGGTTGGGTGGGTGGGTGGGTGTTTAGGCCTCGCAACGGCACTCGGATAGTTGGCTCTGCCGGCCTCCACCTCGCTTCATCCGGCCCGGTCAACTAGCCGAGGGGCCGGCGGTCGCCGCCGGTGGAGGTAGGCCTGAGCTAAAGTGCGTTTGACAGCCTTTGGTTTTGATTACCGTCGCTGCAAAATAGGTTTAGTGCAATGGAGAGATTGCTTTGGCCGTGTTCGTTGATTTAAAAATGCAGATTAAGGAATACTTAGTCATCGCCGCCCGTAACCGCAAGTGCGGATTATCGTTGCTTCCGGGTCGTGGCCGTCCATTGGCTTCTACAGTAACGTCAGCGCTGTCGTATTTTCGCCAATTAAAATTACAAAACTATCGATACTTTGCACGCAAACAAAAAAACGTGTTGTTGTACATGCGGCTGACGATAAGGCACGCGTTTGGGAGTAATCGTTGCTGCAATTGGGCTCGACGGTTTTGATGCCGTTCACGAATTCCCAACGTCACCATTTCAGGTCACCTTTCAGCCGACACGTCTACGGGTCTTCAGCACTACTGGGGCTTTAGAATTGACTTTTTGTTTCCCGAATAAATGTTTTTGCTCGAGCGAAAGAGGCGTTTTACAACATCGTTGTAACGTTGAAAACACTTGCGACATACACGCGGGCCCCATTCCAAGTTAATGTCAATTTCAGGACACGATATGTATTCAGGATGCAGTGATTGACACACTTTTGTTATTCGGCTTAGTGGAGTACATTTTTTTCTACTCATTTGAAACCAAGTCATGGTCTTGCAAGTGAATGCTAATTCTTAATTACCAAAACACGCAGGTGGAGCGGAGATGCAGTTGTTAGCACGCTGCACTGAACCTGTTAATCCGAGTTGGAGTCCATGCCTTGGCTAACGTCGGCGGCGATTAATAATCTCGGTTGGCCCTTGCACTCACCATCGTGGTATGGTAATACATGACCCCTTGGCCAACATGGCATGTAGGGGAAAGACCTTAACATTCAGGAGTAGATATGACAAAGGGCTGTCTAATCATGAATACTTTCCTCTTTGTATGACAGTGTTTAAGTCATCTTTACCGGGCCGTCATGATGTTCTCATTGTTTGACAACTGTGAAATCGTGGCGTTGAAGTCCTTGTTTCCTGGTCCCTGGGTACAGTGTGGATTAAAGGCGGTCACAAGGAGGTGTCTTTGAATGTCCCCTGCTGGCATTGCTGCTCGTTTGTGGTCACTAATTATAATGAACCCCTTGTGTAGTGCAGGTAGCCCAGTGTGTGTTTTTACAGCAATTGATAGAGTAACTGATTAATTGTATGCGGGGTTAAAAAAAAAATCGAATTTAGTTTTAACGGGTGGCATTCTTTTTTTCTATTTTACATCACGAACATTGGGAACGTAAATCAGCAAATGTGTATGCTGTTTTGTACTGTAGGCATGCAGAAACGTCTGCAAAGTTGTCTTAAGTGTCGATGCGTTTAAGTTGTCCACATTAAGTTTACAGATCATTCAGGAGCTGTCATTGTGACATGTACAGTAATGTACAACCTTTTTTTTGGTCAAATCTCCTGGATGAGGGCCACCTTGCCTTGCAGGTCATGGGAGTTCTTTGACCATACTTTACCATGTTTGTCAGTGCAGGTTGGTGAATGCGGGGAGCATAAACGTGGAGGCGTAGAAGTACCGTGCAACACATCAAAACATTTTTTCTATGAACTGCCCTCTGCATTAGCCCAGCTAGCTCTATATACTAACCTATCAAGTGCGGGTGATTAACCTATTGAAGAACTATGCAGACTCCAGCCTGCTTACCTTTCGAGATCAGGCGCATTCTAAGGTCATAGCCGAGCTTTTAATGTTGAATACAGTAAATATTTGGAGTGGTGTGCGCCGCGCACTGCTGTAAATCTATAATGCAGTGCTTGATGGTGCCTTAAATAACCAAAGGTTTCAATTTTTCGCGTGTGTCGGGAATGCCTTTGTAACTGACACGTCCCATCCGCATAGAGAATGTGCCACCTCTTAGCAACCAACTACTTGATGCATATTTAATTTAGTCCGTGGCCTGTTGTCATTCCCACTGCACTGTAGACCAACGCACGCGTTTCGTGCCCACTGCGAGCTAGAACGTTAGTTTCTGCAAGGCTTTTTTTTACCAAGCTTGCGAGCCAGATAGTGGACACCAAACCGGGCCCTTCAGTAATTCATTGGAACGCATTAAAGATTGAGGGGCACTTTAATAATGAAACGCTTGTTTACCAGGCTTGGAAATGACCCCTCACAGCCCGAGTTGCAGTGTGGTACAGCGTTGAATGGTTTTCTCGCTCTCCATAATACAGTACGATGTTTGTTTTATAGGGATATTGTAAACAAGATATGTCATCATTCATAGGCTCTTGCGACTGATGTGGAGCTACTGCTGCAGTTAAAGCAGCAATTTGCCTGTTAGGTTGGGTGTTTTTATTTGGCTCCCGATGAAAAGTTTCTAATTGTGAGCAAGTCTGGCTTCATGTTTTCATCATATGGTGAGATTGAACGGGCAAATAATGATGTCGCGACTGCATTTTGAACAGATCAAATGCTTCCTGTTCATTATGGGCATCTAATTGAGTGACGTTAAAAGATTCTTGGGACAATTGAGGTTTTACTTTGAAGAGTGATGGTTCCTGCTTGGGCAGTTTGCTCAGAGCTGCTCCAACTCTCCCTTGCCTAGAAATTTGTCCTCTTTGCAGTGTTGTTTGCTCATTGTTGAGCCCTGGCCAATTAAATGCAATGTCAAAACAAGTGAGAGGAGTCTGAGAATATCGGTTTGAAGTGCGTAATAAGTTGTTCAATAATTCTAATGTTCGCAAATGGCTGTTGTAAGGCCACCCTTAATATACACGCTTTGTTTGCTCTTAATGCCTTTTAGCATTCTGCACGCTATGCCAAATGGAAGATTGCGCCACCAGCTATCGGATTCCAGTGCCAACTTGTACCCAACGCATTGTATAGTTGTGATTCCAAAGTTACATATGCTTTATCCCTACATGTTTCTTTGTGCCATTTTACACATTAGATTTATATACATTAATTGAATTACTTCCTTCCTGTAGTATGATTGATATTTGTGAGTCCCCTAACGTTTGCTTTATTTATCTGGGGCCAATTCCTAATTGATGGCTGGTGGCTGATGATGGCAGCAGCATGTCTCAAGCAATGCTATACTGTCGTATAATTCTAACATTTACAAGCGGGCTTTTAGGTGTATTCATACATAGTCGTGCAGTAGTGCTAGTGTTATCGGCTGGTGTCATATTTGCAAATTTCACGTGAATGTAACTCTCATTTATAAACCATTCGTTGTACACTGAAATGATGGGCTGTGATAAACAAGTCCATCCAGTTCTGCTCTACGGTGCGGTGGGCAGGAATGATGGCTTTATTTAGACGTTTCACGAAAGGAGAATTGCAGTTTTGATCCACATGTACAGCCCTTTTTGTCAATCTACTGCTGGAAGAGGGCCACTCCAGACCATGTACGTTTATGGGGTTATTTGCCCATACTTCACCACTCCGGTTAGTGTGGGTTTGTTAAAAGCAGGGTGCATAAATGTGAAAGCGTAGAAGTATAAAATACAACAGTGGATTTCTCGGCACTACCTTCTATTGCACACAACCGTTGCCCCAAAGCTTATAACATATTTTATGCTTGTTTTTTTGCCCATCCCCAAGCACTATCTAGGCTCAATCCTACTTAGCTTCCGGGATCTGATGATACAGGAGGCACATTATGGGTGGTTTAGTCATAGGTTATAGGCTGTAATACTGTGCTAAATATACAGAATCTGGCACATAGTTGATGTATTTAACAATGAAAGGCTTCACTTTATGGTGCAGTGTGTTATGTTATTTTATTGCATTTTATGGTCATGGGTGATGGAGTTACTCCAAGCCAAGTAAATAAATGGAATATGGTCTTTCTCCATTCATTAAAGCCAAGCCTGTGGAATCGGCATGGAATTCATAATGGTTATTACACGTTTAATTATTTACATGGAATTACACGCGTTCACCAACACGGACAGCAAATTGCTTAAGCATCCCAGAAACGCACGTGACACTTTTTTTGAAAAAAAAAAAATCTCACCATTGACGTGGCTGTCGTAAGCAGTAGCGCCACAATGTAGGACCTACTCTACGTGCAGACAGCGAAACACAAACGGCAGTCTCTGGCGCAATAGTGATTGCACCTCTCTCCCTTTTGTTCGTCCACGTGCTTCCCAAAAGGTGTCGGCGAGAGAGCAGCCCCAGCTTTGGGGAAAAAAACACATCAAAGTGTATCATCCCAGTATGCTGCAGTCGTGCGAACAGTCTATGCAGAGACTAGCTTCTCCCGTAATTGTTATTCATATCACATAGCTCCTGCCATAGCCCCAGCCTCTGTGCTGTCCCACTTTAAAAGCCGGATGACATGCTTCTGTAGTTCCACGGTTATGGCGCAAGCAGGCCTTTCATTGCCCACTTTACGATTGCGGGATTTAAACCTGAGCCCCGTGCCATTTTGCAAAGTGAGCCAGCGAGGCTTTTTTTCCATTGTCGCCACGTCAACTGTGACCAATAAATCTCATGTAAATCGTGCGAGGGGGGGGGGAGTCACCGATTAAATTTACGCCGTTTTGCGACTGTCACAATGGGGCCTTATGCTGGCAAAACATGGACCCGCAAGGGCAGGCACGTTTTAGCTAATTATGGTAGATTCCACGTTCGTACTGAGACTAACGTTTACATTGTATGATACACGTATTTTCACTTCACTCCCTTTTCAGGTAGAAAGCCTCATGTTGTGGTAGAAACATTCACATGACTGTATTTTCCTCATTTTAACTGGCCTCTCTTTTTGTGTTATCAGTTAGTGGATTTATGTCTTCTTCATTTAAGCACGTGCACTAATACATTCTATCTTTTTTGAAGATGACCTCAAATTCCAAGAATGTGAACCAATATATCTGTAGGTAGCACACGTATTATGTATGTAGTTTTCAATGAAACGAATAATAGTTATTTGAATATATTTGTCAAAAGGATTTTTTTTATTTGGCCTAGCTAGTTAATCTGTTTTCTTTCTATCCTTTGTGGTAATTTGAATATGCTTTTAACTGTAGGTTGCCATTGCAAGCGTGAGGATTTGGCGGATACTCTCTGCTGGGATGAAAGGCAGACAAACGGCAGAACTGTGTAACGATTACAATCTGTACAAGTTCCTAAGCAGGCTGTGTTATTTACAATGGAATGTAAATCTGATTACCCCCCGCCCCCCACACACAAACTTGGTAACTAAATTTCACCTTAGGAGCAGATATCCTGAATTTATTTTAATATTTTGTCATGCCAATTGTACCTTGCCTAGATTGGTATCTACACATGGCCATCATTCATGCATTTGGTGCCCTGTTGACCCGTCTCTTGTGTACGTCTGTTCATGGGTTAAGCACTTTGCTCCTGGGTGCGAATTGCATTGACAGGTCAAATTGGCCACAAGGGGATGTCTGTTCCCTTAGGCCATTTGATTAGTTGACAGCCGCACAAATTGATGATTTAACCAAAACGACGGTAGGTAGTGTACAATGCCACCGTATTGTGTGAATGCAAATTTTGTGGGGATGAAGCCACCATCGTGGCTTAGTGAGCGAAAAGCGGTGGCTCTCTGGAATGAGTGCTGTGGTGTAATAAATGGCACCCAAGTAAATGTTGATATGTTGAAGTCATGATGACTTTCGGCCTACTCGCTTGCTGTGCGTTATCATTTAAATTGTGCTTTTTTTTGCCATACCCACTTGCAAAGTTTTGTCTCGTGGCAATTTTGCTTTAAAGGGACATCCCTTCGATTTCAGAGCAGCTTTTGTTCCTTGTGGTTTCTTCAGCAGGGGATAATAATGCTTACGGTCATGAAAAATAATTTGGAATCTACTTCCCAAGTTAAGGTTGTTATAATTGAAGTAATCTGTTTTCAAAGTCCAAGTTGGCATGTTGACATTGCAAATCGCGTTTCCAATGGCTACGTCGATACTCGGTGCCACATTCGATGCCTCAGTCCTTGTTGATCCATCCTCTCTTGCACGTTTGCGAACCTCATCTTCGCAGGTAGCCGTTTTTGTTTTCACGGCCACAGTTTTGTTAATCTTCCATTCCATTTCAGAATGAGCACTCGCACAGTTAATTGGGTACCCACCTGATTGTATGTATTGTTAACGACAACTCTCTCGCGCGCGAGCGTTTACTTGCACATTGTCTAATTGTGTTACGTTGCCCGTCAGTCACGTGTGCTCTATTCTGTTTTGACAGATGAAATAAAAGCCGAAGCGGAGGTGCAGAGGTAAGGCTTGATGCCAATCGTCATACTTTTCACGCATTTACGATTATCCAAAGTGAATTATTGAATAAGAGGTATCCTTTATAATGTTTTTTGTCTTCTGTAATCGAGCATGCATTAAGCTCACCGCGTTATTCCGAATGAGGTGTATGCCACACTATTAGAGGTGCCATTACGAGCCTGTTTGTTTGATATTCTTCAAGCACAGCCACCTTGGAACAAAACGTTTTGCAACAACCGAATGGTCTACGCATCTATAGTTCCTAAATGGCAACAGGTTACAAATTGCCCTTTACAGGGACTATACTGTAGTCCATTACAAACTAATAATAGGACCTCGGGTTTCAAAAGTTAGACAATACAAAACTTAAGGTAATGTTTAACAACATAACAGCCATTTCATACTGAATGCCGATTGGTCAGTGTTTATGTGGACTCTACAATACTGATGTGTATTATGTTGAGGAGGTCCTTATGTTTGAGCACTGCCATTTTTTTTACTTAGCACTTGTGTTTGTGCCCCGGTGATTGAATTTATTGACAAATGTGTTTCAAGACAGGGCTTTGAGTGGCTTGAACTGAATAAGAAAATCTCATCGCACCATGTTGCTATAAACAAGTCCGGAGCTGTCGTTTCATAAGAGGAAAAGATAACCCTTGGATACTTTTGAAAATTGGAATTCTCTGCTTCCTATTTCATAAAAAAAAGTATTCCGTTTATAGCATCTACACTGGGAGAAAATGGAAAATTGGTGTGCTGTATTTGGCACGGACCATGCCATTTTGTTGGCTTGTTGTCTGCTATAACCACAGTCAATGTTTTTGTCCCTTAAAGCACCCTGACGTGCAAGTTATTTTTCCATTCATGGTTTAACCTATACTCACCAACCAGAGTTATTATTTTATTACTTCCCTTCTACGTGACTTTACCGAAAGAACCAAGAAGATGAATCCCTGTAGTCACGAAAGCTTTAAATCGAAACATAGATGCACAGTTTAGATTACAATTTCAAGGACTACTGGCTCGGTCCCCGACATACGACAGGATTGAGAATTGGAATTAGGTTTTTAAATGGCCATACTTGAGGCTGGTCCACAACATGAGCCTCCAGCCATCCTATGAATTCCCACAATAGCCAGCGAATAGCTTAAATGAAAGTTTTCCCGCATTGCTCTGTTGCGGCCAATTATATCTGCATACAAAAAGGAAGCGGTGACCGTACAAATGATAGGTCACTTGGGGGCACAATTGTGCTCATTACATTAAAACCTCTGAGAGTAATTGTGGCATTGTACTTAATGGTTTTATGCGTTGAGATTACAACAGTGACCATAAACTGGCGAGCATGTGAATGCAGTCGCAGTATGTTGTGTTTAAAACGAACACTCCTCCCCCCTTTTTTTTCCCCCAATTGATCTTTCGATGTCATGCCATGAGAAGAACTATCCATGTGGATCTCGCAGAGTCCGTGCACACCTTTCCATTAGAGAATGGTCTGCAGAGGTGGATATTGCAGAGACCTTTTCAAGTGACCTCTGTACAATGCAATAGGCAGCACTTTTCCACCTCTTTCCAATGAGAGTAATATTTATCACATGAGTCAAACATAATTTTTTTTATTCTCGGAGCTGCAATTTTTGTGTGCAGTCTCTGATGCCCAGACTGAGACCCATCAACTAACTACACCTGAGAACTCAGGTGGCTGAACCTGGATTCGAACCTAAGAATGTCACTGGTGTCGGCTCCGATACCCTGACCACTGAATCCACCTGGCCACCTCACCGGTATGCTGTGTTGATGTAGCGCTCGTTGCAATTGCAGTCCTCCGGCGGTGGTGGACGGCAAGGTTGGCTCGTCGGCACTGCCCCCCATCCGCTCCAAGTCCAACTTCATCGAAGCGGACAAGTACTTCCTGCCATTTGAGTTGGCCTGCCAGTCAAAATGTTCCCGTATCGTGAGCACTTCCCTCGACTGCCTCCAGGTAATAATAACGAGAAGGATTTGTATCGCGCCGTAACATGGCAAGCCGTTACAAGGGTATTAAAACCCCGTCCAAACTTGATGTTTTAATTATTATTGATATTATTATTGAACCAGTGACATCTGGAAGCGCCTCGCCAAGCCTCTGGACCCTTTTCAGCAGGGTTGGTGTTTTGTATGTCAATCCACTGCTTTCCACATTGTGCGTGTTTTGGAGGGGTTATTGCACCCGATGTCATTAACGGGTGATCAGGGTGGGTTGGTGAAGGTGGGGGGAGCATATGTTTCGTCCAACAATGGATTTTTCTTAACTTGGTTATGCTACCCACAACGTAACCCAATTACATTTCACACCTTTAAAGAATGTTTCGGCTCAAATTCATTTCACGTTTCCAGCAATTTTAAACGGAAGCTTTCACGGCCAATATGATTTGTAATTGGTTTATTTTGGTTTAGGTCCTATAAATAAAATTTGTGTCGTAAACCAACTTGAGACCTGAGCTGTTTTACAAATCTGATGATGCTGGATGTAATCTCCAGCGAAATATCGTTCCCATTTAATGTTGTGAGATTACTCTGCCACACACAGGTGTGTGCTGAAACAGTAAATACATTTGGCACGTTTAATTCACTTGTCTCTTTTATTCATTGACTGCGTCAGATGGAGGAGGGTTTACGACCTCAACAAAAATAAACCAATTATAAATAGTTTCCAACAAGTGTTCATATTTTTCCCCGTATTATTGGAGGTGGTGAAATGGCCGGTTTGAATGCTGGTTATTAGTGCCGATGTATTAACTAAAACATTGCACCGTATGCTTTGCAGTGGACGCTAATAACACGTGATGTCATCTGTTACAGTAGGCTATTGTTTGCTGGCGTCACGGTCAAAATGTTCTAAATTTGAAAATGTACCCCGACAAATTTAATCGGTGGGAATGCGCGTAGAAATAATTGCCCTCTACTGTAACTAATTTTGGCAGAATCCTGAAATAAACTCATGAGACTCGGTGAGGTTTTCCTGGGCAAAGCAAGCATAATAATAATTTAGTCTGGTCAATATTGTCAGTTTATTATTTTTTTTATTGCCGAGCAAATGCATCTTTCAAATTGAGAAAATATATGTACACAAGTCAGTCACAATTCAGGCCCAGAGGCGTTAAGCCAATACTGATGGTAAGTAAATTGAATGATTGACGGATATCTGTGCCAATGACATTAAATCAGATGGCTATACCTGACAGTCTCCTGAGAAAAGGCTCATGTTGATCAATTTTGTTGCCTGTTGCAATGTTTAGGTTTTTTTTTTACCCATAGCTTGTAGAAAAATATTCTTCCAGATCAAAATTCTGCCTGTAAAGGTTGCTCATCTCCTATTGATGGCGTGTAGTGACATCATCCAGAATCTTGTTGATGTGTTTTGGTTACATAGATTAGATTGTACACAGAGATGGGGGAAATGTTGAAAAACGTATGGTTTTATTAGTGGCACTGATGTCCCGATTTGCTGTTGTATGCAAGTGTTATTTTACTCTGTTGTTACTTCCAAATAGAAATCTCAGTACATTGAACTATCGGGATGTCAGTGTTATCTATGATGAAACACATAGCCATGTGTACAGTAGGTGCGCTGAGATTAAAGTAGGAGAAACTAGCGCAGCAGTGCCAATCTTAGAACAAAAGAGCAGGCACGCATAAACACATTTGTATGTCATGGAAAATTCTAGATTCATGATTTTGCCACTTCAGTCACAAGTATTAGGTTATTTTTTATGTCAAATGCTTGTGTTGATAAGCCAGTTGCTTTCAGGCTATGGTTTTGTTTGATTCTGAATTGAATAAAGTAAATAACCGCAAGAGCATTTTATGTCTATCTGTGCCCCTTATCAGAATCTGCAGCGAGCATTGTTTTTGAAATAGCCTACAACTGTCGCTGGCAATACCCCTTGTTCATCCTGGCTTAAAAAATACGGTTCCGTGAGCCCGATTGTGACGGCGTTGTTGTGCGCCGCAGCTGGAGATGTATTTCCATAAAGAGGGCGCAACCAACAAAGGAGCACTACGTGGTGTGATTCCCCGCCCAGATTTGTTTGCTGAAATGTTTGTCTGGCCCTCAACGTTTTCCACGTGTGTCTGCGCAGAAACTGATAGCGTACGGGCATCTGACTGGAAACGCGCCCGACAGCACCACCCCAGGGAAGAGGCTTATCGACCGTATCATAGAAACCATCTGCGGGTGCTTTCAGGGTCCCCAAACGGATGAGGGAGTGCAGCTACAGATCATAAAGGTGCCACGCCACGTGTGTGTGTGTATGAGCCTGCTTCCCCGTTACTGCGTAGGTGAATTGTGGTGTTATTCAACTGGTGTTAGGCTCGCTTGCTCACGGACCTTGCTTTCTCTTGATACAGACCAGCCTACATGCTCTAAAACATTGCATCATCGCTTGGGAATCTTGAGTCATCTTTGCTTGTCCAGTCGAGGGTTTGTTTCTTTGTTTAATTTGTTTGTATTGCCCGGCAACAAAGAATTGCCTGCATTTGTAAAGTAATGAATATTTGTAACAAGCTGCATCTTAATAAGATTAACATTCTTTTGGCAGTCCAATGTCAATAAGGGTCATACTTGTTTGTATTAAAAAATGTGTGAAACCCTCTGTTTACTCTAATTAGGGAAAATTATTCTTGCACGTATACACTGAACCAAATTTTTTATGTACTTGCGCATTTTAATCGTGTTGTTTCTTGTATATCACGCTACGCCTGACTTATCACTTGAGTTTTAGTTTTCAATGCTCAACAACTGAGACGAGGGGCACGCGTTGTGCACAAACGTGAGCCTTCAAATCCCAGACACCTCCGATTAGTGCGCTTGGCTACATGCGGCACGGAAGAAGTTCAACGCCACCACTCTCCTCTACACATGCACACAAACCGGAGGGTGCTCACGGATGTTAACGCGCCCCGCTCCCGCAGGCCCTGCTGACTGCGGTGACGTCTCAGAACATCGAGATCCACGAGGGAACGCTGCTACAGACGGTCCGGACCTGCTACAACATCTACCTGGCCAGCAAGAACATGATCAACCAGACGACGGCCAAGGCCACGCTCACGCAGATGCTCAATGTCATCTTCGCTCGCATGGAGAATCAGGCGGTATGAGCGAAAAAATGGCTGGACGCGATTGTTTTTTTAACGCTTTTTAACGGAGGTGGAAAGTGTTCATGATCATTCTTTCCGTTTGTCACGTCGTACGACAATCGTTCATTGTGGGGCTTTAACTGTTACGCTGTAAAACGCGCCGTGAAGATGATCCAATTTGAATGAACCCCTTCGTATAAAGTTGTGTTGCGATGAAGGACTTACAATGTTGACAACCTGCCAGAATGTTCAAAGGGTTTGCCAAACACTTAAGAGCCGCAAACCAGAGCGTAAGCGCGGGACCATCGTACAGCACAGCAGAGGATTGCACTCTGCTGCCCGCTACCAATCCCTGTAGTCGTTTAACCAGTCAGTTGTGCAGGGTGGTTGCTCATCCAAGCACGACCCATGATGGGGTGGATCTCCGGCAATTTGCTCGCAGGCCATCTCTCTCCTGTTACACTGGGCTGCCCCCCCGCCCGCCCATTGTGCGCGACCGCACCTCCATTTGCGAGGGGTTAACGTGCAGTTGTTTTTTTCGGCATGCGTCCGCGTTCGGGCGTTCTCAGCTGCAGGAGGCGAAACAGATGGACAGGGACAAACACGCGAGGCACGCGCACCAGCCGGGGTCGCAGCCCGGCGGCGAGGGCCAGCAGGCGGACGCGGATGGCACGCCCGGCACGTCGCACTCCCCGTCGCCGGCCCTGCAGCACGGCCACGTGGTGAGGCCGGGCGGAGATGCGTCGTGTGTTCTGGTGTTCGTGTAGTCTCGGCGTAGTCTCAAGTCTGATCACACGACACAGCCTGTGTGTGTGGAATTTGTCAGCCTTGTATGTATGTATGTTCAACTTCTTTCGCACTGTACGTAGCCAACCGTGCTAATCGGAGGTGTGAGAAAGGAATATCAGTCCATCTTGCTGAAGTCACCTAAAGTTGTTTAATAATTTAGTTCATTCTTTGGTGTTGATGTGTGTGTGGGGTGCTTTATTTTTTAATCGAAGTTTATCACGCTAGCCGATCAATTCACGTGGTAAAACTTTTATGGTTCATATGACCCAAACAACATTTTTGGTCTACCTAAGTACTTTGCAGCCTTGTATTAACATTAATAAATGATCTTAGTCTGCATGTTCATTCATAGTCATGTTCAAGTCTTTGATGGGGTAACATCATCATCACCATGCTTAATTTTTGTCCACTTATGGTCTAGTGGAGGCTCATTTACTGTTCAGTGGTTGTACTCTCCTAGTGGTCCCTACCACTTTAGATTAGAACCCCCTTCGCCAACGTTTTCACATTCATTTTACTCATGTTTCCGAAATCCCATGGCAAGTGGGAGGTTATATTTTGTACGTTTAGATTTCGCTGAGACCCCTGTTTGGGGGACTCCATGCTCCTTCCAGTGTTTAATCACAATCACCCATTGTTCAGCATCTTTCTTTTTCCCCCCCAGTTCAAGTTGAAATCTAGGTGAGACAGGGCAGTGCTTTGTGATAATCCTTCCATAATGAGGACCTCTCTGCTATGAGATGTTAACCACCTCGCCTGGCATGCAAGAGGTTGTTTGGTTCGATTCTGATCCTGATGCCTGTATATATTTGGACTTTGCACGTTCACCCCGTGGTAGTGTGGATTTTTCTCCGGGTCCTCCGGCTTTTCCCTCCACATTTAGAAATATGAGTTTCGAGTATTTGGCTGCTATAAATGTGCACATGATAAGCCACTCCATTGAGCTATCATTTGTGGCTGGTTCGCTTATGAAAAAGAGCTATGTAGCTTAGTGGACCTTACCTGGTAAAATCAAAAAATAGTTTAGTTTTAAGAAGAGCCATTGCCCAAAAAGTCGCCTATTAATGAGCGGTGTTATGGACGAGTGCGAGTTTTTATTATTAGTAGTAGTTATGCCCCACTGCCAACTTGTTTTCACTGAGACCATTTAATTCTAAATTGGAATTGCGGTGTATCCATATTGTGGCGTGTGCCATTCCGTATTTTTGCTTTTTTTTGTTGTGATGACTAATTAAACACATTGCAGTCCCCATTGACTGGGGAAGCTGTCGGCACAGATCAATTAAGATAGTTGGGGTGGAAAAGGTTAATTCCTGGCAAGTTTAGTGTACCAGCTACTGTTCTACAACTTCGACCAGGGACTTTGAAAAGAAATAACCAGACACCCTCAGAGTATTTCGTTTCTCTTAATTACCAAGGAACGGTGGGGATTATAGCAATATTTGCATTTAAAGTTGCTTGTTTATCTAATTTAAATATATTACATTTGAATAAAAGTTTGTTACAATATATGAAGAGGATTTTTTTTCTTTTTGTTTCACGGATTTATTTTTGCTTGATTATTTTGAGATGTTATTAACATGATAAAATTTGTTCTCATTGGTTCGTGCTACCTTTTCATTGCTATGTTTTGTCCATTACATTTTTTCCAAAATCAGTTGAAAATAACCCGTTAAATATGACATTGCTTTTCATTTGTCAAAATACCAATCATTGGTTCATCTTCCTTCCCCCCCCCCCTCCCGCCATGCTATGTCACGAGATAGTCCTTTTTATTCGGAGTTCTTACAAATCATCTTATCACCAATTTGCTATAAAATGTCTTAATACAAGTTGATATTTCAGAACCACTTCTGACTTATACGTTCAAGGGGCACTGCCACTTCTCACATGCCCTGATGTTTTTTTTTTTATCACATGGCAATCGCTCTTTAGAGCTAAGGCCATCAACTCGTCACACTGCTTAAGAATCTGGTTTGCCACTGTTTGTTGCGTGGATTCAAACGCGAGGATGGTCATCAACGTTCTGACCCAGTATATTCTCCACCCCCCCCCCCCCCCCCCCCCGCGAGCCATCCAGCCACCTCCTAGTTAGCGATAACCAGGTCGTGATTATTGCTGAGTGTGCCAGGTTTTCTTCTTGGGAGTGTTTTTGTTTGACTTAACCCTTGGTCGTTGGTCGCGACGCAGGGCGATGCGGAGAGGGCGGAGGTGGCATCGGACGAAGGTGGTGCCGGCAGCGGCGCCGCCGTGTTTGAGGCAGCAGGAGCGGAGAACGGCGTGGACGGGCCTGAGAACGAGCAGACGGAAGCGGACCGTGCCATCCCGCCTCACGGTGAGACATCGCACCTCTCTTTCCCCTATCCCCACCTCGGTGGAACAAAGGGACGTTCCGTGAAGCACCGTCTCCAAACGAGCAGTTGGTACGGTTCAACACCCTTACTGTCTCTTCTCTGAAGAAGGTTCCAAAACGTCAGCATAAAAACCGGTCGTGAGAATTGTTCTTCAAATGGCACGTTTAAAATGCTTGTACACGTGACGGTTTCAATTAGTTTGGCTGTCGGGCGTTGGAAAATCTAAACACAAATTTGGACAGATCATTTCCTGGCCTAACCCGAGAAAGAAAAAATTACGGAAATAATTTAATTAATCTTTGTGTGTGCACTTGCCCCAACAGTCTGTTAAGGCTATACGGGGGATCTTTGTCTTTTTTGTGGGGGTTTCAGACTCTCACGAACCAAGCTGTGTTGAGGACGGGGAGACCCCTGAGCCTGTGGTCGCCGCGCAAGAGATCGTGCAGAAAATCCTCAACGAGGTCGTCTCCACTGTGGCTGCAGGTGTCCGATGCAATGCACAACCCATGGCCGTTTACCCTCTTGTGGGTTTCCAGTGATTGAGGGCAGCTCAGATGTGTGGGTGTGCTCTGTGTCCTAGGTTTAAGGTTTTACGAGTATTTGGCTGCTATAAATTTCCACATGATAACCCACTTTTTGTTGCGCTGTCGTTTGTGATAGCCAGGGTCGCTTCTGAAAAAGAGCTTTGTTGCTCGGTGGGGATTAGCTGGTAAAATATTAAAAATATTTTTTTTAAATAGTGAGTTGAAGTCGTGTCGTAGCATGGTTGGCAATGGGGCCTCATGGTGCAAGGAAGGAAATGAGCTCCCTGTCCAATTTCCGCCACCCACTTTCATAGCCTGGAACCCTAAACTATTTAAACTATTTATTTCACCAGGTAAGGCCCACTGAGCCGTATCGCTCTTTTTCAGAAGCTACCTGGCCACAAATAATAGTTCAGAGAAGTGGCTCATCACGTGGAAATTGACAGCAGCCAAAAACTCTAAATGCGCTTTGATTCTAAATGTGGAGGGAAAAACGGGTGGACCCGGAGAAAAATCAATGTGGCCACGGGGAGAGAGACACAACAGCTACAAATATACAGCAAATGTCAGAGTCGGGATCGAACCGACGACCTATATACCAGGTGAGGTAGTCTCGCCACCGCGGCGCCCTGGGTTCTGTCCCGCGCGTAGGCGCACCGTTTCATTTGCACCGCCTGCAGGCTCGATAGCTATGCCACTGGATCTACTATTGGCTTACAAAAGCCTCCTTTCACAACTTCTATTTTGGGGTGTAGGGGTGGGGAGTTTTATTTCCCAACCGATTTTTTCCGTGACAGGGAAGTAGAGTTAATTCTGATTGCAAATTATCTTTAAGTGCCGGTGACACATTGCCATGGCCAGAAGAGCTAACCGCTAACAATGTGGAAGTAAACGTGCGTGAAGGTCAATCGGGCACACGGGGCCTCTAGCCACTTCTGGTAGAGGCCCCCGTATCCCCGCTGTCAGTGAAAGTCTCTTTATAAAAATAGTAAACAACCACAAAAATCATAGCACAGAATTTTAGCATTTTTTTCGGTGTACATTTTTTTCCCGTGAAATACATTATGGCTTTGTTTAATTTCAAAATTTTTAAAATGTATTCCTTAATGCCATCTTAATAATGATTGATACATTTTGTTAAAATTTGAAAAAAATATATATCTATGGCACGATGGAGATTGTGGGTTTGAATTCAGGAAGCCACCTATGAATGAACTGGGGACTCTAGTGTCGTGATATGAGTGTCTTAGCCCATTCAAACTGACTGCACAAAAAACATATTGAATTACATGTGATGTAACACTTATTTGTCGAAATCACACCTGACATCAGTTTGACTGATATGAGACAAATGTTTCTTTGTCGCAGTGAGAAACACATGGCATGATCCACTTCTCTGTGAGCATTCCCAGGATGCTGATAGCACAGTTGGACTAAAACTGGGGGAAAGAACAAAACATTCGGTAAATGTGATAATACTTTGTGCTTTTTTATAATTAGGATTTAGGTTCATTGGATGTTTCGCTTGCACTTACAGATATAATAGGTCACAGTACAAACGTGATACATCAATGTTTGGCATGACTGAGTGCATGGATGCATACCATGTTTTTTAAAACGCTGAATTAAATATAGGGACATGCAGTCAAGCATTGACTTTAAAATGTCACGTTGAATAGGTTAACAAATGAACTGTTTAAACCACATGAAATACATTATCATCAAAAGGAAAGAAGAAAAAATCTCTCAATTTCCTGATGAACCACACATTCCATGTGGTTGGAAACTATTGAATAACCGCCCCAATTTTAATTCTGCAATTTTAATTAATGTATTTTGTTATAGAAATAATAAGCCACTTCAAGGTCGATATTTAATTGGTACATTAATCGCCTTTCTGAAATAATTTGCACCGTTTAGATAAATAAATATGCATGAAATAGCTTCAGTTTATATGATTATTTCAAGTAAATCATAGAGGTTTAGCCAGGTGGTGCAGTAGTGAGTGTGTGGCTTTCGATCGGAGGGTTATGAGTTCAATCCATTTCGGGGGTCAGCTATACAAGTCAACGGTGGGTAAGACTTGTATATAATTGCTCCTGTAAAAGGAATGTGGAATTTCCAGCAATTGCTTCAGACTGAAAAAGAGATGAGCAGCGTTCAAATATAAATACAAAACTTCATAATAAAGTGTTGCGGTTACCCTGTTTTCCAAAACTTAGATACCAAATAGAGCAAAATACGGAAACTCACTTTGCCCTGACAGTTGGCTGTCGGCTTCCGAACCGCTAACCCAATACTTCCGAAGACAGACATGTGTTGGAAAGGGTTACACAATCCATGTGGGTATGCATGCACGTTTTTTTTCCCCGAACTAAATTTATTTTTTAATAATAAACAACGAGGGGCTTCTGTGCTTCTAGAATCAGAAGACGGGAGCGCGGGAAGCCACACTGGCACTCTGGATGAGGAAGGGAGCGGACCCAACGACGCAGAGCCCACTCACGCCAACGGGGTCCCAGGAGGAACCATCCCACCATACACGCCTTCCCTGCCCGACGACCGCATCTCTGTGTCCTCCACAGACACGCAGGTGAGGGGCGTGTTGGGCGGGTGGGTGTAACACGTCGTATTAATCCCCTCCCCCCCCCCCACAAGCCCACTCCGTCCTTCTGCAACTGCGACAGATTTTGCTACGCTTATAGCCCATGAGCCGGGATCGGGTATCTCGCGTGTAAGTACCACCCGCATCTTCGATTAGCGCGGTTTGGCTACGTACGGTACGGAAGAAGTTCAACATTTCGACGTATCTGTGGTGACATCACTTTAGTGGTTCCAATTTCTGTGTTGCCATTAACAGTGGATAGCCATTTAAAGTGAGTAAGTTATCAATTCATTCACAATTAAACATACACGTAAATGAGTTCTTTTGCAGGTTTGCTATTTTACGTGGTTCAAATTTACGATCTGGCCGATCGACTATTATTCGGCATGGTTATGACCAAATCGCCCAATCTCATCAGATTTCAGAAGCTAGTCTGGGTTGAGCCTGGATTTTTCTTGGATGGGTGACCACAATTCATGACAGGTGGATATTTCTTGGATGGGCAGCAGAGGGCTGTGCAGAAAAATCCCGTAAAAAAAAATTGTACTTCTATTCCCCCCACGTCTATGCTCACCGTCTTCACCAATCGACACTGACCAGCGTGGGGAAGCATGGTCACATAAAGGGGTGCGGAGAGCCTCATCCAGCAGTGGATTGACAAAAGAGCTGTACATGTACAGTCTTCATGTTCACGTAGAAGTGAGTGGCAAGATGTGCTCATGCCTCCCGCTGTTCTTGAGTTGCGGTTTGGATTTAGACGTTATATAAATTCAAATTTAGATTTGTTTTATGTTTTGTCGTTTTCATTATTATAAAATGTGGCCCTTCCTGGGTTCGGGCGCTTGTAACGATCTCGGAAGTAATTCTGTAATATCTGCTTACGTGGGCCATTCTCCAAATGACAGGATGCTGATAGCACTTGCACATGTAATAGGTCACAGTACAAACATGATACATCAATGTTATACATTCAAATAGTAAATTGTGATTTGTTTTTAATGTTTTGTTTGTTGTTTATCTTCAGGAGTCTGGCGTGGCACCTGGGCAGCCCCCAGTGGTGAAGTTCTCCCACATCCTGCAGAAGGATGCGTTTCTCGTCTTCCGCTCGCTCTGCAAGCTCTCCATGAAGCCACTTTCCGACGGACCCCCCGATCCCAAGTGAGCTCCTGATACGCAACAATCAGGCACTTGCGCAAAATTTGGGGAAAACGTCACGGTAAAAATTCCAAAATTGGCTAAAGAACACAGCAGAACAATGCGATTCTTATGTTCTGCTCGCTAAGTGCGAGTGGATGTCAGTTCGTCTGACACTGATCGATTGTGAACGTTTTTATTGATTAAAAAAACGAGTCGAAATGTCTCCCCCCCCCCCCCCATCCCTCCATCTTAGGTCTCACGAGCTGCGCTCCAAGATCCTATCTCTGCAGCTGCTGCTGTCGGTTCTCCAGAACGCCGGGCCAGTGTTCCGCACCAACGAGATGTTCATCAACGCCATCAAGCAGTACCTGTGCGTCGCGTTGTCCAAGAACGGGGTGTCCTCCATCCCCGAGGCCTTTGAGCTCTCGCTCGCCATCTTCCTCACCCTCCTGTCCAACTTCAAGACCCACCTCAAGATGCAGATCGAAGTGAGCGCTTTGACCGGCGAGTTTCTGTTGGGTTTGTTTTGCGTTCGTGGGACCGACTACGTGGCAGTGTTGGCTAATTTTTTTCCCTTCACCCCCCCATCCCCCCCCCCACCCACAGGTATTCTTCAAAGAGATTTTTCTCAACATCTTGGAGACGTCCTCAAGCTCATTTGAGCACAAGTGGATGGTGATTCAGACTCTCACGCGAATTTGCGCAGGTGCGGTTAAAAATATTGGATAGGTATAGATGCATTTTAAAAGAATGGATGGATTGTATTATCCATAATAAAGGTTTTTTGGATTAGATTGTCAATTTAGTAGTAACGAATTGGCATGTTCTATATACGTGACAAACCTTACTAATTGGCTGTGTCGGTGGTGGCAGGTTTAACGACGCATATTTACGGGATCTCACCCCAAAAAATCTTTATTTTGGATAATGGATGGAGTCTTAGTTGACATAGCCTAATTTAGACATATGCATTTTTTGTTATGATTCTACTTAATTCAGCCTAATCTAATCATTAGTTATAATATGAGAACTAATGTTCTTCCAAAGGAAGGGAAGATAGCGTTGTTTAAAGGTGAAGACGTGGTATGTGATTAAGAAAACATTTTGCCATCTGATTATGATCATGAAAATAATACTTGTGTCTGGTTGTTTAATTTCCCCATCCGCACTTGCAGATGCACAGTGCGTGGTGGACATTTACGTAAACTATGATTGCGATCTCAATGCTGCAAACATCTTTGAGCGATTGGTGAACGACCTGTCCAAGATTGCCCAGGGGCGGAGTGGCCAGGAGCTCGGCATAACTCCCAACCAGGTGCGGAGAAATGTGTAAAGACTTAATTTGTAATGGCACTAAATGAGCGTATTCCACTAATGCACCGTACGTTGCCAACCGTGCTAATAGGAGGTGTGGGGGAAGGACAACAAACTAAGCACAAAAAGCAATTCTCAAGAAATTATTTTCAATCTAGATTTAAAATTCCATCGCTCCAGTGACTACCTAATGTATAAGAAGCACCGAGGCTTTGTGGATCGTAGGCACGCATAAGTTCATCCCTCCAGCGATTCGATGTCACGATTTGCGGTTTTAAATTGCGAGAAATGGTGGTGAGATGTTAATTGCCTCGCCTGGTATACAGGAGGTCGTGGGTTCGATCCCGACCCTGACGCTTGTATATTTTGAGTTTGTATATTCTTCCCTTGATTTAGTGGATTTTTCTCCAGGTCCTCCGGTTTTTCCCTCCACATTTAGAATCAACATGTGTTTAGAGTATTTGGCTGCTATACATTTCCACATGATGATAAGTCACTAAGTTGAGCTATCATTTGTGGCCAGGCCGCTTCTGAAAAAAGAGCTGTATAGGTCAGTGGGGCTGACCTGGTAAAATAAAAATAATTGATAGTTTAAACACACCTGCGTTCAACCGCCTGCCAGTAAGAGGCAGTTAATGTTGAGAGTTTGCGTCGTGTCGGCTGATGTCGCTGTTCAATCTGTGCAGGAGTTGAGCCTTCGCAAGAAGGGGCTGGACTGTCTGGTGTCCATCCTCAAGTGCATGGTGGAGTGGAGTAGGGACCAGTACATCAACCCAAACTCACAGAGCAATCTAGGTAAGCTTGGTATCTCTACCCTCATGCGCTGCCTGCTCGCACGCGCTGAGAGAAACGACGAAATAGCATTCACTGCGTTCTGTTTGCCTGCTTGCTTACTTTATTTTCTCCCCGCATGAGGTGAATAATATAAATAATAAATAATGTTGACACACCGGCTTGCGGAAAGGTCGTCCGTTAAATTGCTTTAAAGAAAAGATAAATATGCTGCTTGTGCTGGAATAATAATGGTTCATGTGGAGCATCCCCCTGTGAAAAACATTTCATGGAATGCCCTCTGTCATCCGATTTCAGAAGCTCATCAGGGCATAAGCCTTGATAGTGCATTGATGGGTGACCCGCATTTGCAGCAGGTTGGCTGCTGCGTGGCTTCGTGGTGAGCAGCAGTGCAGTAAAATCTCCATTATCATTGTGTATCTGTTCTACCACATCTGTGCTCCCCACTTTCGCCAACTCCCACTGACCAGCGCGGCGAAGTGTGGTCTTATAACCCCCCACGGGACCCACACTTTGTAGAGAAACCTTCAGCGGTGCATCTATATAGTGCATCGAAACGCAGGGCAAACAGAACACTCGTGGTCACGCGCATCGTAAATCCGTGCACTTAACGTCGACAAGAATGTTGGACAGATGTGGTGCCACGAAATAAATACTTTTACAGGAAAGTATGAGATGGAAAGGGCGAGGTGTTGTGGCAGCACAGATCCATGAAATGCATCGAGCATGGCCTCCGGTACAAAAAAGAATACTTTTCATTTTGTGGGAACGTTGAAGTAAGCTTATGTAATCTTAAATGGTGGAAACCATTTGGATCTCCGTGGATCTCATTTGCTCCCCTCTCTCTCTGGATCCCAGATGGACCTCTGTGTAATCCTCTGTTCCCCAGTGGATCCTTGATTGACGGTGTTAACGTGCCATGTTATTGAAGGGGATTGTGTTATCTTGGTGTGGTCTGAAACTGTTTTGTTATTTTTCCTCCATTTTGCCCAAGCTTGATAAATCCGACTGATACAAGTAAATTTTATTTTTTATATTTCGTGCGTAGGTATTATGGCACTCACGTTGGTGCATGCGGTCCCGCAGTCCACGTAAAGGATTCTGATGGATTCTGTACAAACGACGGGTCAGGGAAGCATCCCCACACCTCTTGTGTGCGTGTTTGTGCGTGCGTGCGCGGGTGTGTGCGCGGGTATTCTGGCACTCGCGTTGGTGCGTGCGGACACAGGGCAGGAGCGGCCGGCGGAGCAGGACGCGACGGTCGACTCGCGCCACCCCGAGACCATCGGCCGCTACGGCAGCGTCAACTCGCTCGACTCGACCGCCTCGTCGGGCATCGGCAGCGTGAGCACGCAGCTGTCGGGCGCCGACAACCCCGAGCAATTCGAGGTCCTCAAACAGCAGAAGGAGATCATCGAGCAGGGCATCGAGCTGTGAGTTCGCGTCCCAGCGGGCGCCGCGAGCGCTCGCGAGTGTGGTTAGCACGACTGATTTCTGCGACGCGTACGTTTTTTGAACTTTTATCGCGGCGTACGTGGCCACCCGTGCTAATCGGGGGTGCGACGGGGGAAGGACAACAAACTAAACACGAAAAACGGCGATTCGCTTTGCCTATTGTTTTCCCTCCTCTCCCTCAAGGTGTTTTGTCGTTTTAGACGCTGCTGTTTCGTGAATCGTTGAATTAATAAAAAGACATTCATTTTATGTAGTGACATACATGCGAATATCTTCCCGTAACACCGTACGTTAATTATATAGAAGGACCAAATCCCATATAGAGCCACTGCCAAGCAAACTTAAACCCTACTATGAATAAAAACAAATTAAGAAATGTCACCAAAACAAAAAGCACAAACAAAACACATTCCTGTGGAGGGAGCTGGTAGGAACGTTGGGTTGCTCGGTCAATGGCCTGCAGGGTCAACGGCGGCGTGGTGTATTCCGCAAATATGCCCGACTGTGAGGGCGGGCACAAGCCGGCGTGAGTAGTTTAAATGTTGAGTTTTACAAGGGCACCACGGAGTGACCAGCCCCTCCCCACCCAGCCCCACCTCTCCCATCCCCCACCCAGCCCCATCCTCCCCACCCAGCCCCTCCCCACCCAGCCCCTCCCTGCACGACGGACACAATAATCCCCTGTGGGCTGGTGTAACCAGGAGGTTCCTACCAGTAAAAGTTTATCACAACAAAGACATTTTCTGTTGTACCTCTCCTGTACCCTCCTCAACCCAGATATCGCCTTTGAAAAAGAACATGCAAGATCAATGTGTCCCCTTCTTCCCCCCCAATAACAAATAGAAATACAATATCAAGTGAAACCCAAGTAAGCTAAATAAATCTTGACTTAAAGCTTTCGTGACTGAAGGAATTCATATTCTATGGGTCTTTCGGTAAAGTCACGTAGATAGGTTCAAAGAAAATTGCAAAAAATGACAAAAAAACTACGACGTTTCGATCGCAACGCAAGTGGTCGTCATCAGGAGTAGTTTTTTGTTATTTCTTGTTATTTTTTTTGCTTATCTACGTGACTTTACCGAAAGGCCCATAGAATATGAAACTAAATACATTGTACAACCAATAGGTTCCAGAGTGTAAATAGTAAAAAGTGATGCACGCTTTAAATAACCGCGATAGCGGAACAACAGAACTATTTAAAGAAAACAATAACAAAGTAACGTGAAATTAGAGCAAACAAAATACAGAAGCGAATGCAATAACAAAATGCAATAAAACGGAGTATACACTCAGCAAATTGCTTTGGCTGCGGTAAGACATGAACCCAGCCTGCCGCAAAGGAGAATGCAGGTGAAGGATCAAATGCCACGTTCTCTGCTGCTGCTGATTGAGTGCGACGTGCATAACTTGTCTCGAACTTGCCGTTCTCGCACCAGGTTCAACAAGAAACCCAAGCGCGGAATTCAGTTCCTGCAGGAGCAGAACATGCTGGGCACCACGACAGAGGACGTCGCTCAGTTCTTGCACAGCGAGAACCGACTGGACTCGGTACGCCCCCTTGATAATAAAGAAAAAAGTTAATATATTTTGGTATTTTTCTGCCTTTGTTTAGCGCGGGACTATTACGAAGGTGCTTTTTATCATGGACCGGTACACAGTTTGCGAGTAGGTCGCGCTGTTGATCTGTGGTTTTACCCAATTTGGTACTTTGTTGGTTATTTTGAAAGTTTCTTCATGTGTGGTCGATCACCAATGAGAAGACTACCAGAGAGTGGTACTTTATTCAAGTGTCTGGGGGAGTGCTATTGATGTTGATCCTAAGATTAAATAATGATGATGATAATAGTCGTGTGAATTTATTGCCACTTCTGGATCACACTCGTATTATCTATGGAAATGAGGATAATAGGAAGAATCCATCTGTAAAAATATGATTTTTCATGGATCGACTGGAGCTAGGGAGAATTAGTCACGGGTAGTGTGGCTGCGGATGTTGAGTTCCTTTTCAAAGCGCTGGTGCGGTGTGCACGAAGTGAAATGTTATCTCGCCGTATCCCATGTCCTATGCAGACGCATCCATGCAGGGCAAACAATGAAACAGACGACTCGGCCATCAATATTTAATATATTTTCATGGTGACGAACTTTATAACGTTGATCTATTTAACAGGATAATTTTGAAGCACTCTTACGACGTATTTAATTCATGTCCACATACATTCATACAAGTGCCCATGCAGTGACAATACATTATTTGTTTAAAAACAACAAACTTGTTAGCAGATCACCGCCTATGCACACGCGCCAAGTGCTTGATATCTCTTCGCGCTTGTTCAAACTACGTTTTGTAGAGACGTCCGTACCTACACATTTAAAAACATTGAAATGTAATATCCTGATGGGGTTGGGAGCAGTAGCAGCGCACTGTGCTGTGAATCCTGACAACCTGGGTCTGATTCCGGTCTACGGCTGACATGGGTGGCAAGTGCAATCTGAACCACTCCTGGGTCTCTCTCACCCCCCCCCCCCCTCCTCTCCAGCTCGCACCGACGAGTGTGGTGGAAATATGGTGTCATCACCCCCCATGACTGATCCGGCGGGGATGTACGTTCATCCAGTAGTTGGTTGACAAATTACTAAATCTGTAATAACTCGCCTTTTGCCCGTCCAAGGATGGGTGTATTGCAGTAAATCTGAAACTTGCAAGCGAAAAGCAGACCGCTACGTGATATTCATTGCATCCATTCGTGTGCAGTTTGTAAGGGCGCGGTGACGCAGACTTATTTCATTTTCAGGTTATAATCCCTTGTTCATTATGACGTCCTTTTTACTTTGATGTCTCAATAGCGCTACAGAGATCACGTGACGTGGGGGTTCTGCCTTTGTAGTGAGGGTTGTGAGTTGACGCCGAGGAGGGGGGAGGAGCCGCCTCGGCCCCTCATGTGGAGTGACGTCAGCTGATAATTGTTATGAGTGGGGGGGGGGGGGTGCTCCATGTGGAGTGATGTCACCTGCTCATGATTATTAATGAGGGGGACTGGTCGACGTGGAGTGACGTCACGAGCGTTGCACACAGACATTCTTGGCTCATTATAGTAGGTAATAATAATGGGGATGGTGTCCATTTGGAGGACGTCACCTGCTCATGATTATTAATGAGGGGGGCTGGTCGACGTGGAGTGACGTTACGAGCATTAAGGACGGACATTCCTCGGTGATTATAGCCGGTATATTAAATATAATGTGACGTCACTTCTCAGCTCGGGGCCTATGGGCCACCATGTGTATCTCTGAGGCATTGCAGTTGTACGACCTGATAATTATAGCTTTGGGAGATATTGGCAGCGTGAAAGTGTCGAGCATCCAACACATTTCTTTAGATTTTTTTTAGCATCGCTGCTCGTTTTTAAAGCAACGAAATTCCCAGCATGACCCGGTGGGAAGAGGTGCAGTACGCCCACTCTATTGCAGGCATCGTGAGGGATTGGACGTGCCTGCAATGATACACGGCAAAGGCTTGAGCGAAGAAATGCTCAGCACGTGGTCTAACCCGGAAGACCACACAATTGGGTTACAATTGGCTTGCGAAAAAACCTACGTGTGACAAAGGGGCAGCCTCCGCCTTCCACAATATTTAACCCCTCATTGCTCGTCGTGTGTGTGTGTGCATGTGCGTGTATTGGTGTGCGCCTGTCTCTGCAGACTCAGGTGGGAGACTACCTCGGGGAGAATGACAAGCTGAACAAGGAGACCATGTACACTTACGTGGACCAGATGGACTTCTCCGGGAAGGACTTTGTGTCGGCGCTCCGCCTCTTCCTTGAGGGTTTCCGCCTGCCCGGAGAGGCCCAGAAGATTGACAGGCTCATGGAGAAGTTTGCCGCTCGCTTCTGCGAGTGCAATCAGGGGTGAGTGCCGTGCTGCATGCTGCTTTGCAGGGTCACGGTGAGGGATCCGATGTTGGCATTGGTGCAACACACACACAGCGCACGAGGAAAGTGCTCGGACGCTTTTCATGCGGCGTCCGGGCATGGCTGTTGCTGGCAGGGGGGCCTGTTTACGGAGGTGTGTGTGTGTGTGTGGGGAGCAGTAGCGTAGCGGTTAGCACGCTGTGCTACAAACCTGGCGATCTGAGTTTGATTCCCACTCACGGCCAACGCGAGTGACGATTATCTAAACCGGTCCAGGACCTCCCGAGGTCGACTACTCAAATGAGTACCTGGTTCGGTGTGAGAACATCGCCACTGGGGAGACAAAGGCGGTCGGCCGGGCGTGGTGTTAGCCAACCCCCTCGTGTGCCCTGCCGGCCTTCATAGTTGCTCGTTAACAGCACTTGCCCCGGCAGTCTATTCATGTTTTTAGAGGCATCTTTGTTCTTGTTTTGTGTTTATGTATCTATGCTTTATGTACATATGTATTTGTACAGGCCTCTTGTAAATCCACTGCTGGATGAGGGCCCCCAAACCAGAAGGCCCTCATCCAGCAACTACTCCAGCAATGAAAAATGATAGTTGTTCGTAAGTAAGGACTTGTCTCTTTCTTTTTATTCGACGTGTGTGTGTGTGATTTGCATCGCGCTCGCTGAAGGTATGTATGCCTTAAGGGAAATCGTGTACTGTATACGCAACTGCGCACAATTCTGAGTCACTTATAACTGCTTTGCCGTTATTTATTGCTAATTATAGACTCAGATTATTGTCCTATCATCTTATAGAGTCCCTGGCACGTAACAATATGCTACACAGTGGCAGTAGGGGTCGCAAAATGCTGATTTATTACTAACAAACCCCCAATGATCCGATCAAAATTAGGGATTTTGATCGGATCATTGGGGGAGCACGTGCCACTCCACCCCCCCCCCCCCCCCCCCCCCCCCACTGGCTCCGCCACTGCTCCAAACAGTGTGCAGGGCATGGCAATTATTTGACACTCTACTGGTTCGTGTGTGTTGGTGATGGCAGAGAGAATAGATGTTGATTCATAGTCCGGTATAACAATGCATTTTTTCTGTATTGCGGTAATGCGGCAACCTGTAACACCTGTTTCGGGCACGGTGGTTGTATGAGCCAGGCGCGGCTTTGCCCAGATTTATTGGATGCATTTTGTGTGATTTGGTTTAGAAGCCTGTGCTTTATACTTTGTAATCATATTTAAAGCCCGATGACACATTGAGGCTCTTTTTTTTGCAATGGAGACACAAGGGGCAAAATTACGCTGAAAAAGTGAATGGCTTACTTGGTAGCAGTGTCTAAAAATGTATCCGCACCATTTAATAAATACATGCGCTGCATGAGTTGTTTTTATTTATAATTATTGTTCATTATCCTGCAGTTTCTTGTGGGTAGCTCCATGTATTTTTTCGCATGTCAAAGAGGAGTGTTGAAGCAACATCTGCATTATATATACTAATAGTTATAGATGAGTGTTTTGTGTCTTGTGAGTATATTAATATATTTATACAAACGTTGGAGTGGATATGTGTCGACTTTTCTTTCATGATTATCTATGAAGGTCTGTTATTTCCTTTTAAGTAAAATACATTGTTTTATATATATTTTTATTATTATTTTATTGTTTCCCTTCTACTTGACTTTACCGAAAGAACCAAGAATATAGTAAAATACATGTTGTTTTTAATTGCCATTGATCTGTTGTGATAAATGACTCGGCTGAAATTAGACGCTTCCTCTGCAGATCTCACGCAACTCTGAATTGTGCGGTTGCATTGCTCTTGACGCTTAAGGAGTGCCGATGAAGCAACTTTGAATCCAATCGGTTTGCATTGTTTCGACTTGGCAGCATTTGATGCATTGATTGCAATTATGTATCACAGAGATGGATGCTGTTTCGTTTCAACGCTGGGTAATATATGTATCCTGGTTGTCCTGTTATTTTTCAGACAAACGGTTTTTGCCAGTGCGGATACAGCATATGTGCTGGCCTACTCGATAATTATGCTCACCACAGACCTGCACAGCTTGCAAGTAAGCAAACCAATTAACTTCTTTGGGACCGCCCAGCAATCACGAAATTTAACTCGCCTGAGTGTTGTCTTTATATAAATACAATTTCCGGTATCATTCATTATCTGCTGACCACAACGGTGTTTTAAAAGCGCATTAGCCACGCCAAATCCACCAAGGAGTGATATTAGCTCCCTGGATCCCCACGGGAATTCTGTGGTTTAATAATCAGCCTGTCAAGGCGTCGTGTGTCATCGTTTTCCCAAGTGTCTCAGGAATATACTTACAGCTCCACTTTTAACGATCCACCCCCACCACCCGCGACTCAATCAATTGTAAAATTGTCAAGCTTCTGGGTCGCCATTTAAGGATCAATGCGTTTTTTCTTCTAATTTATACAGTCTCGTTCTTCCTCTGTGTACGTTAGAGTTCCATATATACCGCGTAAAATGTTTTATTGTTACATGTACGAATCTATATTCGCCTATTATGAGCACAAGAAACCATTTAAGCTGATAAATCGAAAAACTTTCCTGTGCCCACTATTTAGTCCTGCATATACGCAAACAAAAGGAGTGTACGGTATGCAAAATCTCGTGCGGCTCTTGCAATAAAAGCTTGACGCACGGACCCCTTGGCAAACAGGTGAAGCACAAGATGTCTAAGGAGCAGTACATCAAAATGAACCGGGGTATCAACGACAGCAAGGACCTGCCCGAGGAGTACCTCTCCTCCATTTACGACGAGATCGCCGGCAAGAAGATTGCAATGAATGAGTCCAAGGAGTTCGCACAAATCTCCAGGCCGGCCAAGCCCAGTACGCTCCCCCCCCCCCCCCCCCCCCCCCCGATCTCGCACGCTACAGATTTACGCTGGAGATCCTTGTGCACATGGTAGTGCAAAGTCACGTAGGTAAAAAATAAATAAATGAAAAGCAACTAAATTAGATCGCGATGTTTCGGAGGCAACACAAGCTTCCGTCTTCATGTTCCACCGTCTTCAGGTTCATTATTTAGTTTTTTACCTAAGTGACTTTACCGAAAAAAACGAGTATGAATCTTTGCAGTCACGAAAACTAGAATTAATGGTAGTTCAAATTCTGTCCATGAGCACCGATTAAGGCTCGATTTGGCCAACAAGGGAGTGGTGTGGCAAGCACTGTACCCGATCTCCATTGTTTCCCTATTCCTGTTATTTACATGCCTTTGCGAGGTACTCAATTAAGGCTAGGTTCAGAATCGCCAAAATCGGCATCTTTGTTTGTCCTGGAGAAATCCGATAAACTATGAAGCTCTTTTTCACATTTGTCCAGCAGGGGCATGGGGTCAGAACGTTGCAACAACAAACAATACACCAAATAATTGGAGTGCAAAGTATAGGAAAAGAAAGAAAATTACTAAAAATTAATACGTTAAATAGATCAAGTATATGAGTTAAAATGAGTATTGACTTGAGGAAGGCATGAACAGGTTCGGATGCCACTTGTACCCTACGTAGCCAACCGTGCAAATCGGAGGTGCGCGATTGATTCTCACTCCAAGCGTTCTTCGCCCCCTTCCTCCCCCCCGCTCGCCACGGCACAGACGTCGCGAGCGAGAGGCAGCGACGGCTTCTCTACAACCTGGAGATGGAGGCCATGTCCAGGACTGCCAAGGCGCTGATGGAGGCCGTGAGCCACGTGCAGGCGGCCTTCACCAGTGCCACCCACCTCGACCACGTGCGACCCATGTTCAAGGTGGGGGGGACGGGCGGGCGGGGAGGGGTGCTCCATCTCGTCGCCCCCCTCTTTTTTAAATCCTTTATATTAAGTTCACTTGCTTGCGCGCTTACGATCGTGCAAATCTTTCGGTCGTTTTTTAACCCACTTCCCGTGATCCAATCGAGCTGACATTTTGCACACATACTCGTTGTGCGTGACAATTTATTTTCGTGAAAAATTTTTTCAAAAATTTTCCACTTTTTAGGAATTTTTTTTTTATATTTAATTTAAAATACCAATGTGATAAAAATGAAACTCTTACTCAATAAAAACAGAAATGAATAATAAAATAAAACCAATGCCACGCATATAAAGGATTTATAGTGGAAAACTTTGTTTTTACGGGTTAATTTTTTTATTCCCCAAGTTTAATCCCGGTTGCGCAATCGGCGTGCTTTCGCGAGACGAAATATCCATTTGGAACTCTCACGTGGCAGTGCGTCCATCCCCTGGTTAGAGAGAGGTCTGCTGAAGTGGATATTACAGAACTGCATCTGAAATGTGTTCAAGTGACCTCTTATACACACTAGTGGGGGGGGAGGGGCGGGGTACTTTCCCACTCGTTCTGGTAGAGAGGGAAACATTCATAATAGAGGTTTTTGGGTTAGATCGCGTAAATATATAAATGTGTCGTTTAAACCCGCCACCACCCGACACAGCCAACTAGTAAGGGTTGTCACGTAAACAGAACGTGCCAATTTGTCACTAGTACAGCACACCGGTGTGTTGGAGAGCCAAGCCACAACATTTACTATCTGAGTACGTTTCGACAGTAATTACAACTAGCTTCATCAGGCGACAGCCAGATTTGTGGAGAAGTCTTACTGTTTCGTTCCTTTTTGAGGCATAGATGCGTGATCTAACCCAAAAACCTCTATTATGGATGATATTGGTCGCCAAAGCCTACGTGTTAAACAGGGAAACATTCGTTACATGCCGAGCAAACCAATATGTTGAATTGTCATAGCTGAAATTTAGCCAAATTCAGTGTGAAGCCGAATTGTATTGGTGATGTTTGTGTGCACTCATTGGTGAGTGGATTTAAAGCATCAACTCTGTTAACTTGGGAATGCAGTTTACAATTGCGTTGTACAATCACAACATGCCCTTGCAAGGCATTCAAGCAGTGTTCGCAGACTCTGAGCAGTTTCTTTTGCTTAATGCCAGCTGCCTTTATGTCGGTTACAGTCACTTAGTAGTTTCTCACGTTGTGTCTATCTGCCCAGAGGTTACTTGTGAAAGCATGCATCTCAAACCCTTGAAAGAGTGCGTTTGTAGAGCGTGTGCAGTGGGAGAGCGTGAGTCGAGGAAGGGAAGGGTTGGAGTACAAGCGAGTGTATAATCTACCGGCGCGTGTGCAGGCGCCTAAGCCATACTCCATCGAGAGTCAACTGTAATTTAAAAGCTTCGGCTGTCTGCGGTGTGCAGATAGAGAAATAAATGAACTGCTGCAATAGGTTTCGATAAAAACAAAAATAATAAAATAATTATTTTATAATGCTTTATTTTTATTATTTCCCTTCTACGTCACTTTACCGAAAGAACCAAGAAGATGAATCCCTGCAGTCACGAAAGCTTTAAATTAATTATTTTATTATGTTTTATTTTTATTATTTTATTATTTCCATGCAGTCACGAAAGCTTTAAATCGAAATCTATTGCAGCAGTTCATTTATTTCTCTATCTGCACACCGCAGACAGCCGAAGCTTTTAAATTACAGTTGACTCTCGATGGAGTATGGCTTAGGCGCCTTGTTAAAACATAATAAAATCATTATTGTATTATGTTTTATTTTTATTATTTTATTATTTCCCTTCTACGTGACTTTGCCGAAAGAACCAAGAAGATGCTGCAATAGAGATTCTTTTCTTCTGAAATATGCCAACTTTTCTTGGCTTGCGCGCGTGTGCAGCTCGCATGGACGCCGTTTCTCGCGGCGTTCAGCGTTGGCCTGCAGGATTGCGACGACACCGAGGTGGCCTCGCTCTGCCTGGACGGCATCCGCGGGGCCATCCGCATCGCGTGCATCTTCCACATGCAGGTGAGCGCTAGGCTAGGGGACGGGGTTTCTAGCTGAAGGGGACAGATGGGTGCTAGACCAGGGGCAGGTTAGCGCTAGGCTAGGGGACGGGGTTTCTAGCTGAAGGGGACAGATGGGTGCTAGACCAGGGGCAGGTGAGCGCTACGCTAGGGGACGGGGTTTCTAGCTGAAGGGGACAGATGGGTGCTAGACCAGGGGCAGGTGAGCGCTAGGCTAGGGGACGGGGTTTCTAGCTGAAGGGGACAGATGGGTGCTAGACCAGGGGCAGGTGAGCGCTACGCTAGGGGACGGGGTTTCTAGCTGAAGGGGACAGATGGGTGCTAGACCAGGGGCAGGTGAGCGCTAGGCTAGGGGACGGGGTTTCTAGCTGAAGGGGACAGATGGGTGCTAGACCAGGGGCAGGTGAGCGCTAGGCTAGGGGACGGGGTTTCTAGCTGAAGGGGACAGATGGGTGCTAGACCAGGGGCAGGTGAGCGCTAGGCTAGGGGACGGGGTTTCTAGCTGAAGGGGACAGATGGGTGCTAGACCAGGGGCAGGTGAGCGCTAGGCTAGGGGACGGGGTTTCTAGCTGAAGGGGACAGATGGGTGCTAGACCAGGGGCAGGTGAGCGCTAGGCTAGGGGACGGGGTTTCTAGCTGAAGGGGACAGATGGGTGCTAGACCAGGGGCAGGTGAGTGCTAGGCTAGGGGACGGGGTTTCTAGCTGAAGGGGACAGATGGGTGCTAGACCAGGGGCAGGTGAGCGCTAGACTAGGGGACGGGGTTTCTAGCTGAAGGGGACAGATGGGTGCTAGACCAGGGGCAGGTGAGCGCTAGGCTAGGGGACGGGGTTTCTAGCTGAAGGGGACAGATGGGTGCTAGACCAGGGGCAGGTGAGCGCTAGGCTAGGGGACGGGGTTTCTAGCTGAAGGGGACAGATGGGTGCTAGACCAGGGGCAGGTGAGCGCTAGGCTAGGGGACGGGGTTTCTAGCTGAAGGGGACAGATGGGTGCTAGACCAGGGGCAGGTGAGCGCTAGGCTAGGGGACGGGGTTTCTAGCTGAAGGGGACAGATGGGTGCTAGACCAGGGGCAGGTGAGCGCTAGGCTAGGGGACGGGGTTTCTAGCTGAAGGGGACAGATGGGTGCTAGACCAGGGGCAGGTGAGCGCTAGGCTAGGGGACGGGGTTTCTAGCTGAAGGGGACAGATGGGTGCTAGACCAGGGGCAGGTGAGCGCTAGGCTAGGGGACGGGGTTTCTAGTTGAAGGGGACAGATGGGTGCTAGACCAGGGGCAGGTGAGCGCTAGACTAGGGGACGGGGTTTCTAGCTGAAGGGGACAGATGGGTGCTAGACCAGGGGCAGGTGAGCGCTAGGCTAGGGGACGGGGTTTCTAGCTGAAGGGGACAGATGGGTGCTAGACCAGGGGCAGGTGAGCGCTAGACTAGGGGACGGGGTTTCTAGCTGAAGGGGACAGATGGGTGCTAGACCAGGGGCAGGTGAGCGCTAGGCTAGGGGACGGGGTTTCTAGCTGAAGGGGACAGATGGGTGCCAGACTAGGGGCAGGTGAGCGCTAGACTACGGGGAGACGGGGTTTCTAGCTGAAGGGGAAATGTGGGTGCTAGCCTCGGGGACAAGGTGGGTGCTAGCCTCAGGCTACAGCCCACCTGTCCCCAGGGAGAGGTGTGCACTAGCCTGTCTAATAAGAGAGGAGTGGTCGGGAAATCAAGTCCATTGTTTTGTTCACTTTAGTCTTTGGTTATTAAACGTGTCTGGAGGCAACTCGGTGCTTTTGCTCTACAAAGCTGATGATTTAGCACTCACTCATGTCCAGTTACTTGCTCACTGGCGGTCAGTCGCCTCATTATCTCTCTTCTATCGCTACTACCATGGTTATTTTTCTCCATTTAACTTCACTTATTGATTCCTCCACCCATATTCAGAACTTGGTCTACCAACTGCACTTGAGTTGTCTCCATTTTGTGTTCAACCAACCATGCTACAGGTCAAAACACTTATTGCTTGTGCCAAGCAAACCGTGGTTTGAACCGAAAGATAGTTAAACGAACGCCGTTGTCGTTGCAGCTGGAGCGCGACGCCTACGTGCAGGCCCTCGCTCGCTTCACGTTGCTCACCGCCAACTCGGGCATCACCGAGATGAAGCAGAAGAACATCGACACCATCAAGACGCTCATCATGGTGGCGCACACCGACGGGAACTACCTGGGCAACTCCTGGCACGAGGTGAGCTGTGCGGCGCCGTTGCGTCCCCCACGCCCTACGAATATCATCGCGCGGCCCCTGAGTCCGTCGGTGAATCTGTCTTGTCTCAGTACGATTTCAAGTTGAAGCTTTTGTTTGGTTTTAATCGGTCGAGAACTCGAAATAACAGGGTAGTCATCGCTTGCAGGCTTGACCTGGTCACTAATTTGACATAAGCAAAAGAAGTCAAGTACGGTGATGAAACGTATAAATCAGAGCAAAATCAACTTTGTCTTTTGGGAAATCAAAACTATTGCACGAACATAAATCAATATTAAATTATACATTTTTTGTAGCATGATTCGGCTTGGGCAGATTATTTTTGGATGGAGATTGATGTCACGGTAGCACCCCTTCAACTCTCGCTTACCGGCGTGGTGACATCTGTGGTCAAACAACCGCCACGACTAGGACAACATGGAGCAGCCTTCATTCGGCAGTGGGTTGTTGATGGATCACAAGTTTAGATAGAGACCCATTTATTATATTGGTCTGGTTATTGCCAGTCTGGCTCATTGTTTAATAATACGCTTGCATAGCTGATCATAAGCAAAGCCCTGTGTATTTTCTGAACAAGATATGTGTTTTGCAGCAACATTCAGTTCTTGTGCTATTAAATCTGAAACTCGAAAATGTTGGATGTAAGAACTTGTTAAATTGTAACTGGGTGAAGGTTAACAATATGAAAAGTAAATCATTAACAAAATCCACTTCACGTGATGACTTTGACCTTGAGCGTTTATGAGGCAGCATGACCAGTACGTTTTGTCATACATCCCAAGCGATATCCTCCTGTAAATTAATCTTGAGAATCCACTGAGTTTTTCCTGGGTAAAAATAAGCAATGATTGTTTTTAATACTCAACTTTTTATCCCAGGCGTCACCGGCTCGATCTCCGAGCACGATAGTTGAAACTATGGGAAAGTTTCTGAAAGCAACCTGCCTCTGTCCACCCAACACCACCACAACGAGTCGATCAGCAAGTCGTGTGGTGGTGTAAAGTGTGGGTACTCCCACATCTTACCATTTTAGGATAGCCGCTGGAGCTATGCACTTTAAAATCAAGATTGAAAACTCATTTCTTTGGTACTTACATTTGTGTTTAGGTTATGTTTATATTTGTGTTTAGTTCAACATACGTACACACAAGCCGCCTGGCCTGGGTGTAAAAGTAGGCTAATTAGCATCTAAACTTCACTTTCGTAGAGGCCCTTCCAGCAATAGGAACCTGAGCAAGCAATTGCTGGGTTTCACCTTTTTTTTATTATGATTCAGGATCCTAACGTTTCCCAGAGTTCATCGCCGATTGTCCCCGTACTACCCACCCCCACCCAGATTCTCAAGTGCATCAGCCAGCTGGAGCTGGCACAGCTGATTGGCACGGGTGTGAAGTCGCGCTACATCACGGGGACGTCCCGGCGGCGCGAGGGCACGGCGTCTGGCGCAGGCATCACCACGGACGACTTCACCGGCCTCGGTGAGAGACTGCGCCACCGCCACTCGTCCCACCACTCGTCCCACCACTCCTCCCCACCACTCCTCCCGCCACTCCTCCCGCCACTCCTCCCGTCACATCCTCCTGCCACATCCTCCCCAAGCCACTAGAGCCGCCTTGAGCCCACCACGCAAATGTTAATGACTTGTCTGCTTGCTTGTTCTTACGAGTGAGATTTCCAGTTGGCTTGTATGTTAACATATATACATCGGTTGATTCACAATTCAAATCTTTGTCATGAGGTATGCATGCAAAGTCAAAAATGTGTTGAATCTACAGCTATTTTAATGGAATAAAATGTACAAGCATATAAGTTGCAATGAATCGATTCTTTATTATTTAAATGTTTCCTAGTTTTCATAAACATTTAAATTCCCAATGATTGATGCTGACACAATCGCCATATCCATATGATCCTTCCACGCAGCCTTTCCTCTCTCCGGCACATTCGCCGTAGAAACCTAAATGAATTGGGATCGCAGTCGCGGTTGAGAGATGAGCAATATGACGAGAGCGAATCGTGTGTGCTGCGATGGCAGGTCCGCTGGGAGGTGGGAACGTGGACCGAAAGCAGATCGCCAGTATCCAGGAGTCCATCGGAGAGACCAGCTCGCAGAGCGTGGTCGTCGCTGTCGACAGGTGCGCTTGCAACTCAACGAGGACGAATTCCTCTGCTGTGCGCTCGCAAAGCGCTTATTCCGGAGCATCATCGGTGTACGCTTTTCGGACTTATGAGCTGCTTTCGCCGATTGCCGTTCACTTTTTTTTTTGTCTTGCAGAATATTCACTGGATCCACAAGATTGGATGGCAATGCTATCGGTGAGATTGCACTGTTGTATTTTACAAGCCAAAGGAATGCCGAGTGAAATATGTCCCTATTTATTTTCTAAAATCCAGTTCGCTTTGTTGAATTACAATGTCGGAATTATACCGACTTGATTTTTGTTATTGACTGATGTTCAGGATTTAATGTGACCGAACCCATTATGATTGATTGCCTCACCCACAACGAAGGTGAAGTCGTTTTGTACTTGTATAGCCCTTTTGTCAATTCATTGCTGGGTGAGGGTCTCCACACGCAGTACAGCTCAAAGGGAGCTTAATGGACCGAACTTCAACGTGCTGATCAAAGTGGTGTGAAGGCGGGGAGATAAACGAAGCAAAGTACCGTACAAAATGTAACGTTGCTTCACTGCCTTCTCCTTACAACGTAGCCCCGCACCGGCCTACAACACCTGTTGTTATACACAGTGGGCACCCATCCTTGTGCCGTCAAGGCTCAACCCAGCTAAGCTTCCGAGATCTGACGAGCTCTCGGGATTTTAAATCATTGCGATTCGACCACCAGTAATAAAGTCGAATTTATCAGAGGATTTGTTTTTCAGGAGGTTCCTTGATTCAGATATCTTTTGGCGATGAAACAAGCGATAATTTGTATTTTATTTATTAAAAAATAGCCAACGGCTTTCAAAACGGTTTTGCGTCTGCTCCCCACAGTGGACTTTGTGCGCTGCCTGTGCGCCGTGTCGATGGACGAGCTGGCGTCGCCGTCCCACCCGCGCATGTTTAGCCTGCAGAAGATCGTGGAGATCTCCTACTACAACATGGGCCGCATCCGTCTGCAGTGGTCGCGCATCTGGGAGGTGGTGGGGGACCACTTCAACAAGGTGCGCGCGCCCCCCTAAGCCTCCTCCCCCGAACCCTGGCCACTGCCGTTCGTCGCTTACTCCGCTACTTGCCGCCCGGTTGAATTATCGCGTTCCCCCGGTACATCTTTTATATGTCTTCTTGGTTCTTTCGGTAAAGTCACCTGCAGTCACGAAAGCTTTAAATCGAAATCTTTTATATGAATATATATATAAATCCATCAAGCAAAATACGTTTTTATTTTACCAAGTAAGACCCCACTGAGCTCTATGTAGCTGTCTTATTCCATTTATTTTCCCAAGAGAGCTTCATTGAGTATCAAGACCATTTTTATCATGAAGATCCTGCAACATTTGCTCAGTAACAGTGATGTAGCTACGAGTAATTGTAGTTGAATATATAATATGCAGGTAATGTTTCGGTGTCGGGATGTTTGGCCACAATATGTTGCGTGTTATGTTTCATTTAGGAGATGGCGTCAACTGCCATGCGATGTTCTGATGCTGTTCAACATGACATTGAACCCAGGGGAGGGTTGACGATTAAGTGCTTCTTAGCGGTCACACGTGCCAACCTCCGGCGTGGCACATGCGTCACGTTGCCTTTGCGCTCCAGGTCGGCTGCAACCCCAACGAGGACGTGGCGTTCTTCGCACTCGACTCGCTGCGGCAGCTCTCCATGAAGTTCCTGGAGAAGGGCGAGCTTGCCAACTTCCGCTTCCAGAAGGACTTCCTGCGGCCCTTCGAGCACATCATGAAGAGGAACCGGTCAGGAAGCACCCTTCCACAGAGGGGGGGGGAGGGGGGGGTGACCCCTCGCTCGTTCGCCTGTCGTCGTTGAACCTTTTTAATGACTTGCATTGCTTAGGTTTTTAATTTTTTATTTCTGCAAGGGTTTTTATGCATGGGAGGGGGATACAGCGACGGTGTATTACTGCCCACTAGACTTGCAATCCAGAGGTCGCCGACTTTTATCTCCCTGTGCGGCATTTTAACAAACAATGGTGCAAGTCTCTGTCCGCCGCGCAGTGTAAATGGCTACATTACACTTAGTCGATCTGCATATCGCGTGTGGGTGGGGTGAGACTGTGTCTGGGTAAGCTAAAACACCCTCTCGTGGAGACCCTTCGAACAGCAGTGACTTGAACAAGCAATTGCAGGGCTGCGCCTTTATATCTTTTTTCTTATTTCCTTTTTCTTTCACACTAATGTCACTAACACCCGGGTTGTTTTGGCTGTGGCGCGCAGGTCCCCGACGGTGCGGGACATGGTGGTGCGCTGCATAACCCAGATGGTGAACTCGCAAGCGGCCAACATCCGCTCGGGCTGGAAGAACATCTTCTCCGTGTTCCACCTGGCAGCTTCTGACCAGGACGAGAGCATCGTGGAGCTCGCCTTCCAGACCACCAGCCACATCGTCAGTGCGTAGCGCAAAACTCCCTGACGCCAGAGTGGTGGCGTGCGAGCCCTTTGGAGTGCCAATGAACCTGCCATGGTGGCCAGATGTTAACTACTTTGCCTGGTATGCAGGAGATCGTGGGTTCGATCCCGACCCTGATGCCTGTGTATTTGGAGTTTGCGTGTCTCTCTCCCTGTGGTCGTGTGGGATTTTTCTACAGGTCCTCCAGTTTTTTTCCTCCACATTTAGAAGCATGCTTTTAGAGTATTTGTCTGCTTTACATTTCCATGTGATAAGCCACTTCGTTGAGCTATTATTTGTGGCCAGGTTGCTTCTGAAAAAGAGCTATATAGCTAAGTGGGCCTTACCTGTCTTATAATGCTCGTGAGCTTGTCATGGACATTAGCATTTTAATTTGAGCTCACGAATCCGAGGCCGAAGCTTTCACTTGGATCGCTCACTCACGCCCAGCGCCGCCACCATCTCGAGCCTTGAACCACCGAGCTATGCAGCTGCTTGACTCCACTTGAGCGTTTTTGTGAAACCGCTTTCCCCCCTCACCCCCCCCCCCCCCCCCCCATCCGGGAGCTCATTTTACAAAATAGTTTTTAAGGCGCGTAAACAATTACAAACGAACGCGTCATTATATTACATCTATGGTAATTCACGCTTGTGCTTTGTAGCAGGGTCTGTGTGTGCAATTGTTCACCATTCGTTGGAAAATGTCACAAACCTAAAAATATGCAATAGCTTTCTACGACTAAGATACTGTACTTTGCCATCATCATGATCATCATCACTCGTCGTCATGTACAGGCATTGCTTAGGTTGGTGGATGGAAAAACGTCTCCATGCCTTTTACTCTTCCCATCTTCTGTCTTCATCAACGCATCCCTGCACTCGTTTTCACAAGGCCTCTTGAACGTCTGCCCTCCTGTGCCAACCACTATAATTGTTACTTCGTTAAATACTTAGCAAATAATTTCTTTCCAACGACGTGGTAACAGTGGCTATAGCAGCTGCAGACACCTTCACTTCAAGTTATTTTCCATTTGGCTAATTGGTGCGCAGATAATCTCTTAAGAGTCCATTATTATACATATTGATGTTGGTGACTTTAGACGTTCTGCAGGTCAACCTCAAGTAAATTTCTCTCGTTAACCGTACGTCACCGCCGTCCCCTTGATTTTTGTGTCTCTTCCCGCCTCCTGTGTCCTGCCCCAGCCACGGTGTTCGAGAGGCACTTCCCGACCACCATCGATTCGTTCCAGGATGCCGTCAAGTGCCTCTCGGAATTTGCCTGCAACGCGGCCTTCCCCGATACGAGCATGGAGGCCATCCGCCTCATCCGGCACTGTGCCAAATACGTGTCTGAGCGGCCACAGGTGAGAGCAAAGACAAAGATCCCCCCTATAGCCTGAACATACTGTTGGGGCAAGTGCTGTTAGCGACTAGCACCTATGAAGGCTGGCAGGGCACACGAAGCGGGTGGTGGGTGGCCAGCACCACGCCTGGCCGCCTTTGTCTCCCCAGTGGTGATGATTACACACCGCACCAGGTACTCATTTGAGGTTGAGTCTACCTCTGAGACGCCCAGGCTCGGTTCAGGTAATCGTTACCAGCATTGGCCGTGAGCAGAAATCGATCTCGGGTCGCCGGTTTTGTAGCATAGCTGCGCTAACCGCTACCCTCTCACACAACGCACAATTACGCATTTGCCGACCCACGTGCCGGCAATGGTGTGTCACTGCCTGTTCGAGCTGCTGCTTCAAAAGCTCAGTCAAAACTACGCTGCTTGTCAATAGCCACAAGTGACGCTCTCTCTGTTTCTCATTGCACTCGACTAATGATTCATGTTTAATGTTTTTTGTTGTTTGTTCAGCGCTCTCTTAATGGTTTGCCTTGTTACGGCTCTGTATGAATTATTTTTATTGTGATTATGACATTGCACAAACACCCACACACACACTTCGCCTGCATCTTTGTGTTAAAGCAAGTGAGAGAGGTTGCTTGTTTGTGGTGCGAGGCACACGCCGTCTGTTGTGTAAAGTAAATGCATCTGAGCATCTGGGCCCATGTCATCACGGTGGATGTGTGAGACAAGCTTGAAATTATTGCAAGGAAAATGTTTGAAGATATTTTTTTGGAGGTGGTGCATTCGCAGTGGGTCTTCCCAATTAAATTACATTGACACTTGAGGATGGCGGTTTTTAAAAGAGTTCAAATATAGTTGCAGAGATGGGGTGGTGGTAAAGATATTACATTCACACGGATTGAAACATTTAATTTGACTTATATTCAGACTTCCTCTGAGCACATGCGATAAAAAAAGAAATAACCCTCAGGCCTTTTGGCGTTCACCTGCAGAACGCTGCACGCGTTCGTAATTCTTGTGTAGTCTGAGCAGGTCGTGGCAGGGATCAATCGATCGCTGTCAAAGTGGCTCAATGGCAATGGAGCAATACAAACACCCAATCTCTACAGCCGCACCGTGTAAGCATGGCTTTGTTGAAGTCCTCGAATGCCGCATTATAAGTAATTCTCTTAACCGGTGGGTCACAGCTGCATGTTGACCGTCTCTTCTCACGGTTGACGTTCTACGGTGACTTAATAGACAGCTGTGGTTTAACGTAACCCCGCTTGCCAATGTTTGGCATCCCAAATTTTATCTGGGTCCTTCCTCTTTTTATCTCTTTCACGGCACACTTTCTTGCAACATTGTTGGCCAAGCCTGCTTACAATGGCCAGGCCACTGCAGTTTCCCGAAGAGTACCGTGGAGTGATAAATATTTTAAGGATTTTTATTTAGCACGTATATCTAGTGGCACTGGCTTATATGCCTCAGCATCTCAAAGCACCGTACATCACATTCCATGTCATTCTTTCCATTTCCCCAACCGGCAAGTCTAGGCTTGGGGGACCCTCGGTGGAAACCACCGTACATTGCGCAAGGTGCTGCATGCGACCACCTGTGCAACTACTGGACATTTGTGGAAAAGAGCTTTATTGTAGCACATCGGATTCCTCCAGTGTAAATAAATATTCTGATTATGATTCTCAGTGTCTCCTGGATATATGGAGCAAACAATTGCTTTCACCAAATTAATCTGTTGGGAAGAAAGTTGAGAGAGGGTCATTGGAAGTCATTGGGGTATTTCTAAATGGATCAACCTGCTCACATTCTTAACCCTGTCCCGATCCGATGACGTACGTTGCGTGTACGTCATCAAAGTGGAAAATTCAAATGAAATAGCTATCTTTACCGAGGCTCCCTCACAGACATGTGGGAGGGTGCGTGGCACAGTTTGACGCCAGCTACCATGGAGTGTGGTTGTGTCGATATAGTTTTTTGCGGTGCCAACAAACAGCGGCACTACTACGCCTAAATAAAACTAACGCTGAACCGTTTGCGTGTTCCGAGATCCACAGGTGAACGGGGGACCCCCACCCTGGGTTAATGGGTTAATTGCACGTGGCTCTTGATCTTTCTTGTCAGACATTCCGCGAGCACACGAGTGACGACATCAACGTGGTGCCAGAGGACCGCGTGTGGGTGCGAGGGTGGTTCCCCATCCTCTTTGAGCTCTCCTGCATCATCAACCGCTGCAAGCTGGACGTCCGCACCAGGTTAGCTCTGCACGATTGTCACGTGGGAGTCGGGCAGGTGTACGTATGTGTGTTGAACTTTCTTTTGCAGCGTACGTAGCCAACCGTGCTAATCGGAGGAACTACATCAAGGATCACAAGTCGAGACGGCTGTAGCTTGAAAGGGGCCATCTTCCATGATTTGATGATGACGAAGATATGTTGACTATGATCCTTGACCAGATCGCCCGCGATGCGCCCGTTCTTATCGGATTGCTAAAGGAGGGTTTCGGTGTTGAGCCTGTGCATAGTGACCACCATCCATGGCAGGTTCTCCGATTCGCATGGTTGGCTATGTACGAACTGTGCGAAAGTTCAACATTCATACGGAACAATGGGCTTGCATAATGTGCATGCTTTTAATGTACGTTGATTACCATATAAATGAATAATCTCCCCCCCTACTTCGCGCAAGAAGAGGTCAAAAGTGATTTCATCACATCTACCTCTCTATTTAACGAACGAAACAGGAGGATTTTTCCACATATATCTGGCTGTCGCCTGATGAAGCTAGCTGTAATTACTGGCAAAAAGTCGTACTCTGATTGTAAATGTTGTGGCTTTGCTCTCCAACACACCGGTTAGTGCTGCACTAGTAACGAATTGGCGTGTTCTGTTTACGTGACAAACCTTACTAATTGGCTGTGTCGGGTGGTGGCGGGTTTAACGACACATTTATATATTTACGCGATCTAACCCAAAAAACCTGTTGTGAAAATGTGATCGATGTTATAAATATTTGCGGGGCTGCATTATGGACAGCAGATGGCAGTGCAGCAAAATCCATGAACGTTCAGCCCGCGGGCCGTATTAGGCCCGCAAAATCGCAAAATCATTTGGTCTGGCCCTGCCAAGGCAACCGCACGACTCTAAATGCAATATATCTAGAAGCTTTTTTCATAGCAACATAAATTTAATTTTGTATGGCTGGCGAATGATGTTATTAATATCCAAATGGCCCTTGGCAGAAAAAAGGTTCCCCACCCCTGTGCTGTCTAGCTACGCTCCCACTTCTCTGCTGCCTACCATCCTAAACCCGTGCTGACAAAGCCCGCTTTAGTATTTTTAAATAACCTCCCACGACCCGTTCCACGTGGGGAGACGGGCATCCAGCTTTGGATTGACACGGGGTTGTGTCTATCGGCTATGAGTTGCACGGTTAATGGAGGGCAAGGAGTGAATGTTGGAGTAATTATTGGCTTGAAATGTACTGCGCAATATTTAATTGGATTATTTGATGAAAATATGGAACCGCTTGCCTCCTGCAGTAAATCAGGGGCTCAGAATTATTTTGTGTGGCCTGTCACAAAATATATAGTGGAGAACCTTGCTTTAAGGTTTGTGCCCTGTAATTTTGGCTTTGCGTTGAGGGGAAAATAGTGTTCATAATAAACGTTTATGGGTTTAGATCGCGTTATTTATAAATGTGGCGTAACCCTCCACCACCTGACACGGCCAATCAGCAAAAAAGCGTCACGTTGACAAAAGACAAATAGTTCACTACTTTAGCCCACCGATGTGTTTAAGAGTGAAACGACAACATTTACCATTTTTGAGTACGACGTTTCGCTGGTAATTGCATCAGAGCATCATCGGGCAATTCGCCAGAATGGTGAGGCTCTGCTCTTGCTCCCGGTCTTAAATAGAGCAGCAGCAGCAGGGTGACATCATCATTTAACTCATCAGGTGCAACGATGTGAGGCGGAGGGGGGGGGGTTATTGTAATTATATACTAGATTGGTAATCAGGCAATTGTTACGATGTGAGTTGTAGATTAGTAATCAGTTGTAATGTGCGTTATTGTTATAAATAACGCGATCTAACCCAAAAACGTTTATTATGAATAATATTGGTCGCGAAAGCCTACGGGTTAAACGGGGAAAAGTGTTCGCGTAAACCATTCCATGATGGGTGTGAGGCTCGCGTATGAACGGTGACTGTTTGAATCGTCGACTACAATGTGTGTGGCTCTCCACGCTTTTTACGCAGGGGCCTGACGGTGATGTTTGAGATCATGAAGACATATGGGCACACGTTTGAGAAGCACTGGTGGCAGGACCTCTTCCGAATCGTGTTCCGCATCTTTGACAACATGAAGCTGCCCGAGCAGCAGACAGAGGTGAAAAGCGTAAGGGGAAACATTTTTTTCACCAACTTTTTGAGGTGATGGGTCGGGTGAACAATCAATCGGGCAGGTGGCGTATCCAGAGGTTATTAAACCAAAGCTTTTTGCAGGCTTAAGAGATTAGCAAATAGTGGCATGCTTCATGTTTCTTTGTTTACATTTTTCTTAGGTTTTTTCGGTAAAGTCACATAGGTAAAAAATTAAAATTAATAAAAAGTTAAATAAAATAAAATATATTCTATTATTTGATATTATTTTATTTTACTTTTTATTAATTTTAATTTTTTACCTACGTGACTTTACCGAAAAAACCTAAGAATATGAATCTTGCAGTCACGAAAGCTTCAAATTTAGAATTTGTTTACATTGTTTAAAGATCATTGCATTTTGGGGGGGGGGGGGGGGGGGCGGTTAGGCGGCTATGCTCAAAGCGCCCGGAATGATCTCGATCTCGTCAGATCTCGGAATTCAAGCAGCAGGGCTGAGCCTGGATAATACTTGGATGGGCAACCAGGTGGTTATCGGCTGCTGCAGAGGGGCAGTCCAGCACATTTATTATTGTGCTGTACTCGTATGCTCCCACGCCTATGCTGCTCAACTTCACTGACCCGCACTAACCGGTACCCTGAAGTGTGGTCAAATAAACTCCAGTGACCCGCGAGCTATGGGGGGAGGCCCCCTCATCCCACAGTGGAGTGTTGACAAAAAGGACTTAAGTATACATAGCATATGGTTCCAAAGCTCACTAAACCACAAATAATGTTTGCGTATCTATTTTATATGCATGTTTAGAGAGACCAATTCAAACACACATTTGAAAGGAGACATTACTTCGGTCTGACATTTGCATAGTTTCAACATGAGAGCAGCGCATACCAACCTCTCCAAAAGACAATATTTGTAAACTTAAAGCTTTCTTGACTACAGGAATTAATATTCTTTGGGTCTTTCGGTAAAGTCACGTAGATAGGTTCAAAGTAAATAACAAAAAACCTACGACGTTTCGATCACAACACAAAGCGATCGTCGTCATGATCGTCAATATTTGTAATTTGCATTTTTGCAAGCCCCAGGTGCCCCCGTTGGAAGCGTTGGCCACAGTCACTTAATTATCACAGTGCTGTGCTTCTCCACACAGCAGTTGATTGGACAGAACATGGGTGAAATGTTACAGCGGGAAAGATATTGCGGGAGGGGAGGGAGGTTCGCATCACTGCCACTGGATACGCCACCAAGTGAAATCCACAGCCTCCTGGACTTCCACGTCACTCGCGTTTAAACGGCAGCCTGGGAGACAGCACTTCTCTTACATTATGCTGTTTTCGTTAAAAATAAATGTCGTAAAATAACGGTGTGATTTATCAAACCATTTACGACGCGTGCTGCTTTGACGTGCCAGACAGGCGTCTGTGAATTAATTATTGATTTTGGACAGAATGTTGGGATGGGACTATTGATTTTTTTGGACGATTTTTCAAAATCCATGTGGTGGCTGAATTTTTTTTGTATTGTGTTGAGCGGATTACACTTCAAAGTATGTTTTATTTAAATTTCCAGCCTATATGGTTACATTTCAAACTGCAGCATATTCTCTTAATCCACAAATAACATTGGAGTAAAGTTGTTCATTAATGCCCATGTTTAAGTTCGCCAGCCTTCTACAGTTCTACAACGTGGCTGGTGAACGCAACGGTGTTTATTTGCTCTGCACGCTCGATAACAGCTAACCTCCAGCGACGCCATTCTTATCTGCCCAGTGTCGCTGCTGATGGGTTTTTTTACGCTTCGTTTGTCCCTCTTCCGGCGTCGTCGCTACCGACGTCTTTATTTCCCCTCCTCGCCCCACCGAGCAGAAAACGGAATGGATGACGACGACCTGCAACCACGCGCTCTACGCCATCTGCGACGTGTTCACGCAGTACTATGAGGTGCTCGACGACATCCTGCTCGATGACATCTTCTCGCAGCTCTACTGGTGTGTGCAGCAAGGTCTGTAAAATGCACGCGGCGACGACGACAGCAGCGGCGGCGGCAGCAGCCGTCGTTTGCCACCCACAGCGGCGGTGCTGCGGTGCTCATCCGGGGCTAGGTGCTTTACTTGGTAAAGAGGGAGAATGATTTGGATTTAAAGCTTTCGTGACTGCAGGGATTCATATTCTCGGTTCTTTCGGTAAAGTCACGTAGAAGGGAAATAATAAAATTAAAAATATCAAATGAAATAAAACAATTACATTTTCACGACGTTTCGATTGCAACACAAGCAATCATCATCAGGTGTGAAAACCACAGCAATTTGTCTTGCTGTGGTTTTCTTGCTGTGGTTTTCACACCTGATGATGATTTCTTGTGTTGCAATCGAAACGTTGTGAGAATTTAATTGGTTTATTTTTATTATTTCTCTTCTACGCGACTACCGAAAGAACCAAGAATATAGGTAGAATGATGGCAGACCGTAATTTGGCCACGTGGTTGCGAATGAGCTGATGCAAGAATGTCCGTCCCCCAGAGCAAAACAACACTAAGAGACGATAAAACATTATACCCAGAACTACTACAGCACTGCGGACTCTGTGTTCTAGCACCTCCGATTAGCACGGTTGCCTATGTATGGTGTGAAAGAAGTTCAGAGTATCATCAATACTCTGCTAGCATGTATGTATGATGATGAAAATGAAGTGACGAATTATCGCTACAGCAAATCCGAGGACAGACCCAGGCATTATGGGTTAACTGACCATGATAACTGGCAGATGCACCCCCTGCACTCCCCACTATACCAGCTCGCTGCGTTTTAGCCACCTAGTGCTCTATTCATTGTTGTGAGCGTCGCTCCTTCACCCTGGGGCTGGGTAGGGGGTGGGAGGGGTGGGGCTGGGTGGGGAGGGGCTGGTCACCCCGTGGCGCCCTTATAAAACTCAACGTTTAACCTACTCACGCCGGCTTGTGCCCGCCCTCACAGTCGGCCATATTTGCAGAATACACCACGCCGCCGTTGACCCTGGCCATTGACCGAGCAACCCAACGTTCCTACCAGCTCCCTCCGCAGGAATGTGTTACCGGAGGAATTTGATGAGCTATAAAGCTATTTCATACGTCCAATATTTCACAGATATAACCTTAGCAGACCACACCTTCACATTTTCCAATTGTAATGCACAGGAATGTGATGCCGACATTCCCCTCTCATACTTAGTGAAGACAAGATGTTTGCAGTGATTGATAAATTGCATTTGCCAGCCGTTTCAAAGCAATAGGCGTCTTGTGGCCACAGGCCGTAAGGACAAAGAACATGCCGCTCGGCAAAAACGTTGTTTCGTGCTTACAGATGAAAGTGCCGTTGTAACGTGATGCATTGCTCCCCATATCCGCATCGCACGGGGGATCATCGCTGAAGTCCAGGGCACTTTAACGTGGACGCGTTAGGATGCCGGGAGCACCCCCCCCTCGGGCACAATTACCGTTTACCATTGAGGTTGAACATTGTTTTTAAGGATGCACTTCTCCCCGCGGCTTTATAGCTCGCAATAGCAGCATGGCCCCAATTGCCGAACGCGCAGTTAATCGCGCGTTCACGATCCCAGAGCGTCAACCTGAGCCACTGAGTGCCACGGCATGAAATATGTTACAATTTTGTTGTTGTTTTGACCGGCGATGGCGTCTTTCGGCCTGTTTAAGTACTGTAAAGATAGTGGGGTTTTTATGGATTTGAGCTTCCAGCCTTATTAACTAATGCTTTACAATGCATCCAGCGGCATGCTGTTTTCAGCACATACCACTTGCTGTTAAATCTCCATTCAGTAGCTCAAAGATCAGAGGTGCACGCTGCTGGATATTTTGTAATGTTTTGAGGAACAAGGTTTTCTTTCGCTCGACCAGCATTTGATTTAAGCTTCTGAATAATAAGTTAATACCTCAGTGGGCTTTGCCTGGTAGGATGGGGATAGTTTAGTTTATTTGTATGTGTTTGGGTTATTTTATTATCTTGTACTTTGCACTACTATTGTGTTTTTGTACTGTTTGTTGTTGTGACGCTCTTACCTGCCCACTTCTAGACATCTGTGAAAAAGAGCTTCATAGCTCATCAGATTCCTCCAGTATAAATAAATATTCTGATTCTGTAATTTCTCAATGTACATTGACGCTGAAGACTTGACGTTTCACTTGTGTGCGTATTGTCGACGTGTGCCCCGTGGATTAATCTTTGCTTTCTTACAGACAACGAGCAGCTGGCTCGCTCGGGCACCAACTGTCTGGAGAACGTGGTGATTCTCAACGGAGAGAAGTTTTCGCCGAGCACGTGGGACAAGACGTGCTCCTGCATGCTCGACATCTTCAAGACCACCATCCCCAACGCGTGAGACACGCGCACAACCAGCCAAGCTTATTTGGTCACGTGCTCGCGACGCATTGCCATCGTCGTAATTGTAATCACGATTATCGTTATTAACAGCGGCAGCAACGGCAGCAGTGGCAGCGTTCTCATCAACGACGACAATTGAAGATGCCACCAAGGCACTTGTGCCAGGCTAGGTGCACTTGGAGGCCACATTCGGTGTTCGCAAGGCTCGCTGGCAGGAGCTCGCGGAATTAGCCTCGGCGTTATGGGTTAACTACTGAGATAACGACCACCTGTGCACCTGTGCACTCTACGGTGCCAATCCATCATCACAACCATTGTCACGAGCATTATTATTGTTAACCAAAGTCAGAGCAAAGGCAACCTGTGATAGAACAATTGTCGTTTTATAAACAGTACAAATACATAAACCTCACTGATAACTACCAGTATTGTGCTTGTGGCAGCTTATTAAGCTTAATTATGCATCATCAGCAGCAGCCATTGTCCATCCACTGCTGGATTAAGTCCTCGCACCATTGCCGTCCCTCGCAGTCCTACAGCGGCGCAATCCATGTCACCGCTTTTCACGGGTGGATCGCATCGTCGCTCCATCTCCACAGCAGTTGTCCTGTTTGGCGTGTTTTCCCCTTTGCCCGTCGTTCCGTCACCAGTTGTTGTGCATTTCGTTTCAAACGAGAATCCTTTGGTGATGTTGATGCCGCCAGGTTGCTGACGTGGAGACCCGTGGGTGTGGAGGGCGAGTCCTCTCCGTCTCACGGCGATGGCAGCGAAAAGCCCTTGGTAAGCAACTTCCCCGGGGAAGGGCGAGAGCCGTTGCATGAATCACGTTCGTCTGGCCTGGCAGCATTGCCGCTTGCGGGCACGACCCGATAAAGTTGACCGACCTGACCCATCCCTCGTCTTCCGGTCTCCCACTCCCTGCCCTTCCCGTTCTGCCGTCGATGGCCAGGATGCCGTGTCGCAGCGCTCCTTCGACGTGTCGGTTCGCACGGACGAACACGCTGACCGGCCATCGGGCGACACCTGGAAGCAGAGCCAGTTCAGCCTGGTGTCGACAGCAAGCGACGAGCAGGGCCGCAGCAAGGGCCTGAGTAAGGAGGACATTAGCGGGCCTCTGTATGGCGCCAGCACCGTTCACTAATCCATGCCACCGTTCACAATCCATGACGTCAGCACCATTCACAATGCAGAGCCAGTTCAGCCTGGTGTCGACAGCAAGCGACGAGCAGGGCTGTGGGAAGGGCCTGAGTAAGGAGGACACTAGCGGGCCTCTGTATGGCGCCAGCACCGTTCACTATTCTTTTCAGCTGCTCTCATATTTTTTAAAGAATATGAATTCCTGCAATCACGAACGTTTTAAGTCAAAAGCTGCTCTCATAGATTATAGCCATTTGTCAATCCAGTGCTGGATGAGGGCAGCATGCCCCATGCTGCGGGGGTCCTGGGGGTTTTTAGACTATTTGGCTGCTCGAATTGTCCGCGTGATAAGCCGCCACTTTGTTGAGCTATCATTTGTGTCTTCTAAAGAAGAGCTATATAGCTCAGTGGGCCTTAGCTGGTCAAATAAAACAAGTTTAGTTTGAAGTTTAATGGTCGTCATCAGGACAGCTTGTGTTGTGTTCGAAATGTCGTGGTTTTTGTTTTTATTTGTATTATTTTTATTAACTTTATTATTATTTTTATTATTGAAAGAACCAATGAATATCAGATCCTGCAGTCACGAAAGTTTTAAGTGAAAATGTATCCATAATACAGGTTTTTATTTTTTTACAATCGTAGCTTTGCTCTCCAACACACTGGTGTGCTGTACCAGTAATGAATTAGCATGTTCTGTTTACGTGACAAACCTTACTAACTGGCTGTGTCGGGTGGTGGCGTGGCGGCGGGTTTAACGACACATTTATATATTTACACGATCTAACCCCAAAAAACGTTGCATTATGGATATTGGTCGCGAAGGCCTACGTGTTATACATACATACGTGGAGTACAGGGTGATTGGCCCACTTTGTCACGCGCACAATTGGAGTCCATCGCATCGGTCATTGAAAAAAATGAAGTGGGCCTGAGCAAGACACGCTGCAAGAAGGGCTCGCGGGGGGGGGGGGGCAGTTGGTAAGAACTATCCACGGATTGGCAGCCAAAGTCGAGACCGCACGACAGTGAGAGAAGTTCAACATACAGACACAGATATTGTGCTGGCGAGAGTTTGTGCCGCCCCCCTCCCCCCCTTGACGCCTGCCACGTTTGTGCCGCACGCAGGGATGTCCGAGCAGAAGCTGTTCGCCGCGCTGCTCATCAAGTGCGTGGTCCAGCTGGAGCTCATCCAGACGATCGACAACATCGTGTTCTTCCCCGCCACCAGCAAGAAGGAGGACGCCGAGAATCTTGCCGCAGCCCAGGTGTGATTCGGGGTCACGATGCGGTTCAAGAATCGGTTCTTGTTTTAGTTTTGTACCGTCTGCCTTGGGGGTTACTGCTCGTTTGATTCTGTTCGGCTGAAGGGTTCGTCCGCGGTTAACTAGCGTATGTATTTTGCATTTATTGCAAGTCAGCGATTCATATGCGCGCATTTTAACGCGTGTTCCCTGAATATGAGAATTGAAGCTTCTTCTGTGAACATGGAGAGCTTTATATTTAGCAATATTTTCCATTCCTAACGTGATATTTTTTTGTTCAAATTGCACGACTTCACGACTACTTTATTCTATTTTTTGGTGACTCGGGTCTCTCTTGCAACAATTGAGACTCCTTCCTCGTCTCTCTTTGACTTCTCACCCCAGTTAAACGAAAGCAACGGGAAACCCGAACTTTGCCCGTGACTGATGTCGCTTTGCCAATTGTGCGATCGCAGCGCGACTCTGACGCGGACGTGCACATCGACACGGAGGACCAGGGCATGTACCGCTACCTGAGCTCCAACCAGCTGTTCAAGCTGCTCGACTGCCTCCTCGAGTCCCACCGATTTGCCAAGGCCTTCAACGCCAGCCATGAGCAGCGTACCGCACTCTGGAAGGCTGGTAGGGGCCTCGCACGCAACCAATGTTTTTTTTTTTTTTCACCTTCTTAGTTTAATGCCCCGGCAACGCCGACATTGGCCTGCGTTGGCAAAGCTGCTCAAGGCCAACTGTTAGTCCATGAGCCAGAGCAGAGATTGGTACCACTTGAGTTAGAAAACCTTCCCTAAGAATGCCATGCTTCCGATCGTTGTCCTGACGTGAGTAGGGCAGAGAGCCCACTTTTTTCCCATTCTCCTACCCCGTGAGCACCTGACCCTCGGGGCTTTTGTCAGCGGAATATCTGTGCCCCCCCCCCTTACCGCTCGCTCTCTGTACCGGGCTCTTGTTCAATAATAATAATTAAATAGCGATAACAAAACCTTAGTTGTATCTATGCATTTAAAATGTCCAATAAGGGTGAATTATTTGACAACCCACTCATTTCAAATGGGTATCACGGTTCACTGTTGTTGGTCGCATGAAGAAATTAGAACCACCAATATTATGCCGCTCCACGTGGTACCGCCAAAATTGGGCCTTGGTTTGTGGACTGTTGTCTGCTTGTGGAAGTGCAATTGAGAAGAATTTCTCAGTCGTTTTTAAAATAATACTTTACCGCAGTGGTTCTGAACCTCTACTGCAGTCTTGCACCCCCTGAAGGGGCTTCTCGCACCCCCAGAGAGTGTGTGCACCCCAGGTTAAGAACCACTGCTTTATCATATGAAATGAAAACTAGGACCGGTCAGATTTTTGGTTCACTTTGTTTGGTCCGATTAAGTGATTTGTTGAAAAATCGTTTGGAAAATTGATAGGAGGGTTAAATATATATATATATGTATGTCTTAAAAGAACAGCTTATTCTTGTCATAAATAGGATGGAATCTTACACATCCTTTATGTATATGTTAATGAATGTGTTCAGGTCACGGTAAAGAGGGTTCAATGAGAGGAACACTACATATATGAATTGGATTTACTAATGTACAGCTATAATTAGGTAAATGATGTCACAAATGCATACATCGCCAAACACAATGCCAGTGGAGGCTGTTAAATGGAAACAAATTGGTTTAGGGAAAGGGGAAATCACTCGATACCAATAAAAAAATGGAAATTTTGATTAAATCAGCTATAATGATGTCTCCTATTTCTTAATGGAAACCCCGGTGCGTGCTTTATGGTTGTGCTTGCGTCACGCCATTGTATGTGCATGTGCGTGCTTGTATGTGTTTCCGTGTGTGTGTGCCTGTGCGCTATGAACCTGGTGACCCGGGTTTGATTCCCGCTCACGGCAAATTCCAGTGACGATTATTTGAACCGGTCCTGGGTCCCTCCTAGGTCGACTCGGCCTCAAATGAGTACCTGCTGTGATGTGTAAACATCGCAAATAGGGAGACAAAGGCGGCCTGGCATGGTGTTGGCCATCCACCCCCTCGCGTGCTGTGCCGGCCTTCATAGGTGCTCGCGAATAGCACTTGCCCCCAAGTCTGTTAAGCCTATATAAGGATCTTTGTCTTTGTGTCTGCGTACCCATGTGTGTGTGCGTATATTTGTATGTCTGTGTGTTTATACGTGTATGTTTGCCTGTATGTGTGCCACCCGTGTGTGTGTGCGCGCGTCCAATTTGTGTGTGCTCATGCAGGGTTCAAGGGCAAGTCAAAGCCGAACCTGCTGAAGCAGGAGACGAGCAGCCTGGCGTGTTCGCTGCGCATCCTCTTCCGCATGTACATGGACGAGAGCAGGCAGGACGCCTGGGGAGAGGTCCAGAACCGCCTCATTGGGTACGGCGCCGTTCCAAGCGAATTCAATCAGTGCAGCGCTCACTGAGCAGGATGTGGGCCCTCCCCTACGCCATGTGGGTCGTGGGGATTATTAGAACCGTATGTCACCACGCTGGTCAGGTCGCGTTGGTGAGATGGGAGTATGGAAGTACGGTACAAGAATTCGTTTTGCCCTCTCCTGCCCACAACGGAGCACCATAACAGCCTGAAAAACCTATGATGCATCCATCCGAGTATAATACCCTGCTTGCCCTCTGACATCTGATAAGATCAGCTGCATTTTGAGTGATTTTGGTCATAAGCTACTGCAACATTCCCTTGCGCTTAATTCTGTCAGTCGTTCGCCAAGGAAGCCGGTAATTTTAACCGTCCCATCGGTGTATTTTGTTTGCAGGGCGTGCAGCGAGGCGTTCAGCTACTTCTTGTCACTGACTTCTGAGTCTCACCGGGAGGCGTGGACCAACCTCCTGCTGCTCTTCCTCACCAAGATCCTCAAGATCAGCGACGAGCGAGTGGGTGTCCACATCGTACATGGTCTCACTCCCCCTACTAATAAAATTGGACGATATTTCACCACGTCAAGTGAAGTGTGAGAGCATGCGCTGGGCAGCAGCAGTCACTCTCCAGCACCGAATCAGAGGGTCCATCCTGGCAAAGCCTCCAAGCGAGAGCCTCTTTCTAGTGGTTCCTCTGGGCAAAGCCACCACGCAAACCCCCTTCCTATCTCCGAGTCTGAACAGGGGCGGCCGATCGCTATGCACCACGGGGCTTCTGGCCACCCCCTTAGCCTCCTCCTTCACCCACGAGGTTCTCGAGCTCAGAGAACCACGTGGGCAGGGTCAACCGAAGCGTGAAGCCAGGAAGCCACGTGCCCAACGTGGCAGAGTTGGCAGTCCCGTATCACACTCGTAGCAAGCCTCATCTCGGTCCATATGCTCCTGAAATTGTGTGTCACATAATGCAACAACGTGCTAATTGAGGGCAACACAGCGACTTGATTTCACACCTGACTGCGTGTGCGTCGTATGCACGGATTTTCTCTCCTGGCGCGTGGGGGCTATATGTTTGTTAACTCTTCCGACGGTGCCTCCCGTTCTTGTTGTTGCCCAGTTCCGAGCCCACGCGTCGAGCTACTACCCGCTGCTGTGCGAGATCATGATGTTCGACCTCGTGCCCGAGCTGAGGACCGTGCTGCGAAAGTTTTTCCTCCGCATCGGCGCCGTCTTTGGCATTTCCATGCAGCAGCCGGAGACGCCCGGATACAAGTAGAGATTGTCTGCGTTGTTCCGCTTAGCAAAGAAGGAAAAGGGTGGTACATTGGATTGTAAGCTCACAGTTGTTATTATTATCATCATTACTGTACTATTATTATAACGTTGTCGTCCTTGTCATTTAATTCAGTTACGGAAAGGTTTTCAACTCGAGAAGGTGAAAAATGTACGTCACATGACCGGAGGGTTTTGTCCTCTGCGAGTGACTAGGCCGTAAACATTTACTCCAATTGGTGTGCGCTTCTCTGGGCGGGAGGCGTTGAAGAGCTTGCGATGATTTCGACGGAAGAGATTTTCTCTTGATAGTCACAGTGGTGAAGTGTGATCATGCCCACGTCTGTCGCCTTACCCCCTCCCCCCCCACACCGCCTCTTGTGCTGGCTAAACGCTTACCCAACCTTGCCCTGTTATCGACAGACCATCTGCATTCCTATTTAAGATACCGATGGCAGGTCATATGAACATTCGGAAAGGGTATTAAAGTATATTAATAATTGTACAGCATTGCATGTATTTATATTGATGCTTTTAACTGGAAAAAAGCCCAATTATTTGTTATATTGGGTCAAGCTGCATATTTGTAAAAAACTAAAAAGCGACATAAAAACACCGTGTACTCCTTCATGACTTAGGCAAAAAAAAGTTCAAAATAGTTTTTGTTTGCTTGGATCCATGCACAAGAGGCCTGCTGATGTGGTAAAGGTGTAAGATATAAGCTTGAGCAAGCACTAAACTGTGAACACTTTATGGGTGTGGAGATCTTCATTGATGTGTTTTTCTTTGTGAAGCTTTATGGACTTTTTTTTTTATACATTGCTGTGTGCGTGCAGGGCGCTGGTACATTTTATGACGCGCACGCACAGGCGGTCTCTCACTGAATCACTTTCGTGTTACTTTGTGTGTGTGTGTGTGTTAATTTCCAAGGGCCGAGAGTGCTCCTATAATTTAATGTACATTTAATTGGGAGTCTGATTTTGGTATGGGGGATTGTATTTACTGAAGGGAATGTGTGTGTGTGTATATTGGAACCACAGTTATATAAACAACATCATACTCTGTATTCAGAGGTCTTCAGTTTAGCAGCGGTGTCTGCTAAGTCCACCTGCACCGGGAATGCATCGCAAAAATGTCCTTGTCAAAGATTTATTTTTGAGTGTTCATCGTTGCATTATCTCACATTGGTACAATAGCTTTTTTTCCATTGTATGTTGGCCTTGAAACTAAGTTGTTTAACAACGCAAATAAATAAACAAAAACTCCAACATACTTTGTTTTGGGCACAGCAGAGTCCAAAATTCTGGATCGACTACGTGCAGCCGCTTGCATGGTCATCGGTCATATCACGGTGCTTCGACGGCAAGGGGGTGTTAGATACATTTACAGTTTACACTGAGAAGTAGCTGGGCGACCGTCGGGTCATTCGCTTGGCAGTGTAGAGTTAGTCGGCTGGCTGGCATTGAACGTGCAGCCCGCGTCACGGCGTGGTGTGCAACTCGGGAGACGGATTTCCCTCGGAGAAGAAAATGATACAGCAACACTATAACAGCGAGCGTGCGGTGTTGGAGCCATCCGAGATGAAGAGTGTCTTTGCCGTGCCGGCTTGCAACAAGGGCATTGCGTTTGGCTAGTAATCCCCATTCTCCGGCGCTCGCCTTGTGGAGGCTGCTTAATCCGGACGTGACATTTCGCATGCCCGTGCTTCAATGTGGCCGCATTGTGCATTCGGCGTAGCTTACGGTGGGAGCATAGATAGAGCACAGGCTCGAACGTGGAAGCATTGCTGGTTTGGGGGGTTTGTTCAGACTCCGCCGCATCCGTCCCGTGAAAAAAGCACTCTTATGCTGGAAATGAGCTCCGGTTTCTTCTCGCTCTTGGATGACTTCTCTGCTTGTGCTGTGCTCTCGGGGAGAGAGGGAGTTAGGACACAGTGTATACATTTGTTTTGCTGTTGATTCATATGCGTTAATTATATGCGGGTCGATGCGTGTACTTTAGGTCGTGGTATATATAATAATATATATATGGAATTCAAATATGAAATTTAAAAAAGTGAGATGTAAGAAATTTGACTTTAAACATTAGCGGGGATTGCAACGAAGATTGTGCGCAATGACTTTATCAGCCCAATACTTAGAAAAAAAATCTTCCAATCATTCACAGCTGTGGTGAGGGTGTAGCAGTCGAAATCGCTGGTGGATGTTAATTAAACAATGTATATGGAACAGCCATATATAGTTTTTCTATGTAAAGAAAAATAACGGATGCACCGCGGTTTATGTACAGTTTAATGGAGATCATCTGGTGGGACCTAAGCTGAGTAATAATAGTACGAATAAATGTTTTCAAACTCAACGCGTTGTCTCTTTGGGAATCTTGCTAACATGTTGTGGGGGCGATTCGATCTCGCTGCACAACACTGAAGATGAGATACCGAGATGGAGCAGTACAGTACAACTGGATTTTGCGGCACTGCCTTTTGCTGGTAACGGCCTTGTTTTATGCATGGTTCTCACCCATCCAAGCATTCATTATCGAGGTTCAACCCTGCTGAGCTGTTGAGATATGATTATTATTGGGTACATTCTGGGTGATTTGGCCATAGGCTATTCATATGTTGCTGGGGACAACAATATCCATTGCTGGCTTCTGAAGACAATGAGGTCTCATTGATAGAATTTCTCAGCAAAGTGGGATCTGGTGTGATCTCGCTGAAATACATTTTTGTAGTTGACAATTAACACATGATCCTGGCATGCAGTCGGCCTGTCTACACTCGGGTGCAGCGCGTTACCACATTGCTCTTGTGCAATGTTTGTCGCATGATGCATAAAAAAAACGAAATTGAGTACAAACCAATTTTGTACACTGATGGCTAGGCTGAGACCATCCACACCGGCTTAATCGCAGGTAGCTGCCTTTATTTGAACTCTGGATCACATCTCTGCCAGCTCAGCGCTCTGACCTTCAAGCCACTCGGTAGGCTCCTTAATTCCTCTACAGTATTTTTTATTTATCATACTATTCGAGATGTATAAAAGAATAAAACAGATTGTGCTTTTAACTAAATAACCTAAAACGTTGAGTCCCTGCACACCCGGGCACCTTCCTGTGTGCACAGCCACAGTGGCAAGATCGCTCCCAGAGCATCGCGAAAAAAAATGTTATGTTTAAATGTAATTTGCCCTTTCACATGACTTAATTCAAAAGAGGAATATGATGGTATCGCCCAAGGTTAATGTCACCTAATTTTAACTCAATGTATTTTTTTCCTCTTCCAATGTGTTACTTATTCAAATGAACAAAAAAAAGGCCCTTTACCTAAATGTGAAAAGGTCCCCATTATGCCTTCGTGAGGATTTCACCTGCTTAGGAACATTGGCAGATATTTCAAATGGCAAGGAAATTCGACAGAAATAGTCCAAATTAAAAAAAAAGTGTCTTGCAAATTGCAAAACCACCTACAGGACAGCGTCACCAATTCTAGACAAGCTGGACAAATGCAGGAGTGACATTTAAAATGAAAGAGTTAATAATTGTACAAGTTATAATTAAACGACGGTGGGAATGGGCAAGACATGTCTCGAGAAGGGATGGTGGCAGATATTCAAGAATAATGACGGATTGTCAGCCAAAAGGAATGGAATGCATTTGAGATGAGATTCACAGAGAAGGTGGAGTGATGACAGAATCTCTTACGCAGGTACTAGGTAGGTCATTACATCGGAGGATCATGAGAGATGGTGGTGGCTTGAGCAGGCCGTTGTCCAGCAGGGGTTTGACCGTGAGCATGGGTTGACAAAGTAACGAGTTAAATTTCGATTTAAAGCTTTCGTGACTGCAGGGATTCATCTTCTTGTTTCTTTCGGTAAAGTCACGTAGAAGGGAAGTAATAAAATAATAAAAATAAAACATAATAAAATTGTTTTATTATGTTTTATTTTTATTATTTTATTACTTCCCTTCTACGTGACTTTACCGAAAGAAACAAGAAAAAGTAACGAGTCTTTTTTTCTTTCAAATTCGGTGAACAAAAATACCCCTTAATATAAATGCGAGGCAGTGGTCCTTAATAAATAATGTCACGAAGCAGTCTTAAAAAATACCCGCATTCAGCTCCAAAGTCGCCGACCGCTAACCGTGGCTGATGATGATGACGTGTAAATCATGTCCACGTGTTTCGATATAAATTCAAGGTAAAACTAATTAGTGGAGTTTTGGAATTGCATTACCACGAGGGTGTTTTGAGGGTGTCAGGAGGCCTTCCTCCCGCAGTGGATTAACAGTGGCTTCTTCTTCCACGCGTTTGTCCCACTCATGGTGGGGTCTGCTGTCCTTGCCAACCTTATCCATGCTGCCCTATCCAGCGTCATCTCTCTTCCCCTCCTCGGGCCACCATGTCTGATCGCACCAAACCGCCCCCTACCTCTTCTGCCTTCCTCTTGATCTCTTTCCTTCCATCACCTGCCACCTTCTGATTCACGTAATTTCCCTGTTGTCTCTCCACATGACCGAACCACACCAGCCTATTCTCTCATCTTCTCTGTGATGTCTATCACATTGAGTCTTCCTCTCACTCCTTGATTTCTGATCCTGTCTTTCCTTGTCAAACCCAACATCCACTGAAACATCCTCATCTCTGTGACTGCCATAGCTTCGTCCTCCCTCTCTCTTGTGCCCCAGCACTCGGCCCCATAAAACAGCACCGGCCTCACCAGTGGCTGATCATGATTAAATCGATGTTTTTTTAATGGACTGTTGCTCAATTATGTCAAGTTGGGTGTAGGAAACTTGGATTGTATTTATCGGTAAACTATTTCAAATAGTTTTCGTATAAATAACGCGTGCATTGAGTCTCACACTTGCACGGCGCATTGAAAGCGTTAGGGTTTGGCCAAGCATCCCAAGGCATGACCTTTTTGAAAAATTAGTCGAGGCTTTTTTTTCCCCTGGGCAATTGAATAACTGACAGTATTGGGTAAGAGTGCGGCTCTCTAACTTAGGTCAGCGACGCTGACAGGTCAGCGTGTACTGGCAATTCGCTCATGGCCAACGTCCAACTGTGTCCTTCTCTGGCTGGCCTGTCCTCTTCTGCGAGTGCGATTACAAGATCCAGACAATGTTCTCGAGTACTTGTTCCACTGATGTCCGTGTCCAGGGGGATGTTAGGAAATCTGCATTGTTATGGCAGTGGTAGTATTATATTATTTATTAATGGAACTACATGGTGTGCAGAAGATGTCAGTGCAGCAAAATCAATTGTCGTGCTGTGAGTAGCGAGTTAACGAGACGAAGACCCGGAGAGGACGAGACGCGGGGCCCAGGCTTGACTCCACAGACGAGCCAAGAACTCTCTAGGGACTGCTCCTTGATGCTCCTGGGCGTGGCCTCGCTCCGCATTCGTTCACGCCCCCTTCGAGACCTTTCCCGAAGGAGCTCGACCGAGCACCACGTGTCCCAGTCGGGCTACCACGTGCTCACTTGCCCTCTCTCTCAGGCCATCGCCAGGACTATGCCCCCGAGGGCTGGCTGACATGCCGTACTTATACTGGTAGGAACCCACTGGTTCCACCAGCCCACAGGGGATTATTGTGTCCGTCCGTCGGTCGTGGAGGAAAGGGCTGGGTGGGGAGGGGCTGGGTGGGGAGGGAGGGGCTGGGTGGGGTGGGGCTGGGTGGGGTGGGGCTGGCCACCCCGTGGTGCCCTTATAAAACTCAACGTTTAACCTACTCACGCCGGCTTGTGCCTGCCATCACAGTCGGGCATATTTGCGGAATACACCACGCCGCCGTTGACCCTGCAGGCCATTGACCGAGAAACCCAACGTTCCTACCAGCTCCCTCCGCAGGAATGTATTTCTGGTGCTAGAGAGAGGCTCCAGACGCACAGTGACACTCCTGTAACAGTAGCTGGCGCGAACACCCCAGTGACACCATTTACGTCACTACACGTGTGCAGTGGCATCGGGGGATGCCACTGCATGCCACCTTAGGTCGGCCTGTGTGTGCAGCAGGAGACACGCTGCTCACACCTGGAGCGGCGCAGGGGTGACACTGGGCCATGGCACTCTGGATGAACCCGGAGGGTCTGGTAGCCGGAGGTACCGGGGCTGGGTGACCCCGGGACCGGTTCCAGTGACCTCTGGAAGGGCCGAGAAGGGAGGTGTGCCTCGGGGCGGAGAAAGCCCTGGGCTTGGGAATTTAAGCCGGACCCCTGAATGTTGTTGTTCATCTGAAGATAAGAAGCCGTCCTCCTGAAGAATAAGTCAAGATCAGGGCTTGAGTCCGGGGTCCGGGCTTGAAGGCCTCCCCAAGTTGTGTTAGGGCCTCGTTAACCCAGAGGGACAACCTTCCCCCCAGGTTACCTGGTGGAAGGGGCAGCTCCTACCCCTTTGTGTTAGCGAGTTGTTATAATAAACGTGTTGCCGCCAGAGAAGCCTCGCTCTCCATTTATACCCACTACACATGTACCAGGCTGCCTTAATCGGGTGGGCGAATAGACACATTTCACAATAGACGTATTCTTTGGATCTTTCGGTAAAGTCACGTGGAAAGAAAAGATAATACCGAAAGACCCAAAGAATATGAATTCCTGCAGTCATAAATAATAATAAATCGAATTAAATAATACATCTGTGATTTATTTTTATTTTCCTATTATTATTTCTAACAGTGAGTTATTATTTTATTTATATGATTTTTATAATTTATTTTTATTATTTATTTTTACCTACGTGACATTTACCGAAAAAACCTTGCAGTCACGAAAACTTCAAATCTAGAATCCTTACTAATTGGCTGTGGCGGGTTTAACGACACATGCACATTGACGCGATCTAAAGCCCCAAAAAACATTATTGATGATATTGGTCACGAAAGCCTCGAACTATTATTATTATCACCAAAACTTGAGCAAATTTTTTTAACTACACAAACAACATTAAAAATCGCGTTTTTCCCCCCACCGCGGCCGCCGTAGTTGGCGCCACCGTGGGGGTCAATCGGAGGCCCTCTCCGGGGTCGCTCCCTCACCGCACCGAGCGGCCCGTCGGCTTCCGCGCGTGTTGATATTTCTACGATGACTAAATATCGATACTTACGTTTAAACAAAAGCACACTTTAACTCGTCACCCCGTGTTCCGCGCGGAGTAGGCGACAACAAGCCCAGCGCGCCGGGATGAACCGAAAGAAAAGCGAGAAGGGTTTCGAAAGCCCGCGCCCGTTCAAATTATAAGTACCTCGTCGAAATGTTCGATCCACTGCTGGATGAAGGCGTCTTTTCCTCTCACACTCCGATACGTTACCCGACTGTCTACTGCGCCACGATTGTCGCTGCGAGTTAGGGCCGTAGGATTGGAACTCGCGTCGTAGCGCGCTAACCGCTGCGCCACCGCTCCCTCACCGCAGCGTTGGTCACGATCGTTAAAGATCCACTGCTGGATGACGGCCTCGACCGCACTCTGCGGCAGTTGTGTTTGACCATACTTCACCTTAAATACTTCACCTTGGTCAGCGTGGGTTGGTCGGAGGCCCGGTTAGCGTGGACGTAACGCTACAGAAATGGGTTGAATGTTCGCATTGGTTCAAAAGCAGCGTTCCAAATGTCAATTTGACCCAAACTAATTATAGCAGAAAGTTGCCGATAGCGAGACGGCACATTATTGGTTTGGCAATGTTGCAACTTAAATGTGTGTGCAGTCGTGTGTGTTCGTATTTTGTTCGTCAGCAGAGTTCCTTACGTGAGCGAGTTGGTACAAATGTATTTGAGCAATGTCTGGTGATGTCAACGTTGATGTTGAAATCTATTCCGCTTCTCTAGAAATGAACGACAAGGACTCAAAAGTAACGTGAATTTTTTGTGTCATTACGAACCATCAGGTACTCAGCATCAACAACATCAACTTCCAAAAGAAGTCCATCATTGTAAGCCTTTTTCCTTATAACCTTGTATTTCAAATGGTACTTCAACACACAAGACTGCTTTAGAATTAAACAAACACCATACATTTAAATTTTGATTTAAAGCTTTCGTGACTGCAGGGATTCATTTTCTTGGTTCTTTCGGTAAAGTCACGTAGAAGGGAAATAAAATAATACAAATATAAAATATAATTTTATTGTCGACTAAAGCCAGTAAATATTTTACTATTTTAGCAAGGCTTATTTATACGCACTCTGCATTTGCAGCAGCATTAAAGCGTGGCGTAAATATTGTTTAAATATATGGTCTTCTTGGTTCTTTCGGTAAAGTCACGTAGAAATATAAATCAAATGTTATTGTTTGATATGTTTATTATTTTATTATTTCCTTTCTACGTGACTTTACCGAAAGAACCAAGAATACCATACATTTAAGCAATATTTGCGCCACGCTTTAATGCAGCTGCTGCAAATGCAGAGTGTGTATAAATAAGCCTTGCTAAAATAGTAATAATTTTACTGGCCTTAGTCGAACCACTGCTAGACGAATGCCTTCGCACGCAGTGCCTGTCATGAGGCTCATTTGTACGTTGAGCTTCTTTCGCATCGTACGTAGCCAACTGCTAATCGGGTTGGTGTGAAGATGGGCACGCAGGACCGGTTTAGATATCACGCACAACTAATTGGACTGGAAATCAAGCCACAGCGCTACTGGTCCCCCCCTCAGGCATTTGAAAAAACCACTTCTCTGTTAAACTTTCGCAAGTAATGTGCGCATTGAGGAAACCAATTAACAACGTGTAAACTTGAAGATTTCAGAGTCGACGATGCCGATGTGCTCTGACGGGCATGGTCGTCTACGTGCGGTGCGAAATAAGTGCATTCATGCATCCGTAGTAATGGCTCGTGCGGTGCGATTTCTGTGCGGCAGGGCCATGTGGAACTCACGCTGTTTCCCACCACGGCGACGCTCAACAAGATCCGCCTCAACTGCAAGCAGTGCCGCATCTACCGCGTGCGAGTCAACGACAAGGAGGCCGCCTTCATGTACAACGACCCCACGCTGGAAGTGTGCCACCAGGAGAACAAACAGTGCGTTCCCACGCAGGCAGATGCTGCTGCTGCCCCCTTAGGAGCCCTTGTAGACTGGTGGGGCAAGGGGCCGTTAGCTCGCACCACGCCTGGCTAGTACCAACTCGGCCCTCTTGCACGGCTCTGTTTCCGTCGCTGTGTAAAATTAACGAATTGGCACATTGGGTAATTGTGTGACGAATACGCTATGTTTCACTGGCGGACGATTTAGTCTGCCAGTAGGAGGCTATGTTGCTGTGTGGGTTTTTTTTCAATTCAGTAATTTGCTGGTATGTTTAAAAATGTTTTTGACAATCTATAGCATGACCCTGGCACACTTTGCCCACTTGTTTTAAACCATGTCGCTAGATCTTTAACATCCACTTTGGAGCAGACAACAATGCGTATTTATTGTTGATACACCTGCAGTGTTGTATGTGTGTATGTATTTTGAAATTCTTTCGTGTTGTACGTAGCCAGCCCTGCTAATAGGAGGTGCGGGGGATGGAAAATAACAAAAGTATTAAGCAGGGCGGCCGCTGGGCACAAACCATATACCTCTGCAACAACTATCGAACATGCTACCACTCAAGCCATTGTAGTCCAATAACTACGACAGACTTTTACTTATTTATCCAGGAAAGCCACACTGAGTCATATGACTCTTCTTCAGGAGGGTTCTGCTCCAATGTGTTTTTATATTTGGGATGTTTTCAGCCAAGTAATGATAAGTGTTTATACTTGTGGGAGGAGATCGGAGGACCCAGAGAAAACCCACACGTGCGAGAGGGCAACACTCTATCCCCGTACAGATGGAAACGGATGGCGATTAGTCTTTTTGCTGTACTGCCCTCTTTTGGCGAGCCAGGGGTGTGGCACCTCGACTCTCACGGGAAGGCAGTTTCACAACATCTCTCTGGTCCACTATCCCTCGCCTGCACGATGCTCGATTCCAGGCGTGCGCCACCACCGGCCGGCTAATGGCGACATAAACATAATGCAAACAGTATGTGCTAGCCGAGAACGTTATTGTAACTGTGATTTGTCTTCTGCAGGCGCAACTTGAACTTCTTCTCCAATGCGTACGCGGCGTCCGTGCAGGCGGTGGAGGCAGACTACGGCAACGGCGAGCTTTTGATCAAAGTGCCGTCGGACCTGCGCGAGCACGTGGAAGGTGACAATCCCTTGACCAACTTCGCTGACGTTTATTTTAAAGCCAATTTTGTCCCGATTGAGCTATCTGCATCACGTTACGAGATGAATGCATCCATCTGGATCGATCACGCGGCATCGTGCAACCCATGGTGTTAGAGAGCGACCCACGGAATCAGGTGTCACAGAGCTATTCTTGAAATTCCTTCCAGTGACCTTTGCTGGACATGGTAGGGGCAGCACTTTCTCATGTGCTCAATGATCACAGGCAGCTGTAGGATCTGTGCAGTATCAGCATAGCCCTCTGACCTTGCAGCTAGCCAGTCACCTCACTGCCCTCACCTTTTATGAAAACAGGTTAATGAAACCAGGAATTCGTGAATTTTAAAAATGTAAATGCATGATATTCTGCAAAAAAACTTTTATTTGGAAGCACTGTCAACGACAAAGCTCATTGTTAATCGTCATGAGAATTACACTTTTCCAAAATATACCACCAATTTGCTACATTTGTCGTGCGAAAATGAAATCTACACGGTACTATTATGTGAGTGTTAATGTACAAAAATATCCCCCATCGAATACTTGGTATTTCTTTTCTATTTTTTTTACTCTGCACTCATTTGTTTCACCCAGTTAAATTGATCTTGCGAAATTGACATTCACAGTGAGATAAAGGCCTTTTGTCCACGTGGCTTTCAATGTAGATTCCTGTGATTGTTAAAACCTGGAAGACTTGATTTTGTTCAGGGAGGCAATAGGCTGCCTGTTTCTGTGCCAGGTGAATTTGTTCATCTAGCTGTGCATTTCACATGTTTATTACATAACTGCAAAAACACTGAACTAATCACGATGCAATTTTCAACGGTTTACCAACTCCGGTGTCCAGACCATGATACTTTTTTCAGCAGGATGGCCACAGCATATTTCCATTAAGTATTTGTATTTAAAGATACAACAACAACATGCTGTGTGGCAGCACATGCAGTGTGTATATTAGAAGGTAAGGTGGAGCAATGATGCAGTGGATTGCGTGCTCTGCTGTGAACCCAGTAACCTGAGTTTGATTCCCTGCTGTGGCTACAATAATTATTTGTGAGTGATATCTGAACCGATCGTGATTCCCACCCCCTCCATCTCTTCACAAACGCACACCGACCATTGTGGTGTAGTTATGGTCAGACATTAGACATTCTTCATGACCAGCTTGGCTTGAGAAAGCCTTCATCCAGCAATAGATGGACAAAAGACTGGTATATTATTGTAAAGCATGTATGTATGTGGTTGTGTAGCGGTTAGCGCGCTGCGCTATGAACCCGGCGACACGGGTTCGATTTTCGCTCACGGCCAACACCAGTAACGATTATTTGAACCGGTCCTGGGCCTCCCCTAGGTCGACTCAGCCTCAAATGAGTACCTGGTGCGGTGTGTAAACATTGCCACTGGGGAGACAAAGGCGGTCGGGCGTGGTGCTGGCCACCCAACCCCTCGTGTACCGTTCCAACCTTCATAGGTGCTCGCTAACAGCACTTGCCCCTACAGTCTGTTGAGGCTATATGGGGGATCTTTGTCTTTGTAATCTCGCGTGTCCGACATGTGCATCCGTTTGCATGTGCGTCTACGTGTTTCCTTACGTTGCTTTGCAGAATCGACTCCTTTAACAGAATCGAGGCTTGCTCGCTGGACTGGCTTTACAGTTTTGTAAACGCAGCATATACGTGTTTTTGCGTACCAGAGATGCGCATGCTGAAGGTGCACGTCGAGTTCTGGATGGACAACCCCAAGGGTGGACTGCAGTTCGTGGTGCCCGATCTGGAGGGCACCTTGGCTGAACGGGGCGCCCACGTCTTCTCCTATGGGCACCAGAATGCATCGAGGTCGGTGGCTTTGAGGCACCTATCGTGAGATGGGCGATGGTGAACCTGGAGGTCGGCTGTAAAATTTTAGCGCCTATGGTCAATGGAGTTGCATTGAGAGGCAGAACGATGAACGGACGTGGAGGAGAGAACTCGCGCAAGTTGGAGATGTAGTTTTTTTTATTTTTTAGAAAAGTGTGGCTTGAGCAGGACACGCTTCAAGAAAAGGTTTGATGATCATTAGTGAAGACTGCCGATAGAGTAGCAGCCAAAGGAGGGAACATGCCTGGGATGACGTCAACTGCAGAGATGGAGTGTTGAAATTGCCTTGTGCGTAGGAGTTGGTGTTGCGTCGGGAGGCTGCAAGAGATGACGATCGCTTGGCGAGTCCTTCGTTTAGCACGAGCTAGAACTTGGCAGGAGGGTCCTGCCAAGTTTTCGCAGTGAGAGGGTGTTGTTATTTTATGTAATGCCAATGCAGTACATATATGGTGATTCTATCTAATGCCAGTTGTATTGTATTTTTTTAGCTATGTTAGGAAAATTTAATACCTGGCGAAAACCCATGCAGAATAGGGGAGAACATACAAACTCAACACAAAACGGCACCGGAGTCAGGAATCGGACCAGGCTTTTTTTGCTGCTACGCACAAGTGTTACCACTGCGCCAGCCTGACATATCACCTGCACGCACAGAGGCGGTGTTTTAACCAGGCGGGGACTATTCTTGCCACCCGGCCCGCAGGTCTTGGTTTCCGTGCATAGACTCGTACTCGGAGCTGTGCATGTGGAAGCTGGAGTACACGGTGGATGCCTCCATGGTGGCCGTGTCTAACGGCGACCTCGTGGAGACCGTATACACGCACGACATGCGCCGCAAGACGTTCCACTACCAGCTCACGACGCCCACGGCCGCGCCCAACATCTCGCTCGCCGTGGGGCCCTTCGAGATCCTCGTGGACCCCTTCATGCACGAGGTGACGCAAGATGAGCTTTGTGAAGATGAGAACATTAGCTTCTCACGCTGCGTTAGGCACAGCACTTGCTTGAGTAACTTTTGTCGTATGGAGGTGAGTAAGGGAGGCTGTCGTGGTGTCATGGACGTTGCAATCCATGTGTCGCAGGCTCGACCTTCCGGCGCAGCACTGCAAATCTCTTAAATCCCCCTCCGCTTCTGTCCACCCAGCACTATAAATGGGTTTACCACAGTCAATCGGCGGGTTGCACGTGGTGTGGGTAAAGTCTAGGGTATAGCCACCTCTTTCAAGATGCCTGTCCAGCATGGAAGAGGATGCCAAATACCCTCTAGAGGGGCTCTCTGAAGCTCCCTCTCGTGGAGACCCTACTGCCACCAGTGCCCTGAGCAAAAAATGCACGTGTACCTTTTAGAGTCAAGTTATTCTGACGGTAAGGAACCGGGGACCTGTGGGGTTGTTGAGCGCTACGTATGACCCTTAACCTTTGACTTATGTAACAAAAAAATCTCTGGCCTATCAGAAAATAGAGTGCCATCATACCACTGTGTATGACCAAATTATCGAGAATGCTGCCGATCTCATCGCGTTTTGGAAGCTTCGCAGGGTTGAGCCCGGATAGTGTTTTGATGGGCGGTCACCGTGCGCGCCAGGTTGTCATAGGCCTCTACGGGACTTTGTGTCGTTTTTTTGCAGCATAGGGCAGTGCAGCACAATCCTCAGTTGTACTGCACTCTTTGCTTCCAGCTATATGTTCCCCGCCTTCACCTTCCCACACTGACCAGGGTGGCGATGTATTCTGAAGTAATCCCCAGGACCCACGCAGCGTGGGGAGGCCCTCATCTAGCTGTGGATTCACAGAGGGGGGCTGTACGTTTAGACATTGCACCACCACGAGAGGGCAGCATATATTTTTAGTTCTTTAATGTCGAACACAAGTCAGGTGTCACCTTGTTCCTTGTCAAAGCCGATGGATGGTTTCACGTTTTAGGCTTGTGTCCAATGTCACTCGGCGATTCAATTAATTGTGATTAATTCGGGTAATTAGTTAATTCCAGGATCAAATTATAATTGTCTGTAGGCTTGTCGCGATGCATTAAATCCTGGATTCAAATAATTTCTTACGCTCTATTAAACCTGGATCGCGATTGTGGTCATAAGAATTGATTTATTTTCCGGTAATTTCTAATGCAAATGTTACACGCATGTTAGAGTTACACCGGTTACGCTAATGGTACGAACAAAACTGTACTTGTGACAGAGAAAGGGGCATTCAAAAACGAGATCGTACAAACTGGACGAGCACGAACACGTCCCTTGAATTGAACCGTGACAATTCACTCGCCGTTCGGCGTGCGGGTGGGGGGCACTCATCGTCACACCCCGTACTCCTAATGACCCGTGCCGCCGCCGCACTCGTGTCCCCCCAGGTGACGCACTTCTGCCTGCCGCAGCTGCTGCCGCTGCTCAAGCAGACCACCTCGTTCCTGCACGAGATTTTCGAGTTTTACGAGGAGGTGCTCACCTGCCGCTACCCGTACACCTGCTACAAGACGGTGTTCGTGGACCAGGCCTACGTGGAGGCCACCTCCTACGCCTCCATGAGCATATTCAGGTGTCTCCCCCCGCCCTAACATTTCGACACGATTGATGGCGCTCGCCTCGCTCGGTGTGAACATCTAAACGGGGTGTTGAGGGGCCGCATTTTGCTGTGGTCAGGCTGTGATCAAATGTATGTGTGTATGTGGAACTTCTTGGGCACCGTACGTAGCCAACCGTGTCAGATCTCTGATCTCGGAAAACCAAGCTGGCTTTGTGTGTGGTGTTACGGGTGCCCGTCAAATTTTCTAATTTGAGCCGTGTTGGCGAGCCAGCAGACGTCTGTGAAAAAAGAGCTTCATGGCTCATCGGATTCCTCCATTCTAAGTGACGATTCTGATTATGAAAGATTCTGAGGGTGCACAGTGTGGTTTATGCCGGGCAGTGAGCACTTCCTGCTTCTGACATTGGATTTTTTTTAAAAACAACATTCAAGGGCTCTGCAGTTGCTCAGCCAGCACCTGCACATAAACAAAGCTGACACACAGCAGTAGCCCATCACCAAATCACCTGCAATGCACCCGATCTCATCAGATACCGGAAGCTAAGCCTGGACAGTGGTTGGATGGGCGACAGCTTGGCTTCAGGTGTTGTAGGATTGTGCAAGGCCACGCTGTCAGTCGAGAGCAGTGCAGCAAAGTTCATTGTTTTACTGGGCGTGAGCGGGAATCGAACTCGGGTCGCCGGGTTCTTAACGCAGCGCGCTAACCACTACACTACGATGCGTTACGCTTCCACATGCGCGGGTCACGTGACAGATTTGACGTCACAGCTCACTTTCAAAATATATGCATTATTGAGCTCCCCCCCCCCCCCCCCCAAAAAAAGTGTTTTTTTAGAATTTTTGCACGGTGTACAGTCTGGAAAGTACCCACAAGGCAAATTTCCAGTTTGTTGCATGTCGGGAAGTACGCTAAACATTTTGAACAGACACACATATTCACAACTTGGCCTTTTATATATATGGAGATTAGTATTCTAAATATATTAACTAAATTATTAATATTGTGAGCAAGCCATGTTCCTTTTATTGGTGCATTGGGATCTATAGATGAAATGTACCTTACAAATTTAAATGTTTATTACAGTATTTGAGTTTTATTCTGTGATAGTATTTACAGCGGGTGTTTATTGAAAGATAATATATTTTTTAGAATGATTATGACGATGCATCATTACACAGGTTAAAGTTTATTTAAGTTCTTTGGTGCAGTACAGTGGATGTTATAATTGCCGATGGAATAGCCCAATTTGGTTATCATGGACTTATGCTCCATAAATAGCGTGAAAAACCAATTTTGATAAATGGATTCCAGTCCAGTGAGGCTGAACTCCAAAAAAACATCTCTCAATAACGAAATCTTACTTCTCGTGTCATTTCCACTTAATATTGTTTTTCACTCGAAAAGCTGTCGATATCAAAACAAAGGCGTATAGCTGAGCGTTCACTGCTGCTGCAAACTCCACATGCATTGTGATTGCCGCTGTCAAGCACAATTAGGCCGGAGACTCCCCGCCCCCCCCCCCCCCCGCGTTGGTTTTATATCTTAATTACATGCCTTTGTTTAATTACTACAATCCCGTCTCTCTGCTGTGCTATATTCTGCAAATGAAACTACATCATGGTGTAATTGTGATGTAGATGCATAGATAGGGGTTTTCGTGTCACCATGCTGTCTCACTTAACCGATCTTCTGCCCTTCTTTCAGCACCAATCTGTTGCACGGAGCAACGATAATCGACCAGACGCCCATCACTCGCAAGAGAATAGCCAAGGCTCTGGCGCAGCAGTTTTTTGGCTGTTTCATCTCGCGAATGTCCTGGTACGGGCATCTTTTTTTGTATCTCTGTCATTAATATGCAAAAAATCCTGTTAATTGGCGTTGTGTTCGTACCCCAAACTGTTGACTCGTATACACAGACTTGTTCACATTCTCCCCCGCACCTATTCATCGCTTGTTTCCCTGCGCTAATGAATCTTGTCATCTGACTCGTGCTTTGTTAAGCTGGGTTTTACCCCATTTGTGTTGATTATGTAATTGCTGCCTTATTGTTTCACGTCAGAACTTGCCCATGATTCCTCTAATCCATTGTGCACCGCGTAATTTTATAGTTGGGGGATACTTGTAAATTGCATGGTGCTTGAGTTATGCATAATAAACTACGATAATGTATTCCTTAAATAATATTAGTCTTCAGCCATGTTCGTCTGTGATTATTTTTTTGGCCACCATTTCCCCTTGTTACAATACATCTCGTAGAGGTGGCTGGGGAGAGGCTCAAGGGTCAGAGCTCTGAGCCGACAGCACTTAGATGCAGGATTCATATCCATGCACCCACGTATGATTAAGCCAGTCAAATCCAGTATATAAATGTCACGATCCTGGCTTGGTCAGTAAAGACTGCACCCAATATCTATTTAATTAAATATGGGCTTTCACATAATTTGTCCTATTACAGCTTTTGAGAGTTTTTTTTTTATTGTTTCAGTTTGTTTGCCATACGATGAGCCTTATTCTCTGTGGCATGCCACATCGCCCCTCGTGTGGATAAGAGGTCACTTAAAGGGATATCACCTACAGTGTGCCCTTCTCTAACAGGGGGTGTGATTCTAGATTCGAAGTTTTGGTGACTGCAAGGATTCATACTCTTTGGTTTTTTCGGTAAAGTCACGTAGGTAAAACAGTGTCACACTTAAGTGGTTGTGCTTTCGCTACGTTGTCCCCACCTGAAGAAGGACGCTTGTGTTGCGCCCCAAAACGTCGTGATTTTATTTACTTTAATTTTTTACCTTCGTGACTTTACTGAAAAAACCAAAGAGCAGGGGGCGTGATGTAATACTCTGAGATAAAAATGTGACAAAAATACAATAACCATGAAAATAAAGAATTTAATTAGCACCAATGGGACTCTATTTGGCACTAAATGAATACAATTTGAAAGGAAAAAATCAGCGCTTCTCATTTCTGTAAGGCAATCAAATCTATCTGCACCTGGGTTTCATTCTTCACCAGGACTGACGATTGGGTGCTTAAAGGCATCTCCGGCTACATTTACGGCCTCTGGATCAAAAAGACCTTCGGGAACAACGAATATCGTTACTGGATTAAAAAGGTATGTCACACGTCGGCTGCGCTTCCCTCAGTTAACTCCACCACCTCCTGAAGCCGTGCGTCAACATATCCCTGCCATGCTGTCCCTCCTGCAGTGGTTGTCCCGAGTGACGGATTACGAGCTGCAAACCGGAGGCATCCTCCTCCACCCGACCTTCGCTGCCGGCAAGGAGAAGGAGAGGTGGACTTTGCACTCACCCGCTCGCTCGCCCGCCTGCTCGCTCACCCACTAGTTTCACTCGAGTGAGTGGGTGAGCGAGCAATTGCTCGCTCCGAGGACCACGGCGTAACATTTTTCTGACATGAAAGTCTGATGGCCAAGCGTTAAACAAAACACCACAATTGTTGTCGGGACAAAACTCGAAAACACAGCAGAATAATAAATACGGAGAGCCTTCTCTTAATGTGTGTTCACACAACGAGTTTTCACTGTTACGCGGTTCTTCAATTCGGGAGCGCTTTCGCACAAAGCAGAACGCGTCCGTTACAACGCGGTTTCTGAGCGGTCTACGATGAGCTACTTTCATGAGCTGCGCACGGCTAAGTGGTCTGGGAATTATGGGTATGCACGCGGAATGGTACAATATGCGGTGTACTACCCTCATCTCAGTTCCTTTGTCCTGCCATCTTACTGCGTGTGCGTACATCGTACCTTGCAAACCCAACCTTTTAAATTATTTATTTCGGTGAAATAGTTTTCCCTTAACGCGTTTTGGCTCAACGCAGCATTATTCAGGAAACACGTCTACCACGTTGAACGATTAATCACTGCACATACGTTGGCAATGAGGAGGCGAACGATAGCAGTACATTCGTTCTTTGAGAAATCAATTTGATGCGGAAATGCAACATACCCATGTCCCTTAACACAGTTTTAGGTCATTCCCTGTAGCCTACAGTGAGATTGTTCGGAACCGTGGACGACTGACAAATACAATTGAACGCAGGCTGGAAAGTGTGCAAAGATGCACGAGGTGATGCCTGCTTGGCATTACACTTAGAGGCTGAGTAACACTTGGATTAGAGAATTTAGACAAGTGAGAGACATCTTACTTAGTTTAACATAGCACATCGGAGTTGTTTTGTGGTTGTTGTTGCTGCTTGACTTGCATCCCACTGGGATTTTTGCACAGCGTTGGTGTACGGTGCTTTTTTTCTGGAAGACTTTGCAGTTTTTTCCTGGATTTTTCTGTTTGCGCATAGTCACTTTAAGATGTTTTCTTGTTCATATGTTTTTGTTGTTGCGGTTCTACCCTATTCAAGAGCCGAATGGCTCACAGGGCTATACCTAATAAATGAAACTGAAACTGAAAAACTGAAACTGTACTTGTAACGAATTGGCATGTTCTGTTTACGTGACAAACCTTACTAATTAGCTGTGTAGGGTGGTGGCGTGTTTAACGACACATTTATATATTTACGCGATCTAACCTGAAAAACCTGTATTATTGATCTTACTGTTTAGAAAAGTAAGTAGGCTTGGGCAGGACATGCTTTTCACAAGGAATGATGGATGCTTTTCTGAATAAAAAAACTGACACTTACATAATATTAACAATTGTTTTCATCGGGTGTGTGCGCATGTTTGTGTGTGCCACTCGTGTCTGTGTGTATGTCTGTGCAGTCCCACTCCTCACCTGCACTTCTCCGTGTGCTACCCGCACACGCTCTCGTGGGAATACTACAAACTGTACCAGGCGAAGGCGCACCTGGTGCTCAGGCTCATAGAGAACCGCATCAGCATGGAATTCCTGCTGCAGGTGTGTGTGTGTGTGTGTGTCAAAGGGGGGGGGGGGGGGGGCGGTGGCGCAGTGGTTAGCGTGCTGTGCTATGAACCCGGCGACCTGGGTTTGATTCCCTCTCACAATCAGTAACAACAGTGGCGAATATTTGAACTGGTCCTGGGTCTCCCCAAGTTAACTCGGCCTGAAATGAGTACCTGATGCAGTGTGTAAACATCACTACTCGAGCGACAAAGGCGTGGTGCTGGCCCACCCACCCCCCTCGTGTGCCGTGCCAGCCTTCATAGGTGCTCGCTAACAGCACTTGTCCCAACAGTCTGTTAAGGGTATACGGGGATCTTAGTTAAAGGCCAAACACAAGTGGGCGTTGGCACTGCGCTACATACCCGGTGACCCATATACGATTAGCGCTAATGGCCAGTATCGGTGATGGATATCTGAACCAGTCCTGGGCCTCCCCGAGGTCGACTCAGCCTTACATGAGCCAGCACCTGACGTGGTGCTGGCCACCTACCCCTTCGTGTGCCGTGTCAGCCTTAATAGCTGCTTGCTAACCACTTTCCCCAATAGCCTGTCAAAGGTTATAATGGGAATCTTTGTCTTGTGTGTGACCTGTGACCAGCAACTCGCACATGTATTCATATTGTGCTTGTAGAAGTAGCAGGAGCGGACATGAAAAGTAGCACCCTGGTGCATATGCTTGACTTAATTTCCATCAGCCAACATGTCATGCCGCAAGGCCTTTTTAACAAAATGTTTCATCTTCGTTTAAGGAGTTGTTAAAGACCCCATAAGAACCTCACCAGCCTCATTGGACTCGAGTGGTGACATCAGTGGTTATGAAGCCGGTGACCTGAGCTTGATTCCTAGCCACGGTGAACATCATTGGCGAGGAATGTCTAAACTGGTTGTGGGTACCCGCTTCAACAACCAGTAGTGATCAGCGTAGAGATTTATGGTCAAACAACATCTATGTACAACATCTTGGGTAGGCCTTCATCCACCAATAGATTGAAAATGGGCTAAATATTAATTGCAGATTGATTGAAAACAGGTTATTGAGCACTTGTATGTATCATAGCCCCAAAGTCAACATTTATAATTACTTGCAAAACATGTTTGAATGTAAAGGGAGGTCAGGTTTATTTAAAACATAAATTTATATGCAAAGGAAAACAAATGTTCAGGGTTAATTAATTGGAGATCACAAGACAATCTGGACCACCACCCTGTGCACCCCTTTGTCACATCACTGTTCGATGAAGGCCTCCTCCACATAACGTGTCAGTCATTGGGATTGTTCGACCATACTTCACCACGCCGGTTAGTGCTGTTTCGGCGAAGGGGAGGGAGGCACCAGGACCGGTTCAGATATCACTCGCCACCAATGTTAGCCTCGATCGGGCATTGAACTCGGGTCACTTGGTGTGTAGCATAGTGCGGTAACCCACAGAGCCACCTCTCCCAATGACAAACAGGTTAATTAAAATAATGACCAGGTATGTTTGTTCTGTCGCCGCTGGGAAAGAAATCGACAATCCACCTTACCGGCCTTCGTCTTTTTTGTCCTCTTGGTGACCGCAAACCAACGCTGTTATTCGTAACCTATTATTTATTTTAAATATATAAATAACCCTTCCAGCGTGACAGGCTTCCCTTGTTTGCGAGCGAGATAACGTGACAACGGATGTCAATGGGCTATCACTTTGTTTAGTAAATGGCAATGCAATGAAGGAGACGAGTGTGATATCTTCTCTTGTCGTTGGGCAGCTCCAGTTATTTCTAATGTGGTGGTTTTGGTGGAGTAGGCTATCTGGAGTGATTGATGCGTGGTCCTTTACGTAATGACGTGACCTCTGTGACACCACCGCACCACGCGGTAATGGAGATAGTGCAACTCAGCGGTGCATCTTAGTAAAAAATATATATACAAACGGTAAGTGATAATAACACGTGATTAATATTCTGAATAATACATGCACAATGGAATTTTGAGCTTGATAGGGAGATAAATATTGATGAACATAGAACAACTTTTACACGTGCATGTTCTATGTTTAGACACGAAGAATTTATTCATAACTGGGGGAAGGTCCATTGACACGTAAAGCTTTTTCAAGGGAGACCTTGGTAGTGATAAATATATCATAACAGCAAGGATGTTCCCACGATACAAATTATTCAAAACCTCGATCATACACGAATGATGCAGGAATAATAAATACAAAATCTAGAAAATGGAATAAAAAGGCAGCATCCATCCAAAAAAATGCTAAAGTGAAAGCACAACGAAGTACAGATGTATATATAGTGAAAATTAAAGACGTTACAATAAATTATAAAATGAAGTACGTTAACAAAAACTTACATTATGGAAATGGATATAATTTAAATTAAGTAGCAATTCAGTATTTAAAGGTTTGAGTACCTATGAATATTTGAAAAGCATTTTACGGTCATTACCCAAGTAGGCACTCTGATAGCAAAAAAATATGAAATGGTATAAAATTGTAATCTTGGTTTTGGTTACTTTTTTTAAGAATTTTGATCTTTTAATGAAACTTATTTCTCCAATTTCTTTCACAGATTGTGCGAAATGTGTCATGCAATGATCTCTCACAAAGCAGTGCACCCTTCATGTTAGTGAAGGCTCATGGAAGTGAATCCCACAGACCTTCCTCTGAGATCCTGTAAAGTGACCTTCGGTGCACATGGTAGGGAGGGTAGCCTACTCGCCCTGCCACTGCTAGGAATGTCTGTCGCATGACATTGAAATCATAGATTTAACCTTGAGAGCTGGAATTTAACCAAATTAAGTGCAAATTTTTTTTTTATGTCATGGGTTTTTTTCTGCAGTCATTGGTGACCAAACCCGAGACCATGAATTTGTCTTGAGAACTCGGTTTAATCACAGGCGGTCCCCTGATTTCACATCTTGGATCTCAGCATTGCCAGCTCAGTGCTGTGACTTCTGAGCCACCCTGGTCACCTCAAGTGCAGAAACACATTCAACGTGATTTAGTTTTTTTGTACAGTGATTGGTGACTGGGTTGAGCCCATACACTTGCTACGGTACCGCTTTAGTCCTCTGAATTTTAAGTTGACCTCGCCACTTTAAAACATTTAAAAAAAAATTATTGATCTTCTTGGTTCTTTCGGTAAAGTCACGTAGAAGGGAAGTAATAAAATAATAAAAATAAAACATAATAAAATAATTCTCACGACGTTTCGGCCACAACGCAAGCAGCCGTCTTCACCTGAGGATTTTTTTTAAATGTTATTTTATTATGTTTTATTTTTATTATTACTTCCCTTCTACGTGACTTTACCGAAAGAACCAAGAAGATGAATCCCTGCAGTCATGAAAGCTTTAAATCGAAATTAAATTGTATTGAATTATCGATTTTCCCTCTTTTGTCTCCCGGCAGGTGTTTAACAAGCTGCTCTCTCTGGCCAACACCGCATCTTCCCAGCGCTTCCAGTCCCACATGTGGAGCCAGATGCTGCTGTCCACCAGTGCATTCCTCAAGTCCATCTCCATTGTTTCGGGCAAGGATATCCAGCCGCTGATTCGTCAGTGGGTGTATCCTTTGCTCATGGTGCTTGCTGCAGCAATTCATGTCTAAATTCATCACGCGTAGTCAACGAAGGACCGTTGGGCCAAACGTGTGACCTCTTGCGACAGCATTCACATCAACTTCTCTTGCAGCCATACCGGTGTCTTGAGTAATTGGTTTGATCCACGGATCACGTGGGGCAGGTGGGGGGGGCAACCACGGGGGTGGTGACATTCCTTTGAGGGTCGCAGTCCACTTTGAACGTCAACCACCAGCTCAAGAGCGCAATTACTCCAGGAGTTTGCGCACCAAGACGGGGCGGCATGTTCAAAAAGTGACAGCTGTCTCGCTCGAACTGAGCCCTCAGTCGCTAGGAGACCGGTCGCAGATGCCATGGGGACATTTCTGACTAAGTCCAGCAATTGGATGGCAAGAATTCATACCTAAAACTGAGGTTAAAATAAAATAAAGGATAACATCCCTTTGTCAATCCACTGCTGGATGAAGGCCTCCCCATGTCGCGTCGATTGCGGGGGTTGTTTGACCATACTTCCCCTACGCTGGTCAGTGTGGGTTGGCTGAAGGAGGGAGAGCATGGCCACCAATCGATCGCCGGGTATATATATAGTGCTTTGCGATAACCGCTGCACCACCGCTCGATTTAAAATTCTGATGGCTACCGTTGAAATTTTTTTATTCGTTTTTTTCTCTTGAGAAACTACACGAGTGGTAAATGTGTGTGGGTGGGCCAGCTAGCCTGTGTTTAATCATCGAGCTGCCTAATGAAGGTCAATCAAATCAGATGCCGTTCTGGAGAGTGGGAGTGATGTTTTGGTAACTTAGCTGCACTAATGGGTCTTGTTTAAATATTGTGCATCAGCCACTATTCCTTGTCTACGGATGCAACATCAAAATTCATTGTTTTTCACTACGACCTCAGGCTGCGTGCCCTGTAATAATTTTAATGAGAAATTAAAACGAACCGTTTCTTCATAATCTCACCCTTTCACAAAACCCTTCAGACTTCTCGAATGTAGTCATTTTCTCGAGGCGTTGATACTTTATTGGGATCCTTTGTCCCATATATTTGTAGGAAGGTTTCACAAAATCCTGCTGTGGCTGTGTAAGCAAATGTGATTGTTGTCTCTTCTTTGAAATTGAGAGCATCCATTCACTCGGCTGGGAAAATATGGAGAGTGTGTGAGTGGTAGTTCTAATTAGTGGCCTACTCATTTTAATGATCTGGCACAAATCAGCGTGGTCCGCAGGGCAAAACTGAAATGCTGTCTGGTGCAGCACTCGAGCGCCCGAAACAAGCCACGAGAGAATTTCTGGAAATACCTCTTAATTCCTTCCGTCTTCGGTTTAGCGGGTTACAAAGAGCAATTCAATTTGGGAATTGCAGATATTTTTAAACTTGTCAAGTCACTTTTGGAATATTTAGGTTTTTAATTGGAGTTACGTAATTGGAAGGGCTAGATAAGTGGTTGTAATCACAGATGCCTGCTGTTGGACACTGATGTGATTGCCACTCCACGCTGGTTAGGTATGCGTCAGTGAGATACGCCGTTGATCAGCATGCACTTGTGAGTTTAACTGTGGTTGAGTGGCTCGGAGGTCAGATGTCGTAGCCTGTGGGCGCACAATGTTGCCACATAATTTTGTTCCCGATTGAAGCGCTTTCCGCAGTGATGTGAAACCATTCGCCCCAGCGCCACTGGATCCGTTATCACTGGAGCTCGTTTTATTTTCATTCCGCGGGGGGTTTAATCGCCGATCGCACCCATGACAGCGTGACCCTCGTCACCGACACGGTGTGAGATGCAAACAGACATTCCGTAACCTTTCCCGGTTGCAGTTTGTGCTACATCTGTTCAGCAAGCAGTTTGGTAGTCTGGTGGTTATCTTGCTTGCCATTGATTCATTTTCACCCTAATCAAAACGTCTATGAATATAGCTGATGGTTTGATTCCTCCGTCTGCCTGGTAGTTTCTGTAGGAAATGTTTTAAATATGCTGGGACTGGTTGGGGCTGCCCTGGATTCCCTGGCTTCTCCTGCTGTCACTGGGCCCTGGTTCCTCTGTCCTGAGCTCTGCTATAGTGCTGCCCTCTCTGCCCTCTCGTGTGTTTCCCTGCCCTGACCACCACCCTCCCCCCCCCCCCACCACACACCCCTACTATCTTAAAGTCGTTTTTTTTTCTTATTCTACAGTGTCTTGAGATGCAAGTGCATTTAGATGCTATGTAAATTTAAATTTGTTGTTTAGTTACAAAACATTGGCTTTAAAGACCCCGTGATGTAATTTGCGTGAGTAGAGCGCTGTGTGATTGTGTCGCGGGATAATGAGCAGATTTTTCTAGTGTGCTCTGCGCTCCCACGTCGTTACCTGCGGCTCCTCTACCCAACCTCTCTCCACTCTCCAACCCCATTGGCCGTGGTGCTTTGTGACTTTATTTCACGTGTTTTGAATGTAAACGAGGGCACAGCATCAGGCAACGTGTGTTTGTTGCGTTCGCCGCGTTAATCTTTGGACTAGCGTCGGCTGTAGCTCCGGCGCAGGCAGTGAGTTTCCCTTGACATTCGGTGGGGGTGGGCGTCCAGCGACCAGTCTGGTGTGGTGAAGTTCTACGGGACGTTCGTGTTCAACCGCAAGCGCAACATCCTGGAGCTGGAGCTCAAGCAGGACTGCATCGCGCAGGGGACGCAGAAATACGTGGTGAGGCCGAGGAGCGGCGTTGCGCGTACCGCGTACCACGTCTCATTCGCTTTTCACTCACTCACAACAACTCGCCGATCTCGTCCAGACGCAACGGCCATCACGCGTACTCCGGTTATCCTCGCGACGGCTTTCGGCTGCCCATCGAACGGGGACGGTCACCGCATCCCGTGCCTTCGGATGCGCTTCTGCGGCCATCTGCAACGCGCTTCCGATATTAGGAAGCCGCTGGAGCTGTGCACTTTTCAAATTTAGTTTGAAAGCTCATTTATTTAGAACAGTTTTTTGTGTTTAGTTTGTTGACCTTCCTCCTCACCTCCGATTAGCACGGTTGGCTAAGTATGGTGCAAAGGAAGTTCAGCATACATAAAACTCGGCAAGTAGAGTTCCGCGTCACCCTTGATGTGCGTGCGTTTCAAGGGATATGTGACGAGTCTGTGCTCTTTGGCTAACCTTGGCAAAAGTGTATTATTTTTCTGCATGGTCACTTTACAGTAAAATGTACTTGGTCCATTGATTTTTTTCAAAGCTTTTATCCCCGTCTGGATAAACTTTTGGGTCTTGTACTTCGAACTGTTCGCAGCACACGTTGCATTGTTATCAGTAGGAAAATCACCTTGCCCTCTGCAAGTGATTAATTTGCACATGTGCAAGGCGCTGGGAGCTGGGTTTGGTGAATGTAGTCTTTCTGCACATTTGCATGCGTTTTATATTTCACTCGTTCTTTTTAGCTTTCTTAATTTTTATTCAATCACAAATTATATCATTTCAATCACCTGTAAAAAATAACGAGGGTAATTTGCTGCTCTAATATGCGGTAGTGCTTGTAAATTATTTATTCTTACTATGCCCTAGACTTTTCAATCACCCCTATAATTAGAGGGATGGGGGTGGGGGGGGGGGCAAAATGCTTGGTAGATTCGTTTAACGAGTGCTCAGCATCATGTGGGAGGATATTAGAGAAGCTGAAAAATATCCACACATATGAGATGGGACCACTCCCAATTCCTGGCTGCCTCGTGGCTTCTCCCTTGCATATTGCATAGGCAACTGCAGCAAGATGAGATGCGAGGCACGGGACTTGCAGGGTACGGGAATGCTACGGCACGTTGGGCACGTGGCTAATCTCTTCCTAAAATATGAAGCTTTCGTGACTGCAAGGATTCATATTCTTAGGTTTTTTTCGGTAAAATCATGTAGGTAAAAAATTAAAATTACAGCAGCCGCACCTTAACAACTCTTGGAACCTCCCAGCTCAACCAGTCTACACAACAAAGGCTCATTCCTAGCAGCGTGCTTCAGCCGCACTAACCTCACAATAATAATATCCAGGGGCCTGCCTTGGCTCCTCGCACCCTCAACCAGTATATATAAGGACGGTTTTCTTGGAATTTCTCTTACTTGATACAGCAATCGTGCTGTGACGGTTCCACCTGAAGACGGAAGCTTGTGTTGCCTCCGCAACGTCGTGATTTTTATTTAACTTTTATTAATTTTAATTTTTTACCTACGTGACTTTACCGGAAAAAACCTAAGAATATATAATCTCTTCCCCTTGGTTAACCCTGCCTTGCCTCGTTCTCTGAGCTCAAGAACCTCGTGGGCGGAGAAGGAGGAGGCCAAGGGGCTGGCCACAGGCCCCGTGGTGCATAAGATCGGCCGCTGTCATTGAGACTCGTGGGTAGGAAGAGGTCTCCCGTGGGAGCTTTGCGACCAGGGACCCGAGGATTTGGCGCTAGAGGGTGGAGGGCGTATGCTGCATCACTTGACCCGACTTGGCATTGAGGGGCACTGTGTTGGCTGACCGCCTTTGTGTGTGTGCAGGGTCCTCTGACAGTCACCGTGCAAGAGTTGGACGGCTCGTTCAACCACAACCTCCAGATCGAGGAGAACAGCACGCGCCACGAGATTCCGTGCCACTCAAAGAGCCGCCGGTAGGTGGCTCCTCCTTAGCGCACCGCTGCTTTCGCTTTGCCGTTCCCCAGACGAATTGCGTTGAAATTGAAGTAACGCTCGTGCTTTTATCGGCTGTCGTGTCCGCCTTTTCAATAGTTTTTCATTAATTTCACTGCAAATACAAGTGGCGAACTGGTGAAGGTGTGATTATGAGTGGACATCAGGTAGAGGCAATTCACTTTCCCAGGAATGAGCTGTTTTATTCACTCAGTTGAAGAAATGTCTAATTTTTTACTTGGGTTGTCTTTTTTTATGCTCTCGTTTCGATTAGCATAAATTCACACGCAATGCAATGCGTCTTAGAGCATGACAATCGATTTTGTCAATGAAACGATCCATCATTTTATGCCGAGCGACACACCTTTGTCCGAGTAAGGATACACACTGTTGGGGCAGGCACTGTTTAGTGAGCATCTGTCAAGGCCAGTGCTGTACACAAGGGGATCGGTGATACCAGCACAATACCCAGCTGCCTGATATTGACCACACTTCTGCCAGGTACTCATTTTAAGCCGAACTAATTTAATGGAGACGGACCAAATTGGAATCCAAGTTGCCACTGTTGTTTATGGATTTTAATTGGCGGAGAGCAGTGGTGCAGTGGGTAGCACACTGTGCTATGAGCCCGGAGACACTGCTTTTTATTCCAGCCATGGCTGATATCAGTGGCGAATGGGATTTGAACCGGTTTTTGGGGGGGACTTTCACTAAACCGCACTGATCTGTGTGGTTAAGTATGGTCAAAACCACCCCCCATGACTCATGACGCATGGGGAGTCCTTACCCCATCAGTTGTTTGGCAAACAGCTGTAAATTATTATAGGGACAAATCCACATCCTCGATACGCATTTACAGTATTGTCTTCTTAAACTTGTGTGAAATTTGCCAAATTCTCAAACTACCTGGAAAATTACTCAATTCAGATTATACATAATAATAATTGTCACCTAATGGCAGATTAATTCCCCAGGTCACTCTAGCAAATGAGACTGTGCTGGTCTTATGAAGCCTCACCTGCTTAAACAAAATCAACTAGACTTGAATCACCCACTCACTCACGCAAACGAGACTATCCTGGTCCCTCGAGTTTCCGCCTGGTTAAACATCTGAATATCTTCTCAACACTAATCCACTGGCACCAGTAACCATCAGCTACAAGAAACCATCTGTCTCATAACCACTTGAACCTTCCTTCCATTACACACACACACACACGTTCAAAACAGTTAATCTTGCTTTCACACTTATCCTGGTGGAAGCAACACTCAGTCTGTAAAATATCACGGCCGTCGGAAAGAACTGCGGGGGAAATCTGCCAGCTGCATCCGGACCGCCACACGCACACTTTTTAACGTCAGTTGGAATATGCATTGCATCATCAGTATGCTTGCCATCTGTTGCCTTGCAGCAGTTTGGCCCAAGGGACCTTGCAGTAGCTCACTTTATCAAGGTGGTGGAATATTCTCTTCAACTGAGCTCTGCTACCCATGACAAAAAAAACCCCACCACATACACCAGTACAATGTCTCATGTAGGCGGATAAGTGAAAATATTTGATATGTAAATGTCTTGAGAAAATTATTACGGTTATGCCACCGTGCACAAATAAGTTCCTGGACAAAAAATAAAGTGCACAGAGCCTTAAACGCGGGCCAATGCTTGACTGTGCTTAAGAACACATCACTGTAAAGTGAAGAGATCAGATTTGTGTTGTGAACATCTCCATAAGATAACAGTTACACTCGTACACAAACACTGCACTAGGTGTGGGCGGTTGTGAATTTGTCAAGGCCAGGGCGGATGTCTTACGGTCGGATATGCGACAGCGTATTGTAGTTCCGTTTGCTTGAATTGTAAGTGCAAGTGAATGTCGCGTGTCTGTGGAACTTGGACTTGGGGGGGGAGGGGAGCCTAATTTGTGGTTGTTTCCTCACTCATACAGGAACAAAAAGAAGAAGATCCCTCTGCTAAACGGGGAGGAGATCGACATGGATCTGTCATTGATGGAGTGAGTGACGTTGGCTCATCTTACCGGCACCGTGACATGTGGCAAACAAAATGACCACATCGTAGGATTGCACTGGTTGTCAAAGAAGGAGTTATGTAAGCCAATGCATTCGACTTCTGGCCTTATCTTAAACCGCACAGCAGTTGGAAGGAAGCCAGGTTTTTATGGGTGGTCCAAGGTTACATTTTGTTGAATGTTTATTTTACACAGCAGGCTGAGCGAAATGATTAAATCCACAGCACAAATGTTTTTGCTCTCGGGCCTCTGAATGATGCACTTTCTTACCGCACAAGTGTGCTTACCTCGGTGGCTTTTTGTCTACAGCATCACCGGTTAAATTGAAAACTGTTACTCTTTAATGCTTAAAAATGCATTAATTGTCAATGTATTCACACGTGTGCCTAACTTGGCGTTTAACTGTAAATGTTTGCTCTACGGTTGTTTTATTTATCGGGCGCAATAATAATGAATGCAGCGGAAATTAATTTGTTTTATGTGTCAAGCTCAGGTACCCCGATATGTACCGTCTTCACACCACCTTGCTTGCATAATTCTGTGACTGCTATCTATTCTGCAGAGCACAACGGAAATGACCACGTTTAAATCCTGCCTCAGAAATTATATTTAGTAATTTCCGAAAAGCATTTGAGCACGGGCTGCTGTAAAATAAAATAAAATAAGGTCATTACAGGATTAAGGAGCGCATGTCAACCCAGAGAGGGATAACATCAGCACTTTAGACAGTGGGGGGGGGGGGTTTGGGTGGTGTGGGGGGCTGTGTTTGTGCAGCCCAGGTGCAGGAGAAAGTGGGTCACTGGCGTATTCAGCTGACACAGCAGAGCTGTGAATTTGAAGGCAACTGTTGAATTTTATAGGGTTCGTTGCCTTGAGCTGTATCTTGAGCTTTCAAAACAACAACAACAACCAGAAGAACAAGACCTGCGACAAGCACAGTGCTGCGCTGTGCAAGGCCGTTAGGGATGTGGAAGTTTGTAAATTATTTTACGGGGAAACCAATCTTTTTTTTAATAGTCAGGGAAATGTCATCTTACTAGGTTTTTAAATTAAGCGAGTAATTTAAAAACGTTACTGCTTGAGCTCACCGTTGGCTCGGATGAGCGTGTTCCAGACCTTCTTTAATCGGTGTCCACTATTATTGATGCGTTTCATTTTTTAAAAGATCTGAGAGATGACGAGCAGTGAGGTCGTTTTTTTCCCCCCTCATTTTCCTTTTTAGTGCGTAACGATTAGTGTCGCAGCAGTTCCTGTGCTTTGTTCTGGTTATTCTCTAATGATTTATTCATGGAGTTGCGCACAAGCCGTTCTCCACGGTGGCCTCCGGGGTACCCCGGTGATTGGTGCATTTTTGTAGGCGCTGGAATTATCAGTGTCACGGAGAGCCCCGAGTCTCCACACTCCAGGCTGAGCCAGAAGAAGCGTAGGACTAGAGGGAGGACACGGGGAGGGCGAGGACGCAAGAGGGAGTGAGACGGGAGGTTGAGGAAGCTTTAGGGAGTTATAGGTCTCCAGGGAGGATGGAGTCACAGAGCGAGAAGTAACAGGGCAGTCGAGCGGCAGAAAGAGGGAATGGTACTTAGAGGCAAGATTGTGAAGGTAAGCCGATGACGTCAGTGGGGAAAATGCGCTGTTAATTTTCTCTGGATTTCTGCACACCTTACGCTGCTTTCAATGCAGCAGCGTGCCCTGCCGCATGACCTCTGCTCTTCACTCGCTCAATTATAGTCCGCCTGTTATGACCCCGACACAGAAGCATCCCTGCCTTAAACCCTGACGGGGTGTAACCATGATGTGGATTCTGTGAGCGATGAGTTGTAAAAAAAAAACATCTCTTCCTGCACAGCAATTGCATAGATGCTTCTGTGCCATTGCATTCTTTTTAAACGATTGCGATTGTGCATCGCGCATTGCTGTTAGTAAAAAAATTCCAAGCCAAAAGCCTCATTAGTGCGAGGGTTGGGCGACTTATTGTATCTCGGATACTATAAATATCGTTGATGAAGTTTCATTGTTTTATTTTAATTATTTTTAATAGTCTATGTTTTTGTCTCTTAACTGTGATTCTTAAATAGGTTGTTGTTAGTTTTAATGTTAGGTTAGAAACACTTGGTCTTTGCTTTCGAAACCAGTTTAGAGAAGCGCGAGAAAAGTCATTCTTCTGAATCAGACTCGCAGACAGTAGCAGAGCATTGAGCTGGCACCTGTCCTGGTTCAAATCCCAGGCCTGTGGTTAAACCGGGTCCTCCAAATCAGTGAGTTGATGGTCTCAGCCTGCTCACCAATGACTATCCAAAAAAATCCCATCTAATCAAATGTGGTTGCTGCTCTTAACTTACAATACAACTCTTGATTATGATGTGTAGCCTAGATTGATAAGTGCTGCCCTCTGCTCTGTGGACCCGAAGGGAATTCAGAGGTAGCTCTGTGACATCCAAATCCGTGAGCTGTTCTCCAATGGTTACACTGCTCTGCGAAAGATCTGAATGGATACTTAATCTCATGCTATGATGCCAATGACATTAGATGGTATCTAAGGATGTGCTTTAAGCAAACAACCTCCCGTCGCCTCACACCCCACTCCCGGTCCCGTCTGTCGGCCAGTGCGGACTCACCGCTTCTGTGGATCCGCATCGACCCGGAGATGAGCATCCTGCGACGCGTGGAGCTGGAGCAGCCGGACTTCATGTGGCAGTACGAGCTTCGCTACGAGCGCGACGTGGTGGCGCAGGGCGAGGCCATCTCCGCCCTGGAGCGCTTCCCCACGCCCCAGTCGCGCTTGGCTCTCACCGACATCCTGGAGCACGAGCAGTGCTTCTACCGCGTGCGCATGCAGTCCACCATCTGCCTAGCCCAGGTGCATCTCGGTCGCTCGCCCACCTGCTTTCTCGCCCAATTGCCCGCTCGCCCACCTACTCGCTTGCTCACCTGCCCGCTCATCCACCTGCCCGCTCGCCCCTTTTGCTTTCTGCTACTTTGTGTGTTTGTTGTGGCAGCTGTGCCATTTGGCTCGTAGACTTCGGAGGCTTTCCAATTAAAGTTGGATCTGTTATGCACATCCGTAAAGGGGAAGATGCTGCAACTTTTGAAAAATGATCCGATGTGAATAAACGTGCGTGTAAAGTTGTGTTGCTATTGGGGGCCGACCCTATTGCTCTCTGAATTGATCTCAGGATTGCCCTAACTTGAAAACAAATGAGAAAACCAGGATAATTTTTAGTTTTTGCAAATATGCCAACGGATTGGCTATGACAGCTCCCCATCGGCTTCCATACTTCTAATTAACTACTTATGTTTATGAGCACATGTCAGGCATACGCATAATGCGTGCGTATGCACGATTTTTCAAATTTCTTTGCCGTTATAATACGTTCTTGCGCGTCCACAATAAATGCGGAGGCTGCTATCAAGCTGTCCAGGAGTAATGCAATTACCGCTGCACAGTTTCTGTTGGGGAGAGGGTGACTTTTGCTCTGCCCGTGTGTACCACGAGTTTGTTGAAAGGTAAGCAGTGGTTGTCTTGTGGATCCTGCCATTGTAATGTCGAATTTTCACCACTTGGCTCCCGTGACTGTAAATTGGAGATTAGTACCTTCCAATGCCCGTTTTGAGTGGAAAACCACACGATAAGTGCATGTGAACTGTTGTGTAAATCAGTATTTAACCAGTATTTAGGTATTTCATGGTAATAATAATTTGCAACCCTTAACACCACTACCAAATCAAGACCTTCTCATGCTGTGTCGTCAGCTCATGGTCATCTTTCACCATAATTGTCAGTGTGGATTGGTGAAAGTGGGCTGCGTAGACCAGGACCTGTTGAGATTATCACTCGCCGCTGATGCTGGTGTTGCCGGGAATCAAACTCGGGTGGCCTTGTTCCCGCCACAACTTTTGTCCATTCAGCCAGGCACATTCGATGGTGTTCCTAGCACCCATGAATGTGCATGTGCTTGCCTTGACATGGACTCACATTAATCTTCATAACAGCTTGTTCAGACTTATAATTGAGACCATTGTCCTTTTATTTTACATGCAGACTCAATTTCCATAGATTAGGTAGAAAGAGAAACACTATATCCGATTTTAATAGGAAAAGCTATAGTCACAATGTGATGATAAAACTGCTCGGTAAGAAAGAAAAAAAGTAATTTGAATTGTGAAAACTCTTGGGAGATTTTCACTGTCTTTCGTGAAACTGCGCGGTCATATTACAGGACAGTTAATCCGTGCCTCGCATTCTCAGATTGCCAACGCGATGGTGAACACGTGGAACGGACCCCCAGCGATGAAGTCGATCTTCACACGGATGTTCTGCTGCAAGACCTGCCCCAACATCATCAAAACGAACAACTTCTGCAACTTCCAGAGCTACTTCCTCCTCAAGGTGGCCTTCGGCATCTGCGGTCACGTTAAGTCGCCAGGCTTTTTTTGCGACGTCTTTGCGCGGCCTTCCGTGGCTCGGATCGGATTTAACGACGACGATGATGTTCTTCCCCTGCAGACCATCCCCGTCACAATGGCCATGCAGAGAGACATTCACGGCATGTGTCCCAAGGAGGTGCTCACATTCCTGCTGGATCTCATCAAATATAACGACAACCGTAAAAACAAGGTGACCGTTATTCTCGGTTTTACTCTTGTAATGCGATGTGCGCGTGTTTATGTACGTATGTGTGTGTTCGACTTCTTCTGCACCATACGTAGCTAACCAGTCCGAGGTGCAGGGGAAAGACAACAAACTCAACACAAAATTAGTTCGAAATAAATGATTGTTCTATTATCCACGTGTAGTACCGTGCTCGGCTTTGCAAGGTCAGAAGAGGGACGTGGCGATATAAAATTTACGTGGGCGTCATCGAATTAGGTGAGATTGTTATGGGTGGGCACATCTGCGGAGTGCAGGGGAGCAGGTTTACCGAGAGAGACAATGGAGAGGCACCTTAACCTCTCTGACCAAGACGAAGGACCGACATCCAGATGGTGGTCATTGCACAAAGAGCAGAACAGGCTGCAATATGTAGCAAAACGATAGAAGTGAGTTGTGGTGGGATCAACGGAATTGGTTTTGTAATGATCTTTTGGCTGAACGAATTATTTGGTGATGCTGCATTGGCAGTGGTGCACGACTGTAAATAACAAGAAAAACTCAACACATTAATTAATCACACTGCCTTCAATTATTTTTTTTAATCCTTATATCTGCATCACTGATTACCCCCACCTTTTATACTTTGTCCTTGTTAAGGCAGTGTTATTGGCAAATTTGTCAACTGAAAAGAGGGCAAATCTTTTTTCAACTAAACTATTTTTTATTTTACCGGGTGAGGGCCACTGAGCTATATCGCTCTTGTTTTAGAAGCGACCTGGCTGTCGTGATTCGATAGCTCAACGATGCGGATTATCGTCGTGTGGAAATTTCTAGCAGCCAAATACTCTCTTAAACTCACGTTCATAAATATGGAGGGGAAAACCGGAGGACGCGTGTTGAGTAACGCTTATATCTACATCAGTAATGCAATTTCTACATTCCTATGGCAAGGACAATTTTGTTTGTTGCACACCCGCCGTTGATTTGCCACCGCGTCGTTCACAAAGTTCGTAAGAATGCCTTCAAAAAAATAGTAACAGAAAATATAATCGAAGAATTCTGCTGTTGATTGTAAAAAAACACTGTTTTCTACAGTCTTCATCCAGTAGTGGTTTTATTAAATGTACATGGACAACTATACATATACAGCCCTTACAGAAGTACATTTCCAATTTCATTTTGGATTTATAGAGCGTCTCAATGTAACTCCATCTGAAGACGCTGCGTGGCATGCTGCGATGTGTTTATCACGTGGGGAAAAGGAGGCATGTATTTATTTTTCATACATAGAACATATGTATATATATATAGCTGTTCTCAAGCTGGAGATTGAGTTAGTGGAGAGTTGTTCTTTTGTCTTTCATGTATAATGTAATTTCACATTCAGGTCGAGCATACAAAGCGTTCTTACTGCAGATGGGTAATTAGATTGGAACCAAAACCACAATGACTTCCATGAATAATGAGGCTTCTGTAAAATGCATTGCGACATTCATTTACTGCCTTCACAAGATGATGATTGCAATTATAATCTGCCTGTGTTTTCCCCGCTGGAATTTTTTATTTAAGATAATTACCTTCCTACGTTTTCATGAACCCATTTAAAATTCTGCGTGCGGAACTGAGATCTTTAGAGTTTTTCACACTCTTTAGCAGAACTTTCCTGGGTGGGTGTAAATATGTTTTTGTAAAAAAAAAAACACATTGAATTATATTACGCTAATCACTCTTTAATGCACGTACAATCGACTGAAGCTCAGAAACCGCCTTCTTCTCGCCGATAATTTGTCAACGTTTCTCGACGGCTGCCACGTGCGATGCTCCCCAGTTCTCGGATAACTACTACCGGGCGTCGCTGATCGAAGCCCTCGCCAACTCCGTGACGCCGGCGGTGGCGGTGAGCAACGAGAACCGCACGGTGGAAAACCTCAACGCGGACGTGCGCCTCGTGCTCGAGGAGATCACGCGATTCCTCAACATGGAGAAGCTGCTGCCCTGCTATCGGCACACCGTCACCATCAGGTACGTCCCTCTGTCTGTGCGAGCGCGTGCAAGACCTTCACGTGCGGCGGACGCCAGCGTGCTTGTTTACGGAGCGCATGGATTCTGAGATCGCTTCACGCCCGCCGCCAGCGTCGGTTGTGTATTTCTGGACCGGTCCTGGATCTCCCTGACGTCAAATCGGCCTTAAATGAGTACCTGGTACAAATGTGCAAGTACTGGAGAGACAAAGGTGGCTGGCCACACGGCTAGCTTGTGCGCCGTGCCGGCTTCACAGCTGTTCGCTAACGGTGCTTGCCTCAACAACCTGTGTAGGCTAAACTAGAAGGTCTTTGGCTTTTCTGTGGACTGGCAGATGTGCCTGCCTGTCCCCCATGCATGTGATGAGAGGTGTTTTTTTTATGCGGTTGGTCTGGTCGGTGGCACGCGTCAGAGCACATTGAGCTGGTAGCAACTGTGATCCTGCGTTTGAGTCTGAGCTTCAGCCGCCAGTAAATAAACAAGGGTCTCCACTGTAGCGAGTTTATGGTCTCAGCCTGTTCACCAATGACTGCACACAATGAATTGCATAATCCATGCGTACGCATGAATGATATGTGATGTTTTTCCAGTCTGGAATTATGCAGATATTTTTTCATTTAGCTGTATTACAGATTTTGAAAATTACAACTGTGGGTTAGCCTCCCCAAGCAATGAACTGGTAGTGAGATACTACACAACCTAGTGCCTGGATAAAAAAGGTCACTTGAATGGAGTTCAGCAGCAGTTCTGTAACATATACCTCCACGTTGTCTAACAGATGGGCTCGCACTGCTCTGCGAGAGTTCCGTATGGACACTTTTTCTTGTGACAAGATGCCGCTCGCACGATTTATTTAAATAAAACTCACGTCAAGTTTCCTCCGTTCATTGATCAATTCGAATATTGTAGTCCCAGTACACCAACATTTATATACGTTTATAGATTTTGACAGACGACATATTTTATCGATTCACGTTTGTCTGGATTTTACATCTACACCAGGTCACAAAAAGATATGATTCACTCATCGAATCATGATCCCAGATCATGGCAATCCATCGGAACATTGCGAATTGAATTGTTATGTTCCTGTCATGTACATCTATTATTAAATTTCATTTTTGAAATATGTTCGCAGTTGTAGGTTGAAGGTGATATTGGGCTGACGTGGCATCGTGTCAGGTTAGGATCACTGCAAACACAAGGCATGTCGTGTAGATCGTCGAGTTTATTTCAGTGGAATGGAAAGTTTTGGTGGTCTCTTTAAATAGGCACCGGTGAAAGTGAACGCTAGTCACTACAATAGATATCCGAGAGAGTGAATCACCGGGAAACGTCTTTGGTCGAGATGCTAAAAATTAAGCTGTTGTGCCGATTTTTTTTTATTATAGAAGCGAGCAATAATAAGTAATATTAAAAAAAAACTTTTTTAAACACACGCTTTGATGAAATGTACCGTACTAGTAATGAAAGGACTCAACGACTCCAGGAAGTGTCCCCGAAGCTTGCCATAACGTAAGGGGCCGTGGTGATTTACAGCCAACGTTAGTTAAGCGTGGACAATTAGACGCAAGCCGAAACATAACATGTAAAAAATTATGTTTAAAAATATATATTTTTAATTTTTAATGATAGAATATAGTATTGTCATCAGTATGACATAAGTATACCAAGTTTGCAGTCGATACCACATTGGGAAGTGGGTAAAAATTCAGTTACAAGATTTGAGAATACAACAACAGACAGAGTGAGTTAATAAAAAGCGTATAAAAAGCGATGAGGGCCACAGAAATTCCGCGGACAAAAGCCCGAGGCGCGGCGCTCTCGGGGTAGGGCAAAGGGAGAAAGGTGGGCTCGCTACCCTACCAATGAAGGGAGTCCAGGCGGGAGCGTGGAATTTTTTAAGGGGAAGGGAAAGCGAGGGTAAAAAAATCGAAAGAGAAGGAGAGGGGGGTGGGAGCTGGGGTGGGGGGGGGCACCTTCGTGCCGATTTCAACCTTGCAAGCGCTGGCCGCCGTTCTCTATTAAATCGACTTCCGTGCCCTTGATGCCCGCTCGTTAACCATGACCTCTGCCCTCTGCTTCCCCGTTCCCACCACCGCCGCCGCCATGCCGATTGCCCCACGCTGGCCCTGGCTCGCACGCCGCTGTAGCTGCCTGAAGGCGATTCGTGTTCTCCAAAAAAACGGACACATCCCCAGCGACCCGGCCATCTTCAAGGCGTACGCGCAGACTGGCCACTTTGTCGACATCCGGCTCGCCGCACTCGAGGCCCTGGTGGATTTCACGCGAGGTCGGACCCCCCTAACCCCGCAGCGTTGACTCTTTCCCGCATTCTGTGTTGGCTGTGATGATGGCGTCGCGCTGTTATTTTGTTGTTCACGCACATTCAAGCAATAACATGCGTGAATTCCACTTTTGAATATTTATCTTATTGTTAGTCTTGAATATTGCACTTTTTTGAGTTGAAGGTGCACCACAGTTGTTGCATCTTTGCATGCTTTTCAGGTTTTGTTTCATTTTATTCATCGTTGATGTTTGTGATCCATATTTAATAGGAGGTAATATTTACAACTGGACATCTGTGAAAACGAGTTTCATAGCTCATCGGATTCCTCCAGTCTAAATAAAGCTTCCGATTCTGAAATTATTTCTAAATGTAACATCGACACTGGGCTTGCATGACGAAAGTAACAAAATGCGGATTAGAAGGAGTCTGACATATAGACAGCACTTTTGCCAAAGTTAATCACAGTTACATTATCAGATTTTTTTTCTGTAAATAGTACTGGAGATCTTTAGCATGAACATAAATGGAGACAAGATTAACCATCTCTGATTTTCTACGAACATAGGCATTGGAACAACCAATTGGAATGAACTGCAGGAAATGATTGAAGGACTTTATAAAAGACTAGCTGTACTACCCGGCTTCGCCCGGGACTTGGATCCATCACGGCCGGCCGCCTTTGTCTCCCCAGTGGCGATGTTCATACGCCACACCAGTTACTCGTTTTGAGGCTGACTCGACCTAGGGGAGGCCCAGGACCGGTTCAAATAATCGTCACCGGTGGTGGCCGTGAGCGGGAATGGAACTCGGGTCGCCGGGTTCGTAGCGCGGCGCGCTAACCACGACACTACAATGCGTTACGCTTCCGTTGTAGGGTTTGTGTAAGGCGCGCCGATCCGTTCTAGGATTTGTGTGAGGCGTACCGATCCGTTGTAGGATTTGTGTGAGGCGCGCCGATCCGTTGTAGGGTTTTAGTGAGGCGCGCCGATCCGTTGTAGGGTTTTAGTGAGGCGCGCCGATCCCCCGCGCTACAATAATACTGTGTAATCGCTATAATTTTATTATCTACCGATCCTATAATAGTAATTGCACACATTGGGGTGGCGGGGGAGTGAAGAGGACGTGAAACTTTGATGAATTTACCTCAGAGTCGCGTGGTGGGTGTCGAGGCCTAGCACCGTGCAGAGCCTCCGGCCTCGCCTAAATTGCCCACCCGGATGAGGCTGGGTACGGGTGCCGTTTCCCCCCCCCCCCCCGCGCTACAATAATACTGTCTAATCGCTATAATTTAATAATCTACCGAGCCTATAATAGCAATTGCACACATTGTGGTGGGGGGGAGTGAAGAGGACGTGAAACTTTGATGAATTTACCTCAGAGTCGCGTGTTAATGCGTGCGCCTATTTTTAACGGGAATTAAAAATGGCGTCCACCCCGCGGCGAAAGCGTCGCTACCCGTTGCCAGGGGCAACCGCCGGACCAATCGTGTCTCGCAAATCCCTGAAATTTCGTCCAATGAAACTGCGTATGGTCCGATACACAGACACACACAGACAGACAGATAGACAGACAGATTTGCGATTTTATATATATAGATGGTTGCAAGGTTGAGCCCAGGTTAACGTCACGTACAACAAGCTCGCTAGACAATCGAAGACATCTGTTGGAAGAGACACAACCGGAAAATATTGGTGTGAGTGTGTACCTTGGGCAGTTATTAAAGGCAGACTGCGGGATCAGAAGGATAAAATAAAGTGGTGGATGAGAGCACCTTGGAGTGGTTTTGAAAGAAACACATTTCAGTCATGAAAAGCAATATACCAGTGTGCCTAGAGATACACGTTTTTTTTAGGTATGTACTGTATATTTAACTTCTTTCGCACCGTACGTAGCCAACCGTGGTAATGGGAGGTGCGGGGGGAGGTCAAGCAAACTAAACACAACAACGGGCAGTTTGAAAGCAATGGGTTTTCCGATTAAAAATGTAATTTGTAATTTTCTCAACTTAAATAGAACAGTGATTGGAAATGTGAATGGGGTCACGTTTTCGAGAGTACAAACCACCGTGTGTGTTCTTCAGCATTGATTAAACACACGGATAGCATATCTGTCATCGTGCGATCCATAGTCTTCCAATGAATGTAAGAATGAATACAAACCTGCCCAAAAACCTGGAGCAATAGTCCAGTGAACATGTGCACCTAGCACGCACACGTGCATCCAATCAAGATACCGTTTCTTATAATAAATGCTTGCCACACAATTTATTTTGTATAGCTCTTATTCTAAAACCCAACGAATAATCTGGAAAGTAAATTATGTGGACACAAGCGACTGGAGCATCCTGCTGTATAATTTTTACACACGGCAGAGTAAACATCGTGGGTTATTAATTGCACCCTTACGGGACAGTTTGCAAATATGAGGGTGGGCTGAAATTTTTCATGATTAGGAGCAAATTTTTAATCCTCAAAACTCCAACAAAAACCATTATATGCAATAAAATCTTATGAGTTGAAATGTACTGAGAAATTGTACATATTTTGTTATAATGCGCAATTTATATTTTCCTCTATTTTTGTACCGCAGTGGACATGAGCGCAGACGTGCTGCAGTGGTTGCTTGACCTAGTTCACACGGACCCCATACCTTACATCAGGTAATCAACAAGCCCATTCATCACCTCTGCTTTGCAATGTACCGTTGACTGGCATCATGGATTTCGCCGTTATCAATAGCGCTGCATTACGTATTATTCCTTTAAAGGTTAACGCAATGTAATGCAAACATGCTGATTGTTCGCAACGAGCTGCTTTGCCCGCCGATTATTCACCCGTCGCTCCGGACTAATTCGCCCGTCGGTTAATCCGCCGACAAAGGTCACACATGATCGTGTCAAGCCCCCCCATCCATTGAGCGCGTCGCCCACGCCTGCGGCCCGCCAGGCCCCATCGGTCTCCTTCAGTTTGAGAAATAGTTTTGGGAAACGGGCCCTGCCACGCATACATATTCATCGAAGCCCTAATCGCGGCGTGAATGAAACCCACCGCGCCGCCTGCACACACGCGGCTGGCCGCCGTCGTGCGCCTCTGCCGTTTAAGTCGTGCGCGCATGTGTGCACGTGCATGCACCTGTTCCGGCGTGCTTGTGTTTACAGACGAGCCTATCTACACGGCTAAATATATACCACCGGAGCGCGCGCCACATACTTATATGCACTCCAGACTATTAAAATAATTAAGATTTCTTTTTGCATGCGCTCCCCCCCCCCGGCTTATCTGACTGGCGGTGTGAATGTACAATTGCGGATATAGTCGTCGCAGGCTGAGAGAAGCTAAGGCCGATGCAGCAGCAGCAGAAGCGTGAACTTTCGTTTTTGACATTTGAAACCGATTTCTTTTTTGTTTAAGATTAAAAGATCATCGAGATTATGTTTGTCAGAAGTATCTAAGAAATTGAAATACAAAACTTTTGAATTGATCTGTTTGCCATTTCCATCCATTCACCATGGTAGTTGATCTGCAGAATGTCTCTTCAGTAGCAAAAAAATACATTTGAAAGGTCACCCTTTTTGTCGCATTTTTAGCTGCCTGTTGATAACAAATAATTGTGAAGTTTGCAGTTATGATTGTCATCGTAGATGCTTTGGGAACGTTCTGAGCATCTATTGCAAGCCTGCTTGTATGCAAGCGTTATTGTTTTCATCAGCTCTTAATATAGTTTCACCTAAGCACTGTAATTGAACCTATATTTAACTGTCCGGCCTGTTCCTTTTCTAATATAATACGCAGTAAAAATAAATTAATGTTCCTTCACGTCCAAACTCATTAGCATACTTTCGCTTACCACGTGTGTGTGTGTGCGCGTGCTTTAATGCAATGTTACATTATTTAACAGGTGAGAAGGGGGTTCTTTGGCATCAAATCCTGTTTTGGCCGAGGGGTTTTCATCGTTTGCGAGTAATTGATCATAGTTGGCCGTTGTCTTGACATCGTTTCATGGCATCCGCTCGCGCATTTCTCCCACGCTCATCCCGCAGGCACAAGATTCTCAGCATGATGATCCGCGTGCCGCCATTTGCTCGCGGTTCGGACTCGCCGCTGTGCAGCGAGGCGTTGGTGGATAATCTCTGGAAGCTCATGAACTCAGGTACGCAAGCTCGCGCATGCATATGAAGGCGGGGAATCTGCTCCCCTCAATTTAACGTACTGTCGGGGAAAGTGCTTTTGGCCAGCGCCCTAAGAAGGCCGACACAGCACACGAGGGGGTTGAGTGGCCAATATCACGTCCGGGGCCATCTTTGTCTCCGTAGTGATGATGTTTACACACCAGGTGCTGATTTGAGGCTGAGTCGACCTAGGGGAGGCCCAGGACCGGGATCAAATAATCGCCATTGGTGTTGGCACACACACAAGCGAACACACGATTTCCGTCTTAATTTGAAGCGGTGTTATTTACACCATGTGTGACTCATGTACACACCATTCAAAGACAAAGATCGCCCCTATAGCCTGAACAGACTGTTGGGGCAAGTGCTGTTAGCGAGTACCTATTAAAGGCCGGCACGGCGCACGAGGTGGTGGGTGGCCAGCACCGAACCCGACCGCCTTTGTCTCCCCAGTGGCGGTGTTACACACCGCACAGGGTACTCATTTGAGGCTGAGTCGGCCTAGGAGAGTCCCTGGACCGGTTCAAAAAAATCGCCACTGTTATTGGTGGTGAGCGAGCATCGGACTTGGGTCGTTGGGTTCATAGCACATTGCGCTAATCACTACTCTCCTTCAATGCTTCTGTACTCCCTGCATTAGACCCACGCATGCTGACACACACATGCAAATATACACACAAATGCAATTAAAATAAAATACACAAATATTAATATTACACGACGCAGCATTGCTCATTACTGGTTAGGTATTTCCGCTTGCAGGCCTGTGCTGAGCCTTGTGCCGCACAGGGACAGCTGCCACTAGGGGTGACCTTTTTTGAGATGGCGTGATGTAAGGCGCTTTGAGTTGCCGAGGCATTTATTCACCGTAAATTAAAATATTATTATTGTAATGTGCTCTTAACAACCACGAGCAGAGCCCTAGAAACGACAGTCGCAAGCGAGCACAGAGGCAGCAATGGGGCGCGAGCCCGGGTGTGTGTGTGTGTGTGGACTCGTCCTCAATTCAGTCCCTGGCGTGGTGTGGAAACATCGTCACTCGGCCTCTCGTAGGTACTCGCAAACACCCCTTTCCCCAACAGTCTGTTAAGACTATACGGGGGCACTTTGTGTGTGTATTCATCCGGCGTACTCAACTTTGAGACCCGAAACCTGCTCCCGAGCAAGTAATTTCAACGTAATGAACCGCGAGCCTGGGGAGGTGACCCTGACCTGTCAAGGGTGGCTGATTGATACGAAGGTACAGTGTGCATGCCTCCCAAGGCCAAGGTGAACTCTTAACAGCCTGTGCCCCAACTCTCCCTGGCGGTGGCTCGCAAGCGCAGTCACAGTCTCCGACCGCCCTGTTGTTTGCCTGTTGTCGTATGTTAAAGATTTAGAGATACCTTTAGTCTCTCGAAGGTCTGTGTGTGTTGTGCCGCTGTCACGTGCAGTGTCACTTTAGTAACTTGCACTGGAGCCGTGGCGTAATGTGAAATGAATTCAATACAATTTAGAATACATTAGGGATGTGTGGGTGTCTTAATGCGACTGCATCGCAAGGCACTGTACAGAGACAGTGGGCATATTTTATAGAGAGAGAGAGTAGGTCGTAGGAAGAGGAGGAAAGGAAAGGTCTCAAGACTGGACTTGAACAGGAGTAGGAAGTCAACGGAATGGATTGTTGGGAGAAGGGCGTTCTAGACCTTGAGAGCAGCAGAGGAGAATGAGCGCCTCTGCCAACTGAGTGAAGGTAGACTGGTCTTTGGAGAGTGCGTGGAGGGGAGTAGAGAGAGATGAGAGAGGTGAGAGATAGGGAGTGCGTTGATGGGCGTCGATTGAGATGAGAGGGGAGAGGTAGGCAAGAGCGAGTCTATGGGGGATCTTGAAGATGGTGAGTGTGATCTCTCTCTTTCAGTATTTTTGGAACGTCCTTAGGTCTTGTGAGCTAGTCAGCTGTTGTTTGTCAGATGCAGGGGTTGACAGGTTGCTTTGTTCTAGATTTGAAGTATTCGTGACTGAGTAATTTTGCTGGAGCAGTCTACACCTGATGACGGTTGCTTGTGTTGCTTCTGAAACGTCGTGATTTAATTTATTTGTTTTCATTTTAATTTATTTTATATTTTTTACCTACGTGACTTTGCCGACAAAACCAAAGAGTGTAAGGTTGCTTTGTGTGCACGTGAATTTTGAGTCGCCTTCTCAGGCATTAAGCATTTCTGATGAGAGGACAGCGATAACTCTAAAGCTCATCCAGGAGAGAAAAAACAAATGCCTTGTAAGTGACATTATTATCCCGAGGTGTTAACAATTCATGACTTGAAGCCACTTTACTCGAGCTGTTTTAAATTATGAAAGCCATTTTTTAAAATTAATTGCTTATTTTGACAACTCTTTTCTGCTCTGATTGCTGCAGTCTTTTGAGATAACGAGCCAGGAAAGTTTATTTTAAACTAATGACGCTACGGAAAATGTTTTATTAGTCTCTTCAGTGCGTACTACCACAGAGGATGGAGAGAGAAAAAGTGTGAAATAAAACACATGTTATACCACGAGAGTCTTAAGGGTGGGGCTCTTATTTTTATTGAGCATCACCGCTGTTGTTAAACAATTCTCCGTTGAATAATTTTAAGTGCGAAGGCAGATTGTAACCAGCGGTGACGACGGTGTGGTTTCCTAATGTAGGCATTGCTGGCAATGGAGAATGAGTGATTTGACATGACGGTGGCACACTTATGAATATCATCAAAGCGCTGAGTTATTTATAGATCCCCCACCACACTTTAAATTCAGAGGCCATGCGCCGTGACATTTCAGCTAGTTTAGCCATTTGATGAAGCCTGCGTCGCACAGATGGAGGGTACAACGCCGACTTTGCTTGATGTGAACCCCCGCGCAACTCAATTCTTCGGCCGCTTTAAAACCAAAGCTTTGACTTAACATCTGCATTATTAGATTGTTGCAGAGTTTTCAGCATGACACGTTTGGAAATGACTTTTTTCCTTTTGCAACGGGAGCGGATGGTGAATAATGCCCTGACCTCTCCCCGTTTATTCCTGTGGCTGCCCATGAAGCGTGATAAGTAAATCGTAATTGAATGGTGCGCTAATTTCACGGTGCCACAGCATTGCCCTTCCTCCAGTTATGCCGACCACATTGGCATTAATCATTCCCAAGCTGTGGCTCGAACAAGATTAATTTAATTGTCTGTAAAATGTCGGATTATCGGGAAACCAAAAGTGATAAATTGCCCGTCTGTGCGGTCATACGCTGACCGAACGCATCGTATGAAACAAAGCATGCGGCGATAACAATCATTCACGTCTTTTATTGGCGCCTGGATCTGCCTACAATGGTGTGCTCGTGCCTAGCGAGGACTCGCAGTGTGGGAAATCACTATTCCGTCAAATTCTCATGCATGAGCCTGCGCGTGCGCGTTGTGATATTACGTTCGTTTCCACGAGTATATTCGTTCACAAATATCGTGAGACGGCTTAGCTGCCCATGTTTAAACTGACTTTTCAAGTGTCGTGTGTTTATTGTCTCAGCCCAGTCACCTATTGAGTGCAAAAAAAATAAGCTCATTACATTTGGAATGTTTAATTTAGCGACGTTTTTTTCTATAAGAATTAAGAGACATCAGTTTTTTTTTCACGATAGTGTGAAAATGTTTCTCCGTGGCAGGGCATTTGGGAGAGTGTGCCCACATGTGCGGGTATAAAAAAAGTCACTCAGCAGTAGTTCTGTGAAATCTGCTTCTACGGGCCGTCCTCTAACGCACGGCGTTGCATTGCTCTGCGAGAGTTCTGAATGCAACCTTCGACTCATTACACGCAGCCAATGGCACTGTCGAAATCTAATTTGGGGGAAAATCCCAATAAGAAAGTGTGAGAAACAATGCTGAACATTTAATTATAGCAGTGTTAGGGTGTTGTCTGGCTTCACTGAATTTAGTCAGTTTATTGGGTTCAGAGTTATCGTGGCTTATGGCCAACACAGTTACGTACAAACGTATTTATTTTGGGTGATTTACTCACAATATTCAACGGCGATGCAACATCCATTTCACAATGCGTGGAAGACTGACGTCATAACCTCGTGCGCCATTCCATATTGGCTGCATTAGAAAACATTTGCGCAAGCCTGTGCATAATGTAACATCACAATAGGTGCAGTGAGACTCACGGTTGTGAGTATAAGCTTGGCAAATCTGCCTTTCGGCAAATCCCTGTGACAGGGACAATGCTTTAGACGTGGATGATGTGCTTACAACCCACTGCGCCGTCTCGATGTTTCCCTGGGCCTTTTTTGCTTTTATGGAGTTGTTTTTCTGGATGAATGCTACCTCGAGGTTTTTTTTTGGTCTCGCGGCTTCTAAACAGTGAGGTCTATGGTATCGGGTGTTTGACAGTCTCACTTCGGCTGGGTATTTGTCACACGGGCCCTGTCTGGTGGTCTGCACGCACTACACATTTTTCTCGTGCCTCCCGAAGTGCGTTCAACGTTACCATCATCGGCCATGGTCAATCTACTGCTGGCTGAAGGCCCTTCTCTGCGCCCCCTCCAAGCCGTTGCCATCTCGAGCGATCCAGCGATGTAACAAGCTGCCTAGCGCACCTGCACACGAGCCGATTTTATCAGCTCGACGCGTTCCATTCCTTGGCTGCTATTCTGTTGTTATGGACCATCGGCCATCATCCATTCTACCCGAGACCACTTACTTTTCTGAGTTAGATTGATGTAATTAACCTGCCGATGTTCTGTAATCCACATGCTCCTCTGTTTGTCTCGAGGTGCAATTACACGCACTCATCTCTCCATGCTTCTTGTATCCAGTCTTTTTTTCAGGTTTTTGTTGAATTATTTTGTGAATTACCATATTTCTGAACCACATGTCATAATACATGGTGCACAACGATTACAATGTTCTTATTCTTGGATCTTTCGGTAAAGTCACGTGACTTTACCGAAAGATCCAAGAATATGAATCTCTGCAGTCACG